TCTTTTCTTGATCACCAACATTCTGTTTTCCATTCTTGAGTTGAGAGTATAGTAAATGCTTTGGGAGTTGGTGATCAAGCATTCAGACAACGTGGCCAGCCCAGCAGAATTGATGGCATAGAGCATCACTTCAATGCTGGTGGACTTTGCTTCTTCCAGTAACTGACATTTATCCACCTGTCTTCCCAAGAGATTTGCAGAATTTTCCAGCGGCAACGCTGGTGGAATCATTCCAGAAGTTGAGTGTGACATTTTTAGACAGTCCATGATTTGTAGACATATAACAGCGTATGCCATATAACATACTACACCGCTGCAACAAGAGAGACTGGTCTTGCAAAACCCTCTTATAGTGCTGAGGCTTATTAAATATGGTTTTCTGTGGATGAGCAGATGGCGACTACTAGATGGCATATGTTCTGTATCAGAAACTAGAGCTGATGTGGTCTATCCAATGCAATTTTCTGAATTAGCACCCCAAATAACCAAACTGAATCTGAAGTTGACTAAAAACATATTCGTAACCCTTTTGGTACTAATGTTGGAGAGTGGTCCCTGGTCAAAAAAAGATTGGGGCCCACTGGTCTAAAGTTTGAAAGGTGACTTTTGTTGTTCTATGGGAAGTTTAATCTACAGTAAGAAAACACAGATTGCAGAACCTACTGAAAAGATCTACTCAACATAGATTACAGGAGAAAGGGCATTCCTTGTAACAAAACAATGTGACAAAGGAAGAGTATCATTGTCCCATGCGCTTATCTTTAGGAACAAAGGCTGAATCTCAAGACCAGATTCAGAAAGGCAACTCAAAGAAAGGCAGCATGTGAATGAATGCATTAAGCTCAGCTGCTATCAAAATAGAAAAGTAAATACTCTAATTCTCTTAAACAATATATTTTCATTTTTGTCAATAATGTTCTTAATTTGGAACAGAAATCACACACTCTTTCCTAACTGAAAAGATGTGTTTGTGTGTGTGTTAACTGAAATAAGCATCACTTATACAATAAGCTCCATCTTTCTCAAATAAACTACGCTATTGTGAATCCAATTGTTAGTTCCTACTAGAATAGATGCATGAAAACAATAAATGTTACACAACTGTTGATTTATCAATTTGATTTCTCAGATCTAATCAAGTTGGGAATAACAACTGGATTTAGTCCACAGAATCAGAATAAAGGGCATTTAAATATAACACAATAATGAATAGGCAATTTAAGGGCACTAGCTCCACAATAAATGCATTCATCATATGATTTACACAGTGCCATTCTGTCAAAAAATGGGTAATGTCCCATACAACTAACCATTCAACGATGTGGATACTTATTCAGTTAAATCTAGGAAATGTTTACAAAAGCAAGGGCAGTAAGTCACTCGACATGATCCAATGCCAGCAGCACTTGCAATAGGTGCACATCCCTATCATCAGCATTTCATATATATATACAGGAAAGGGAACAACAAACCACAGAAGCCATAGCAGCCACAGAAGAAAAAATAAAGCTGACGAAAGAAAACCCTGCCCTTCCCAGCAGCCTCAGCCAATATATCCACACACTCTTACTTTTGTCCTCCCTTCCCCAGGAATGCCAGAAACAAGCAATGCCTCATAGCTAACCATTTAGAAAAGTATATTATTTGCAATTAGTTGTCTCTGTGCAGCGTGATGGAAGCCCAGAGTGTCAAACCTCACTTCCAAGTCTCTCTCCTCATTTCACCACTACTACTGGGATCTTTAATCCTGCTGTTATGGATGTATACCGGGCATGGGCAAACTTCAGGCCTCCAGGTGTTTTGGACTCCAACTCCCACAATTCCTAACAGCCTATCGGAATTGTGGGAGTTGGAGTCCAAAACACCTGGAGGGTCGTAGTTTGCCCATGCCTGGTGTATACATTGTTTTTAGGGGGGGGGGGGTGCTAAAAATAATCTATATTTATATAAGTTGTTAAGGGTATATTTGTTGTTGTTTTTTGAGGGGGGGAATGGCAAAAATCTTAATTAGGACAGATAAATGGTTCAGGGTGTGCACATTTTTCTGGGACATGTCATCTATTCAGAGTTGCGATGTGAACCAAATCTTGTTATAAAGGGTGAATGCACTGGTTATGAAATTCAGAAAGAAAGAAAAAAAGGATATATGTGTGTGTGTTGTGTGTATATAGAGATATACACACACACACATATATATAATAATAGTGAAAGTGTGTGTGTGTAGCGGAGGCATCCACTTACACAGACAGGCTCCCACCTCCACAAACAGAGGAGAAGCCACCAAAAGCCCTCCCTCCAAGGATATTTCAGATTACAGCGGGCACCATGAACATGTACCCCAACCCCTGCCAATGACCTCCCCAAACACCGTACTGCCCACCACTCAAGGAATGCTTTCATTCGAGAACAATTTCATCCTCGATTTTAAATGTTTCCTCCATCACAGACATCCCTGTGTTTCTTATTCTCTCTGTTGGCGTGGAATTTGCATGATCTCGTCCACTGTCTTTCCTACTCTTTTCAACTATGCACAACAAACAGAGCAGAACTAATTAGCAACTAAACATACTGGAGGGGTTTGGGGGATTGACTCCACATGATGGAAGTTGTAGTTCTCCCTACATAAAGTCAGAGCACTGTGACCCCCACTGACAATGAACCTGGACCTAACTTGGCACACAGGACCCTCATGACCAACTGAAAATATTGGAGGGGTTTGGGGGGAACTGACCTTCATTTCTGGAAGTTGTAGTTCACTTACATCCAGAGACACTGGGACCACTACCGATGACGGATCTGGACCAAACTTGGCACGCAGAACCCCCATGACTAACTCAATCTACTGGAGGGGTTTGAGGGGACTGACTCGCCATAGTGGGAGTTGTAGTTTACCCTGCAGTCAGAGAGCACACTGAACCCCACCAACGATTGCATCTAGAGCAAACCTGCCCAACACGACAAACTTTAACTACTGATGGAGTTTCAGGGGATTAACTTGGCATGAGGTGAGTTGTAGTTCACCCACAACCTTATGCATTTTGTAAAATACAAAAAATAACTTCTTCAAATAACCTGGGCAACGCCAGGTACCCAAGCTAGTGTGTGTGTAATTAAAATCTATGAATTAAATCTGGATCTATAAGCTGTTCACATTGTGCACATTTTCTGGGTCAAGCTGTCTACTCAGAGCTGTCACAAAGTGTTAGAAACTCTTAAGGATGTATAGTTTTTATATATAATTCTTAAGGGTATATCCGTTTTTGGAAGAAAAAACCCCAGACCTATATAAATGCTGTTCAGGATGTGCACATTTTCTAGGACATGCCGCATATTCAGACTTCAGCAGTGTTACGTTACCCAAACCTCTGATAAACCATTCAGGGCGTACACATGTTTTATACATAAACTGCAAGTCACTTCTGGGTGGTTTGTAGTTTTTCTATACATTATAACTGTATAGAATTCTCAATTCGCTTCTGACCCAATAAATAAATAAAATAAATATATAAACTGGGACAAGCTCAAAAAAGCAGAAAACCTGGGACCAGATCCTGGGATATAGAACTTGTCTGGAAGGGCCCTAAAAAAGCTCTGAATAGGAATTCAGAGCTCTTTTAGGGTCCTTCCAGACAGACCCTATATCCCAGGATCTGATCCTAGGTTTTCTGCTTTTGAGTGGATTATATGAGTCTACACTGCCTCATAATCTGGGAAAAAGAGAGAACCTGGAATCAGATCCTGGGATGTAGGGGCTGTGTGGAAGAGTCCTTAGCACTGTCAAAAGTGGATACCATTTTTTTTTTAAACAAAATGAAATAAAAATAAAAATAAAAACAAATCCAGACCCAGAAGCTGTTCAGCATGAACACATCTTGAGACACAATCTATATAAATAAAAATGTAATGTTCGTTTGTGGGATTAACATAACGCAAAAGCCACTGGACGAATTGCCGCCAAATTTGGCCACAAGACACCTACTAGCCCAAGGAGTGGCCATCACTCAAAAAATTGATTTTGTCATTTGGGAGTTGTAGTTGCTGGAATTTATAGTTTACTTACAATCAAAGAGCATTCTGATCTCCACCAATGATGGAATTGAACCAAATGTGGCACACAGGACTCCCATGACCAAGAGAAAACACTAGAAGGGTTTGGTGGGCATTGACCTTGAATTTGGAGTTGTAGTTCACCTACATCCAGAGAGCACTGTGGACTCAAACAATGATGGATCTGGACCAAACTGGGCACGAATACTCCATATGCCCAAATATGAACACAGATGGAGTTTGGGGAAAATAGACCTTGACATTTCAGAGTTGTAGTTACTGGGATTTATAGTTCACCTACAATCAAAGAGCATACTGAACCCCGCCAAGGACAGAACTGGGGCAAACTTCCCACACAGAACCCCAATACTTGAAGCCATTCAGTCCAACTCCCTTCACCAGGGCAAGAAAACGTAATTAAAGCCCTCCTGACAAAGAGCCTTCCAGCCATAGATATAGATAGATAGATATGATACATAGAGAGAGAGATAGCATCATAGATTTGGAAGGGACAATGATATGTTGCATGTTTCAGAGTAGGCAAACCAGACACTCTCCACATCAACACTGACAAAGAAACAGTAAGAAATACTGTTTACCCACAAGCATCAAGACATTACATAGATTAGAAACCAACACTTTCTCATTACTTTATTTTCCATATCACCAGACTGGGCCACAGCAACGCCTGGCAGGGGACAGCTAGTTATCTATATTCAGTGCTGTTCTAAATCGTTAGGCGTGTCTGCATTGTTTATACAAGCTGTATTTTGGGAGGAAAATAGGAACAGATATATAGGAATTATCTGTTCATAAGGGTTATAAACTCATCAGGGTGTATCTCCTTTGTGATGGGGGGAGAGACAAAGGAGGCCTTTGTGTGTGAGACAGACACACACTCACAGAGAAAGCCTTCCTTCCTTTCCTTTCTCTCCCTTTGGGGGCCCTCTTACCCGGATCCTCTCCACGGCGGCCTCCAGTTTGAGCTGCTCCACCAGGCGCTGGAGGGTGCTGAGGCTGGAGGTGGAAGACATGCTGCTGCTCCTGCTGCTAAAGGGCTTCTCCTGCCTCTTCCTCCTGCCCTAGTCTCAAGGAAAATGGGGGGACGAGGGGGAGGAGGAGGCCAAAAGCCCGCCTCTCTTTCTCTCTGACTCTCTCTCAGAAGGGCTCTCTGTCTCTGGGCACTGAGGGGAGGGAGGGAAAGGCAGGCAGTCCCTCCCCCGACGCCATGAGGGGGGGGGGGGAAAGGCCCTCAGGAAGAGCTCCGCCCTCACACAGGGTCCTTCCACACAGCCCTAGATCCCAGAAGATCAAGGCAGAAAATCCCACAATATCTGCTTTGAACTGGGTTATCTGAGGGCGCTTCCACACAGCCCTGGATCCCAGAATATCAAGGCAGAAAATCCCACAATATCTGCTTTGAACTGGGTTATCTGAGGGCGCTTCCACACAGCCCTAGATCCCAGAAGATCAAGGCAGAAAATCCCACAATATCTGCTTTGAACTTGGTTATCTGAACCCACAGCTCCCTCTCACACCTGGGATCCCTCTTGTGCTGCTTTTCTGGCTTGTGGTGGCAGCACAACCCATAGGCCCTCCTGAGGGAAAGTGTTCAGACACATCAGGGGTCTGGAGAACAAGCCCTATGAGGAGCGGTTTAAGGAGCTGGGCATGTTTACCCTGAAGAAGAGAAGGCTGAGAGGAGACATGATGAGGGCCATGTATAAATATGTGATAGGACGTCATAGGGAAGACGGAGCAAGGTTGTTTTCTGCTGCCCTGGAGACTAGGACGTGGAACAATGGCTTCAAACTACAGAAAAGGAGATTCCATCTGAACATGAGGAAGAACTTCCTGACTGCGAGAGCCGTTCAGCAGTGGAACTCTGCCCAGGAGTGTGGTGGAGGCTCCTTTGGAAGCTTTTAAACAGAGGCTGGATTGCCATCTGTCAGGGGTGCTGTGAATGCAATATTCCATCTTCTCGGCAGGGGCTTGGACTGGATGGTCCATGAGGTCTCTTCCAACTCTAGGATTCTATGATTTCCTCAGAAACAGTTTACTCTGCCCTTCCCGACAGGCCACATATCCCTGGTTTCTGTTTATCTGAGGGCCCTTCCACACAGCCCTGTATCCCAGAATTTGCAAGGCAGGAAATCCCACTTTATCTTGAGTGTGGACTCAGATAACCCACTTCAAAGCAGATATTGTGGGATTGTCTGCCTTGATATTCTGGGATATAAGGCTGTTGGAAGGGCCCCCAGATTATCTGGGACTCATATAATTCAGTTTAAAGCAAAAAACCTGGGATCAGTTCCTGGGATATAGAGCCAGTCTGGAAGGGCCCTAGAACTCAATGGCATGAGTTCAAATTGCAGGAAAGGACTTCCTGACTGTTAGAGCTGTTCAGCAGTGGAACTCTCTGCCACGGAGTGTCATGGAAGCTCCTTCTTTGGAAACTTTTAAACAGAGGCTGGATGGCCATCCCTTGGGGGTGAGGTGTGCATGCTTTGAATGCAGTTGTCTTGCTTCTTGGCAGAGGGTTGGACTGGTTGGCCCACGAGGTCTCTTCCAACTCTATGATTCTACGAATCCAGTTTAAAGCCTGGGAGCAGATCCTGTCTGGAAGGGCCCTGCGACTCAAACGAACCATGGGTTCAAATTTATTTTATTTATTTACTGCATTTTTTTAACCCCGCCCTATCGCCACCCCAAAGGGGACTTAGAGCAGCTTCCAGTTTGGCAATAATTCAGTGCCATATTGAGCCCCTGGTGGCACAGTGGGTTAAACCCCTGTGCCAGCAGGACTGAAGACCGACAGGTCGTAGGTTCGAATCCAGGGAGAGGCGGATGAGCTCCCTCTATCAGCTCCAACTCCTCATGCGGGGACATGAGAGAAGCCTCCCACAAGGATGATAAAACATCAAATCATCCGGGCGTCCCCTGGGCAACGTCCTTGCAGACGGCCAATTCTCTCACAACAGAAGCGACTTGCAGTTTCTCGTCGCTCCTGACACGACAAAAAAAAAGTGCCATATTGCATCATAAAAGCATACAAAATACACAACACATTAAGCATTAAAATCATAAAACAAACCATATAGATACATTTTAAAGAACTATTTAAAACATAGCACCTAATCATGCAATCACAATTCAAGCTGACTCGTTTAAATTAACTCCGTGGTTGCATATTGCACTGTGATTATACTACTCTCCAAACACCTGGTTCCACAGTCAAGTTTTAACTTTCTTTCTGAAAACCAGGAGGGAGGAAGCCGATCTAATGTCACTGGGGAGGGAGTTCCATAGCTGAGGAGCCAGCACTGAGAAGGCCCTCTCTCTCTCTCGTCTCCACCAGCTACTCCTGCAAAGAAGACAGAACCGAGACTAAGGGGTGTAAAAAATAAACTGTAAAAAAGGTGTTAAACTCTCCTAACATATTTTCAAAATACTTTACTTTGCTGATATGAAAGCCCTATTACACTACACCATTAAAGCACTATTATGGGTTGAGGAACCCTTAGTAGACACAGGACTGTGGTGGTCATGGTGAACACTTCACCCTGACTAAGGAGGATTTCAAAAGCCATTTGTAATATAGTAAGTGGTGTGCATTTTTAACTGCTGTTCGTAACAAAAACAGTCAGATCTTCCATTGAGTTTGCCAAAGTTTGGGACTAAAATAGCTCTTGGCTTATTGGATGTCAGCCACTGTTTCCCAGCATCACCTGGCTTGAATTCTTGTGGATCAGCTTATAACCCCAAGAAAATAATAATTATCCGTGAAGTATTACCAGGCTTTTTCTTTTAAGCCCAAACTTTAGACTGCAAATATACATAGTCTACTACTGGTACTAAGCACATTTACACCTTACTCATTTAAATGGGAAATCTCGTTAAATGCAATGAGTGGGACATAACAGCAACGAACTCTTACCGAACCATGCACCACTTAAATGTATTTTGAGGGGAAACAAAGCTTTTTCTGTTTTTGTTTTTAATTTAGGGACCCAAGTTGGAAAAGATTTTACACTGTTCAAACATTCTGCTGTTCAATGTATTGTCAAAGGCTTTCATGGCCGGAATCACTGGGTTCCTGTAGGTTTTTTGGGCTATATGGCCATGTTCTAGAGGCATTTTCTCCTGACGTTTCGACTACAAGAGTCCTTTGTCCCACCTTGGTCATTCCACAGATATATAAACCCATTTTCCTACTTCCAACAGACCTCACTACCTCTGAGGATGCTTGCCATAGATGCAGGCGAAACGTCAGGAGAAAATACCTCTAGAACATGGTCACATAGCCTGAAAAAACCTACAACCCATTCTGCTGTTCTTCGTTGACTAGTAATTGACATCTCTTTTTCACTTGTGACTTGAACCTAGCATTAGGCTAGTTTTATAAATAAATGTGTGTGTATGTGTCTTCAGGTTACCTGTCAATCTATGGTGATCCCATGAATTTCATAGGCTTTTCTTAGACAAGGAACACTCAGAGGTGGTTTTGCCAGTTCTTTCCTCTGAAATGCAGTATTCATTGGTAATATCCCACCCAAGTAATAGCCAGAGGTGACTCTGCTTAGTTTCTAAGATTAGATGGAATCTCTTGTCTTTACAATATTTAGGCCTTAGGTGGTTGATATCCTGTAAATTAAAAATGACAAATGGTTCTGTGATATGGCTTTGCAGTTGTTGATTGGTTAATTTGACTAAGTGATACAGCTTTGCATTGCTTGCTTATTTATTAATATGAATTAATAAATAAGGAAGGCTGAGTGAAGGAAGATAGACGCTTTTGAACTGTGGTGCTGGAGGAAAATTCTGAGAATGCCTTGGACCGCAAGAAACTCAAACCAGTCCATACTCCAGGAAATAATGCCCTGGAGGGAAGAATATTAGCTGGAGGGAAGAATATTAGAGGCAAAGATGAAGTACTTTGGCCATATCATGAAAAGACAGGAAAGTTTGGAGAAGAGAATGATGCTGTGGAAAATGGAAGGAAAAAGGAAGAGGGGCCAACCAAGGGCAAGATGGATGGATGGTATCCTTAAAGTGACTGGCTTGACCTTGAAGGAGCTGGGGGTGGCCACGGTCAACAGGGAGCTCTGGCGTGGGCTGGTCCATGGGGTCATGAAGAGTCAGAAGCAATTGAACGAATAAACAACATCACACTTAATAATTTTCTCTGCTTTTTCTAAGATTTATCTGTTTGATTTGCCATCACACGGGATGGCACATCTCCTCCCACTGTCTCCTCCTCTGTTTTCTTTGGATAGAAAAAAATCCTACGTGTTTGTCTTGTGGGAATTCTTAACATGAGATTCCATTAAAGAGATTTGTTCTATTTCTAAGCATATTTCATTTACTATAAGTATAATGCATATTTCATTTGCTGTAAGCATAGTCAGATATCTCTCAATTAAAAAGTGAAGTTATTTTATGTTTGAAAAGAGATCTGTTACTGTTCCTTCCTCCTCGGTCCCAAACGGTAATGGTGGAAGAAAGGAAACAATATTGCCCATCTCAACTCCTCCCTCTATGATTATGTCATTGCTTTCTTTACAAACAGGTAAGAGGGAATTCCCATCATGTTAAGTTGGGCATTTTATACGTCTCTAAACAGAAAATAGAAAAAGAAGTTGATTGCCAATTGACTTAGGAATTATAGGAAAACCCACTTTTGAAATGGTGAAATATCTGGAACCTACTGTTGAAGCTTGTGTCATGTGATGGGATCTGTGGGTTGCCAATTCTTAAATGTGTAAAAACACTAAATTTATTGTGTGTGATGAAGTCCAAAGCCTAGCTTTAGGGCAGTTTTCTCAACCTGTGAGTCCCAAGGTGTTTTAGCCTACAACTCTCAGAAATCCCAGCCAGTTTACCAGCTGTTAGGATTTCTGGGAGTTGAGGGCCAAAGTATCTGGGGACCCACAGGATGAAAACCACAGTTTTAGAGCAGCAGTTTCCAACCTTTAGGCTTCCAGCTGTTTTGAACTTCAACTCCCAGAAATACCAGCCAGCTTATCAGCTGTTAGGAACTGTGGGAACTGAAGTCGAAAGCACCTGAAGGCCCAAAGGTTGGGAACCACTGCTTTAGAGGGAATGGTTACTTCCTATTCACACTCAGCAAGACCTCATCAGAGTCTTCTCATATGGAGAGAAATGGGTTGCTTTCCTTTGACATGAGGATAGGCAGGCAGCTTTTTCTGGACCTGTGCAGTGAATTCCAAATCACTTTGCAGTCCAGGTTAGGGCCAGTTGTGAGGCTGGTGTGTGTCGCATCATGAATGCAGGGAGCTGATACACCTGAACTTGTGGAACAAGGATCTTCACTCACTTTGCAATTCCAGTTGTACACTGCCATGCCAGAGCAGGACCACATGAAGAGTCTGTGAATCTAGCAGTGTTTTGGAACAGATAAAATATTTCCCAGGAAATTTTAATTACAACCAGGTGTATTTTTCTGCTCTGGTGAAAAGATTTGCATTTTATGTGTTAAGGGTTTGTAGTGGCATGTGGAAAAATAATAGCAATCACTTTTGTGAAGATGAGCTGTTGAGAAAACCCCTCAAATTCAGAAAACAGTGCCTATTTCCAGGCCTATTTCAACTTCCCTTCACACCCTATTACCACCTTGCCTTTCTTTGAAGCATCAGCCCTCACCTCTAGCTTCAGCCGTGGCTTGGAAAGGAAGCATTGTGTGGGCATTTATGTTAATCTGCTAAACGCGTACAGTTCAGCTTCTCTCCTCCCATGAAAATGGCCCTCCTGTACAGATTGTCTGTTCTGTTCTCTATGAAAACTCCACAATTGCTGCATTTAATGAAATTGATGTTAACATATTTTAATTTCTGTTGGTATTTTATAGGCACTTTTAGTAATTTCTCCTTTTGAGTTTGGGCAATTCAAGGTTTTTACACTCAACGCTGCTTTTCCTCCAGTTCTTTAAAGATGAATCAGAATCACTTGAGTCAGCATAAATTACTAACTGAAATTATTTGTTAAAGATGGGGATTTTGCAAAAGAATACAGTGTACGGCATTTTCCAGGAAATACATAGCAACAGTTTCTAAAGATTCCAGATTATTGCTGTCAGAAGCCCTTCTTGGTCTTTACTATTGCTGAATTGCCTAAAGTAATTATATTCAAATATCATGACTAGCAGAAAATTATATTTTATCACATATCCACTGTCCCTTCACTTTTCCATCTGTTCTTGCCTCAAACACCTATCAATGCATTCATATCTCAATTTAACACTCCAACTGTCAGACCAGATGGGAAGTCTCCTCATTCTATTTGGTAGAACATCCAGATATGTTTAATGCTTTTTAGATTAATTTAAATCAGTTTCCTTAATACTAGTTCCCATCCCTTTCCATCTTCTTTAGAACATCACAGTATAGTTACCAGCATGCCTTGTATTAAAAATATACCTTTGGAAATTATTGTTTCTGAGAGACTGAAGTATTTTCCAGACTACTTCTCCTTTTCAACTCAAGGTACTTCAAATACTTGTAGAAATAAAGGTGTACATTGTATGAGTATTCCCGCAAGCTCAATAGAGGACTGAGATATACATCCAACAAAAATCCCTTTTTTACACACCAAGGTTATTTTGGTGTGTGTGTGTAGATTCTAACTCAATTTACATCTATGATCTAGAGGAATCTATAGTTTGCACTAGTCAGAGCATCTGGAGTATTGCATTCAGTTCTGGAACTTAAATCCCAGTTTTAAAAATTTAACAAACATGCCATGTACAGGTTTTTTTAAAAGTTCATTACACAATGTAATTTGAAAGAATGTATGTTCCTGGTTTGAAAGGGTTATTTCTTGTTTAATTGTGTGGTACTTACTTTGAAAGTAGTTGTTATACTTCAGAAACTTTGTTTTAGTGGCTGCCACAAACGGTATTGAATTGGTTGAGACTATGAGATATTCATTGAAAAACTATAGCAAAATGTACTGCAGGATGTCCTGCAAAAACAAGGTTTTTGAAGTTTAATAAACTTTTTCCCATGTTTTAATGATAGAACCAATTAGGAAATGGCATTTATAACCCTGGAACAAAAATCATGTTACCTAGTGTTATAGATCATAGCGGTTACTCAATTAAAAAACCTGAGATAATAAAGTTGGATTGGTTTTTTAAAAAAATCTGATTGATCACTCCATCCAATAACAAAATCATAGTATTTACAAACAGCTATGTAGCTCAAATAAGACCACTGCAAAACAAGAGGGAGCTATGGGTAAACAAGAGAAGCAGACAGAGCTTCCACAAGGTGGAAGCTCCTTCCTTGGAAGCCTTTAAACAGTGGCTGGATGGCCATCTGCCAGGGGTACTTTGATTGTGCTTTTCCTGCATGGCAGGGGGCTGGACGAGATGGCCCATGTGGTCTCTTCCAAATCTATTATTCTACAATTCTAGGTTTATTAATTTCCCTGCCAAAACAAACAAAATATTTCTCTTCACCACAGTTATTTTGTGCCACCTGTTACCATCAAGGTAAGTAATTTTCCATCACAGCTAATCAAAGGTAAGAATTCTAAATCTAAAACCTGCTGCCTGAGCTGCCATTTTTGTTTCCCATCATTTCCCCTTGTCATATTTAAATTTGTAAGCCTTTGAGCACAAAAGGTTTGATCTATGTTAATTGCAATAGGACGCTTTTTGGCTTAAACGCCTGGTAAAAATTGCCCAAATAAATGGTTTTAGAATCTCCACAAGCCAAGATTTCACATAGCAGCAAAAATATTCTTTGATTATCAAAAGTGTTCACAAGGATTCATCACCATGGCATCCTGAAAGTGATTCTGAGTAACATACTTGTTTTCATTGTTTCACACAGTATATTCGTTTTGAGTTTTTATAATGTATTCATCTTAATATCTAGGCTATAATACCTGAAGTATTCTGTGAAAGATATTGCTGGAATTACATCTTTGGTATCCCAAAGTGATGCATTAAGAAACATGGAATTAGGTTTTAATCACTTTTCGAAATCCTGAATAATTTACTACAATTTACAAAAGGATTGAAAACTCATAGGGATTTGGGGATGTAAAAAGTAAAATTAAAACAATGGGTGTGGCTTAAGTGGTAAGCTTCCTAAAATTAGAATACTTAATATCAAACTTTAGACCAACCGATTTCTTTGTGTGTTCTACATAATTATGACACTAATATCTCAGATTTATTTTAACTGAATCCCAGATGAATAGTAAAACAAAGCAATTAAGGCTGATCAACAGATTTGCTTTTATTTTTATATATATATAAAAGTCATAAAATGTTAATAGTTTTCTGCCTGATTGAATAATTCCTGAGTTTTAGAACACTGCTAAAAACACAGCAGTGAAACTCTGAACATTTTAGGTATGAATTTTCTTGTCAATGATCTGTAACCCGACTGTACGTGTTCAAAAAAGTATCAATCATCAATAAACGTCAGTCTTCCAGGTCCTTCATTCCTCATCCACCGCCTGTATCTTTTCCATCGAGGGTCCATTGCCATCTTTTTCTTCAACTCTTCTTCTTGCTCTTGTTTGTAAAGCTGAAAAGGTTTAGGTGAAAACAACTATGTTAACGCAGCAGCACAGAAGAGCAGACTCAAGATTCTTTCAAGTGGCCTATTGTGAATTGCATAACAATAAGTGAAGAACATGCTGCAGAACATTGGGGAATATGCTGAAAATGTGCAAAAGCAATAGATAATCTACTGAGCAATGGAGAACTAATGAGTGCAGCAAGTGGACAAAATAAAACAGAATAAAAATTCAGTTTAGTATCCCTCAAGTAGTGCCTTTGAGAATTAGCATATATTTTGATATTTTCGTGTATATGCCTTCAAGTTACCTGTGCACTTAATAACAACCTAAAGAACTGAACAAGAAAATATGTTAATTTTGAACTAAAAAAAGGAAGTCACCTTTTAGATTACATTTAAAATATCTCCATGTTGTGCAGTGTCCACTCTATATGATTATATTAAGCAACACACACAGTATTATATAAAGAGAAGTCGAAATAATAGAGCTGGTGGTAAGTCTACTCAGCAGACTAGCACTCTGAACCTAGGCTTAGAAGATGAAAAAAACTAAAAACAAAAACAAAAACAACCAGGAGAGAGATTGACAGTTAAATGCAAAAGAGATCCTGAAATATGGCAGATTAAAATGTTTTAGATTTGGGTTCTCCTTAGCAGAATCTCTAATACGAGCTACTGTCAAGTTTTGTACTCTCTGAGAACAAGAACACATTTATTTATGTATTCTGGTTACCAAAATCACCCAACTCCTTGTGCTGAGGTCTGTTCTATGGATGTCTGAAAACAGACACGCCCTTCACCCTGATCTTCTATTTCTGGAGCATTCTTTCTAGGAAAAGTCATTTGTAGTCTTGTCTTCTAGAACCGGGGGGGGGGGGGGGGGAGATGTTCTTGTTTTGCATAGCTTACAATAGGGATCACTTTTTTAAATGATAAAAGTAAAGGTAGGGGTTTCCCTTTGACATGGTCTAGTCTTGTCCGACTCTGGGCAGTGGTGCTCATCTCCATTTCGAAGCCAAAGAGCCAGCGTTGTCCATAGGCACCTCCAAGGTCATGTGGCCAGCATGACAGCATGGCGTAGTGTTACCTTCCCGCCAAGGTGGTACCTATTGATCTACTCACATTTACATGGAAGTACTAGGCTGGCAGAAGCTGGGCCTAACAGCGGGAGCTCCACTCCCCTGATTCAAACTGCCAGCCTTTCAGTCAGCGAGTTCAGCAACTCAGCAGTTTAACCCACTGCGCCACCAGGGGGCCCTTTTAAAAATGATACTGTTACTTTATGGTTTACAGTAGTGCATTTTGCCTCCCTCTTGTATGGAAAGATTTAAGAAAAACATTCACAGAAAAAAACATCATGGGTTTAGTTCAAATAAAAACTAGTGATTACAAAAGAGATTGCTTGTATTACCTGAACAAAGGATAAGGTTCCTTAGTTCAGCCCATAGTATGCAATGCAGTTTTAGATATCAATTCATAATACGGTGGCCAAGATCCTGTTGGATTCTTGTACAGGGAGAACTATGGAGATAAATACAGCAGCGGCAAGAAGAAAAAGGCTTAATATGAACAAAAAGACGAAGGCAAAATTGGTGGTGGTATGGCTTTAATAACTGCCTGGTCAGGGGCACGAGTGTTTGTACCCTTTCCAGAATACCATGACTGTAAAACATGGGTCTATGTGCCTTCAATTCACTTGTATATTTCTGGTGATCCCATCAATTTCATAGGATTTTCTTAAGCAAGGAATATTCAGAGAATGCGGACCTCCAAGGTCATTTACTTTAGACTTCAAGGCACACAAGACAATCCTACAAGACTTGATTATCTCATCAGCCAAGAGAAGGCTCATACTTCCCATTGAACAGCTGGAAAGTTTGTAGGTTAAATTATTATTTATTTTAAATATTGTTTCTTTTTTTGCACTACAAATAAGATTTGTGCAGTGTGTGTAGGAATTTGTTCATTTTGATGTTGGTTTTAATAATGTTGGTTTTGCTATTATGTTGTTGAAAACCGCCTTGAGTTGCCAATAGGTTGAGAAAGGCAGTATATAAGTATAGTAAATAAATAGTAATTTTTTTTTTCAAACTACATTCCCCCTGCCCTCCCAATCATACTGAGGGAACATGAACTGGCTCTCTGCTTAAAAGGACTCCTGCTCTAATGTATAGCCCACAGCACCAGGTATTCACTGGTGGAGCTTACATCCAAATACAGATCAGAGCTGACTCTGCTTGCTTCCAAGGTCCAAACAGAACACCCTTCTTCTATCGCACATACTAGAGAAAGCAAAATGCTTGTATTGCCTTGTCGCTTTTTCAACAGCCGTCTCCCTGTGCAACCCTCAAAAAATGCAACCATTCAGGTAATGAACCCTACATGAAAGGAGTATACCAACTGGGTTGTATTCATTGCATTATATTTTTCACCTTCAATGTGTTAACACCACTCACCTCATACTTCTCTCTTATCCAGAGCTGCCGTTCAAGAAAAGTCTCTTTCTGGTTTTCTTCCAAGGTGTCAAATTGAGACTTGGACATTTTCATGTGTTTACGTATGATGTACAATTTTTCTTCTTCTCCATACTCTTGTCCTTTGATATTGAAACAATAAATCCACCAACAATACCATCCTATATACTTGCAGACATAAAAAGGGGTCAAAAGGATTTGGAAGAAAAGAATGTCGTATATTTGGGGTTTCTGATAACCACCTTTGATATCTATTTTGTTTTTGATTACATCTTTGATTATTTCCTCTTGTTCCTTGCGGATTTCTTCTTTAGATCGTCTGCTTTTGCCCTTTTCCCTTGCTATGTTCAATAGCCCTTGCTGCCTGGCAATTTCAGTGGCTTGTATACGGTATTTTGGCAAAGTTGCTAGGTAGTTGATAGCTTCATTGTAGCTACTCCACCAGCTGAAAAACTAGAACACAAAATGATAAGCTCAATTTAAGGTAATATCATGTAAGCAAGGTAGAAGCTGTTAACAAAGCTTCTGACAAAAATGTTCCATTTCACGAAGCCTTTTTATGCATTCCCAGCCCAGCTTCCCCCATCCTCTGTCTAGCACAGTGGTTCTCAACCTGTGGGTCCCCAGATGTTTTGGGCTTCAACTCCCAGAAATCCAAACTGCTAGTAAACTGGCTGGGATTTCTGGGAGTTGTAGGCCAAAACACCTGGGGACCCACAGGTTGAGAACCACTGGTCTGGGAGGAAGATTTTTAGTGGCATCGGCATTAGGGGCATGTTGAGGGAGGGCTAGAGAAATTCAGAGTTTTCAGTGTCAAGTTGAAGTAGCACATTTGCAGTAAATAGTGTAATGAATCTGAAGTTGGGAAAACCTTGCATACTACAACAGGCAAGATAAAAAGCAGCACCCTCTACAATCCCCTATTAAGTGTGTATGAAATGAAAAGGGGACAGAAAAGTCTGTCTTATATTTTCTGTATGCTAAAAAAGAAGCAGAGATCAACATGTTTGGCCACCAAAAGAAAAATCTTCAAAAGAAGATTTTAATGTTTTTATTTACATGTAATCATTGTATTTATTATGTTGTATGAGGGGGCATCGAATCGTTGCTGGCTGTAAGCTGCTCTGAGTCCCGCTGTGGGGGTTGAGAAGTGCAGGGTACAAATAATTGAAATAATAATATTAAATCCGTGAGATGGGGTGACCTCCCATCTGTCAGCTCCAGCTTCCCATGTGGGGACATGAGAGAAGCCTCCCACAGGATGGTAACACGTATGGGTAATACCAGAAGCGACTTGCACTTTCTAAGCTGCTTCTGGCACGATTAAAAAAATTCACATATTTCAGAGTTACCTAAAATACCCAGGAATTGGGGTGGGTGTAGTTCTCAAAGGAGAAAATTGGCCAAGTACTCTTATGCTTTTTTTAAAAAAATTAAATGTATAGTTTTTTTAATGATTTTATATAGCTTGTATAGAATATATGCATAACTTGATCTCACATATAATTCTAGGACAGGTTTTGTGCCCAAAATTGTGGATTTTGGTATGAGCCATGAATAAGTCAAGGATCATTCCAAGAGAGCATAGGTTACCTTCTAGCTTTTCAACTAGAAGTTCAAAATGAGGCAATCTTTAGTAAGATATGAGGCTGGTGTGTGCAGGTGAGAGGGAGAAACAAATGCAACTGCCAAAATACATTTTGGCAGTCAATTCAAAATGTTATTGCTATCAGCTAACAGCCATTATATAAATATATGTATTACAAACATCACATTTGATCTTTGTATACAAGTCTAAGGCAAAAGATGGGATTCAGAAGTTCTAGAAGTTACATATTTGTAAACATCGCCCAATAAAAAAAACAGCTCTTGCAAGAGCAACCACCCTGTCACCTGCAAAAACAATTTAGAATGGACTGTCAAAAGTTTTATTTAGATCTTGATTACTACAAGAAAAATAACATGGAGAGAGGCAAGAGAGAACATGGCAGCAGAAAGAAACCAACTTGAAGGTGTGGCAAATTTAGGTGTTTGTGCCTGATTAAAGACTCTTGTTGATTCTCCCTGTTAACACCTGTACATCAATTAATTGGACCCAGAGTCAATATCTCACTTGGGAGGTCACAAATTCTGTACAGTAAAAACAAAACAAAACTGCAGGGCAATGAAAAAGGCTAACAGTTTGGGTTGTTCTGTGTATAAAGGCTAGGTCAATGAATGCTGCACCAGGAAGAGAAGCTTAATCTGAGCAAATAAAACAACAAAATGATTCATGTTGAAAGGGAATGACAAACTTTGATCTAGGAAACTTGGACTTGGCACCAGAGTGGATCAAGGACCGTACTAGGCAAAGATCTAGGATACCAAGATTTAGAAGCAAGCAAACTTTCATCTGCTCTTGGATCTCTGCCACAAAATATCAATCCACACAAAGCCACAGTTCAGAAAAAGCAGTTCCATATATTAATATTAAGGGGAAGTTATAGACATTAAAACAAAGAATGCAAAGGAATAAATGATCCTGAGTGGATTAAAAGTGAAGAGCAAATGGATTAATAGCTTGACGTCAGTGGATGTAAGAAAGCTTTATTGATATTCTTGGCTAGGTTACAATTTAAAAATTCAGCAAAAACCATGCTGAATTTTTAGACAGGTAAAGAAAAGCTTCTTTCGACATGCTGCCTCTCTACAAGGCTTCCCATGCTGTTCCGGTAGGTCCCCAACAGTCTAGAGCAGTTCTCAGAGAAACACAGAAGGGTAAGGGTGGAAAGGGGAATCAGCAAAAATTGCTTTCTATCCAGATCTTCAACTATGAAAGAAACTCTTAATCCAATCCTTCTTTTTAAAAAATACAAGCAGAAGATAATATAGGAATAGGGAACAGACACAAATAGTTACCTGAAATACAGAGATAGCACAGACTGTGACTAGGATCACTATTCTGACATCCACCTTGGGTGCCAGTCTTCTAGAATAATAGTGATAGTAATGGCTGTAATACTCCTCAGGATGATCCAACATATAATCATAATCCTTACGAGTTTCTTCATCCTGCAAATAGTGATTAGAAGTTTTTACAAATATCACACTGTACAATAAATTTAAGATTACATTGTCGTAACTTTTACTTTGAGTCCAATTTAGGGAAAAAAGGAGGAAACTTATTTTTTAAAAAACTACCTATGGATATAAAACATGCACTACTTGTACATACACATAAAATTAACTATAATATTTATGCAACAAGACAACAAGGAAAAAGGCGTAGTTCATAATATACATTGCAAATGACTGGAGCTATATTTTTAGATGGAACAGTCTTAAATCTTTATAGTCAAAGCCAGTTTATTCTCACAAAAGATCACACAAACCAAACATATAGGCAACAAGAAGTGAATTACAAAGTTGTATGAAGAACTATATTTACTCTAAATGTCTTGCTGCATACATGTGTGTACAGTCTGAAGCTCAAGTTTGTCCTTTATTCTATGAAGCTGACTTAAGTTGCTTTTTGTTCTAACTCTATTGACTGCACTGCAGAAGAAGACTGAAAATAGCAGAGAGCATGTGTTAACCAATGACACTTGCTGACAGGCATCCCATGAAAGGCTATAACAGCCATGTGCACACAGAGCACTCAAAGGCTGTCCTAAATCTAGCTTTACATTGCACACATCTTTCTAGATTTAGACTGAACTTTTATTTGTCTGTATTTAACTTTTGTAAGCCTCCTGGAATTCACAGGCTGTGAAAAAAGTGGGATGTAAACAATAACATTTTTACAGTATAGAATCCCTCCACATTCATATACCCCATATGAATGGCCATAAAATAATGCAAGATTTCGTTCTTGGTCATAATGATCTAAAATTTCTATACATGGGTAATGCATGGCTACTCCGACACCTTCAGGATTTATCATGCTTAAGGAAAAGAGAAGTCACAATCTCATTACAGCCCCATAAATCCTCTACTGTGGCTGAAGAGTGGATTGCTTTGTCCCTGTCAACCCATTAGTTTTCTCCTCAATCAACGTATTCTTCACCAATGTGGTGCCCTTTACATGTTTCAGCTCAGCACCTACAATCCATCAGCAATAACAATGTTAGCCATTTCTCATTTACGGGCACTTTCAAAAGAATAAAATGTGTGAGTTGTCTTTTTCTTTAAGCAGTTCCTAACATCTTAATGGGCCAATGATTTTTATTTTTTTAAGTATTTCAGATAAATTAATCTGCAAGAAAAGAAGGGTGAGAGGAGACATGATGGCCACATATAAAGGTGTGAGGGGAAGTCATAGGGAGGAGGGAGCAAGCTTATTTTCTGCTGCCCAGGAAACTAGGATGCAGAACAATGGCTTCAAACTACAGAAAAGGAGATTCCACCTGAATATTAGGAAGAACTTCTGAAGAACTGTGAGCACTGTTCAGCAGTGGAACTCTCTGCCCCAGAGTGTGGTGGAGGCCCCTTCTTTGGAGGCTTTTAAACAGAGGCTGGATGGCCATTTGTTGGGGGTGCTTTGAATGTGATTTTCCTGCTTCAAGAAGAGGTTGGACTGGATGACCCATGAGGTCTCTTCCAACTCTATGATTAAATGAATCCAGTTTAAAGCAGAAATCCTGGGAGCAGATCCTGGGATATGGGGGCTGTTTGGAAGGGCCCTGGGACTAAATGGAGCCATAGGTCAATGAGCTATTAAGTTTCTATAGATTCTATTACGTTTCTATAGTTCACAACACCAGACAGCTTTTTAGTTTTAGTAATTCTACTCAATTTATATTCCTATTACTTTGGGAATAATTATTCTATGATTAGCTACCTCAACAGAGTGTAGCTAATAAGCCTTGGTGTTTCAAGGCTTATTAAATATACCATATAAGCAAGTTTGAGAGGTACCCAAACATATTGTCAATTATAGAATAGGGAATGTTATAAATCTAAGCACAGTAAAATTTATACGAACTCTGTATAATTAAAGAGAGGTTCATTATTGGATTTTGCCTTCAGCAACTCTAAAAAGCAGTTATTTCCCAGAAACATGGCACGGCTATAAGATTTGGAAGAAGGTGTAGGTTTCCCCTGAAGCTCTGAAAACAGCATTCTTGACAAATTTCTGTATGCCCTCACTGCATAAGACCTCTGTTATGCTATGCACATGTCTTTGCCTCAGCAGCCCATCATTAGTCTTGGCTGTTTAAAAAAAAATATTTCACAGAGAAGACATGATGTAGACAGAATTTCGAATGCCAACAATGCCACTCCCATGATGAGACAGAGTCCCAAATGCCAACAAACTTAAATTTTGTTTTTCATTTAAAAAACACCAAAATTGCAACTATAATTATGGGGGACAACACCCAATGACACTAGTGTCATATTTACAGAACAGCAAGGCAGATATTCTTCAGTTACAAGGAATTCAACTGGTTGTTTCATGTAAATCCAAGTCTTTAAGAATATTGACAGGATTGATTATTCTTATTCCTGTCTTGAGTAGTTGCCCTATCATGCTATATTTATATAGTGCTTTTAAAAACACTCTTCAGAAGTTATTTATATGCAACTGGAAGAGCTGTTGGGAGGAAAATATAATCCAACCTCCCTTGGGTGTCAAGATACTTGGACCTGATCTTCACATGTCTAAACTGCATGGTAACATTTCTTAACAATTGAGCACTGGTGCTAGGAAGCAAAAGACAAGACAGCATAATATCCTATTGGTAAAGCATACATCAGCATTTTTATGGGTAGTCTCACACATTTGACTTACAAGCCCAAAGGTCATAAATGACATCCAAATTCTCCAATCATTTGCATTTTCAGGAACTGCACCAGATTTCCCTTCTACAATGCTGACTTTGGGTAAGGCCCTCATCTCTCAAATTCTGCCTCCCATCTGCAATATGGGGATGGCAACTGAGATCAGATTTAAATCCATGCTATAAAGAATGCTAAAATGGAGAACATACTTCGGATCTTATATCACCACAAGTATCAATTGCTGACTTATTAAGTGTCAGAAGTCTTGGTCTTTGAAAGTCATATCAAACATTTCAAGCAGATAAAGTTACAAATGGGCGTGACTATAAAGCATCTTCCCTCCATGTATAGGAGGACCACCCCACAATATTAGATAGTATAGCGGAAACTGTCCTAAGCTACAGTGGGGGAAAGCACCAAGAAATCTCATAGGAGGAAACTCTGGACGTCATCTCCATTTGGGACTAAAAGAAGGTCCAGGAGCAACTTAGGGAATCACAGAACTATCAAAATGTTAAATAATATTGCAATGCAGATGAGGACAAAGTGCCATGGGAAGGTAGTGGGGGAATACCACATGAAAAACAAGGCCCTTTGGCAAAAATATCAGAGAAGTCCCTGAGTTTGCAGAGCAGCAATGGCATAACCATTGCTCCTTTTCAATGAGCTGCACAACATTCTCTGTTGGGATGTCTCTATACCTCTCAAGAATATTGTTCACTTCACTATTATTCAATGTGCCCCAACAGGACAGGATCCCAGTGTCCAGAAAGCATATTCCAGACCCGTTGAAAACTGCTCCAATGAACTAGTACAATGAACCAGCCAGAACCTGACTGGCAACCACCACTCAGAGGACCTTTTCATCGGCCGCCCCATGACTGTGGAAGGACCTGTTGGAAGAACTCCGACGTGTAAATGGGTTGTTGGAATTCTAAAACTACGTAAAGACCTATCTCTTCCAGCAGGCCTACCCAGACAGTCTTTAAACATGAATTTTAAGTGCCCCTTTTTTTACATCTGTCTTGTATGTTTAAGTATGTATTTTGTAGGGATACATTTTGGTGTTTAACTTTTACGGAGGTACGTTTTAGTGTATTTGTAGTGTTTTTGCTGTGCTTATGTATTTTAATTGTTTTTAACAGACCTCACAACCTCTGAGGACTTTTTTTTGTGTGTCAGGAGTGACTTGAGAAACTGCAAGTTGCTTCTGGTGTGAGAGAATTGGCTGTCGTCGGCAAGGACGTTGCCCAGGGGATGCCCAGATGTTTGATGTTTTACTATCCTTGTGGGAGGCTTCTCTCATGTCCCTTCATGGGGGCTGGAGCTGACAGAGGGAGCTCAACCCGCTCTCCCCAATTCGAACCACAATCCTGGGGGCACAAGGGTTTAACCCAGACATGGGCAAACTTTTTTGCCTTGGGGCCACATTGTGGGCCCAGCCAGGAGGGCTGGGCCGGGAGGGAGTGGGGCCAGGAGGGGACAGGGCAGGCCTCAGGTTGTCCTCCCAGCATAAAGACAGGGCTGCTTGCCTCATGCTTATGCTGAGAGGAAGATGGGACACATGGTGACTGCCCCGATCCACATCCCCCGATCCTTGAGCTATCCTCTTGACATTATGCCAGAAGGAGCACACGACAGGCGGTGGCTGAGGGTGCTCCAGAGGCCTCTCAGCTGCCACGTGTCTTCCTTGAGCTGTCCTCCGTCCTTATGCTGGAAGGAGGGCAAGACATGTGGTGACTGAGAGTGTTCCAGAGGGCTCTCAGCTGCTGCAGGCCGCTGTGTCCTTATGCCAAAATGACAGGGTAAATGAGGGAGGGCCTGAGGTAAGTGCCCCCTGGGCCTTAGTTTGCCCAGCCCTGGTTAGACCCACTTCACCACCGGGGCTCCACCTTTGATGATGCCAGCCATAGATGTGGCCAAAACGTCAGGGGAGAATGCTTCTAGAACATGGCCATACAGCTTGACAAACTCACAGCAACTCAGTTATGAATACCATTTTCTAAAAGGTTATGATCTCTAAAAGTTCATGCTTGCCTAAAAGGAACACCCAATTAAAAAACCCCAGGAGATGGCTATTAATAATGATAATTGGTTACTGTTAGGATAGGTATGGGCCAACTTCAGGATTCCCTCCAGGGGTTTTGGGCTTCAACTCCCACCATTCCTAATAGAAGGTTTTAAAGGGGGAACTTTCAAAGATGTTCCCAATGCCTATACGTTACGATTTACTACCACATTGGCCTATTTCTGAAGTAGGCCTATGTTTACAGAAAATGCTGATTGTTTGAGAAATCAGTGCTCCAGAGAAGAAGTTAACTATTCAAGGATAACAGCACATCCGGACAAAACCAGCTAGCTGGTGGCTAGTTAGAACCCCCAAGTTCCCCAGTCGCTCTGGAGCCATGTTTGCAACAGACTAACAGATAAGATATAGTCATATCAGGGAACAATAGAATCACAGAGTCGGAGGAGACCTCATGGGCCATCCAGTCCAACTCCGTTCTGCCAAGAAGCAGGAAAATTGCATTCAAAGCACCCCCGACAGATGGCCATCCAGACTCTGCTTAAAAGCCTCCAAAGAAAGAGCCTCCACCACACTCTGGGGCAGAGAGTTCCACTGCTGAATGACTTTCACAGTCAGGAAGTTCTTCCTAATGTTCAGATGGAATCTCCTTTCTTGTAGTTGTAGACCAGGGGTCCTCAAACTTTTTAAACAGAGGGCCAGGTCACAGTCCCTCAATCATCCCTCAAACTGTTGGTGGGCCGGATTATAGTTTTAAAAAAATGAATGAATTCCTATGCACACTGCACATATCTTATTTGTAGTGCAAAAAACATTTAAAAACAATACAATAATTAAAATTAAGAACATTTTTAACAAATATACATTTATTAGTATTTCAATGGAAAGTGTGGGCCTGCTTTTGGCTGATGAGATAGGATTGCTGTTGTTATTGTGTGCTTTCAAGTAGCTTCATACTTAGGTTGACCCTGAGCAAGGGCCAGGTAAATGACCTTGGAGGGCTGCATCTGGCCCCCGGGCCTTAGTTTGAGGACCCCTGTTGTAGACTATAGTTGTGTTATAGTTGTGCCATTGTTAGGATCCCACATGTGCTATTATGTCAATCAAAATCATAAACAACTAATGAACAACTGTATAGCTAGCTTAGACCAATAATATGATTTGTCTTTGGGAAGCAATGAGAATGTGTATGCAGAGGCGGCCCTAGGTAATTTTCAAGGGTAAGCAAACAGTATCCCCCCCCCCCACCCAAATATATTTTCTGTTCGTCGTGGGAGTTCTGTGTGCCATATTTGGTTCGATTCCATCATTGGTGGAGTTCAGAATGCTCTTTGATTGTAGGTGAACTATACATCCCAGTAACTACAACTCGCATATGTCAAGGTCTATTTTCCCCCAAGAGCGCCTCAAGAGCACCCCTGGGCAAAATCAACTGTACTGCAAATGTTTACTTTGCATAATGGGTTGAGCCGCCCCTGTGTGTATGTCAGAAATTATAAAAACCTTGCCGCCCCATTGGGGGGGGGGGCACAAACCCTTTGATTGTGTTCCTGTATGCTTGTTTGTCATTAATGCAATAAATAGTTTTTTTTAGTTTAAAAGATTCAACTTTCGTGGTGTCCTTCCTTGCCCTCCCTATTGGAAAGGGGGCTCTTGCTTTCTGGGAGACCTTTCGGTTTCTTTGCCCCTACACCAGTGGTTCTCAACCTGTGAGTCCCCAGGTGTGCTGGCCTACAACTCCCAGAAATCCCAGCCAGTTTACCAGCAGTTTAGGATTTCTGGGAGTTGAAGGCCAAAATATATGGGGACCCACAGGTTGAGAACCACTGCCCTACACTAAAAACCTCAGGGGCTTTCCTTTCCCCCCTCAGCCGCTGCTGAGGAGGAAAAGGAAAGGAGCCGAGGCTATTAGGACTGGCGGGAGTCGCAGTCCAAAGCCCCTGGAGGGAGGGAGGGCCGCAGTGGGCCCATGCCTGTGTTGTGGGCACTCCTTCCTCCCCAGTGGCGCCTTCCTCTTCCTCTCCTTGTGCTTCCGGGAGGCCTGGCCCTTCCGGCCCACACAGCTGCGGGGAGGGCAGCGTCTTACCGGCGGCGGAGGGGCGTGCCTGGGGCGTGAGGCGGGAGCGGGCGGGCCCGGCCCGGCTCTCTCACCTTGAGGGTCTCGTAGGCGGTGGCGATGAGGAGGAACTGCTCCTGGGCGGCCTCCGGGTCGGGCTCGCGGTCGCGCTGCCGGTCCGGGTGGTAGCGGAGGGCCAGCTGGCGGTAGGCGCGGGCGATCTCGGCCTTGCTGGCCTCGCGGCTCACGCCCAGCACGTCGTAGCACACCCGCTTCCCGCAGTACAGGCCCTCCACCAGGGCCTCCGCCGGGCGGAAGCAAAAGCAGCACAGCACGTCCCACAGCATCAGGAGAGGCAGCAGCGGCGGGCCCCGGCCGGACCTCCACCGCCACGGCGGGGGCGCCCCTCCTGAGGGCCCCGGGCCCCGCCGGCGAGGCAGCGCCATGGCCGTCGCCAAGGGCGACCCCCCCGACCGACCCTCCAACCGCTCTCGCGCTCTTTCTCGCGCGAGCGAGCGCCTAAAGGCACGGCACACCACGTCGCCTCTGCCTCGCGCTCCCTTTTGCGCGAGCGCGGGGCCAGAGGAGGAGGAGGCCTCTGAGCCTACACGTGGACAAAGCAATGAGAGAGTCAGGCGGGCTCGGATTGGAGGGCGAGTAGCCAATCCGTGTGTGTCTAGAAGAGAGAGAGGTTCTTTAGAACGAGGAGCAGCTTCGAGCCAGAAGTCGGACCAATCAGAACAAGAGGAGGAGGAGGAAGGGTGGGACTTAGTCTCTAGGTGACAGGTGTGGAAGGGGCGCTGCATTAACTGCCATGGCTCAAAGGCTTGTCACACTACAGCTGAAAGAGTAAGCTTCCCCCCTGAAATCATGTCTGCCTCCTTCCTCCAGAATTCTGGGGCTTGTAGTTTAGTGAGACTCAGTCCTCTCTGGCTGAGCAGTTTAAAGGCACCGCCCCTAAACTACAAGCCTCAGAATCCTGCCGGAAGGAGGCAGACACAGGATTTCACTGGGATGCCTACACTTTACCTACTCTCATGTGACACTAGCGTCAGTGCTATAGAATTCTGGGAGTTGTAGTTGTAACGAACCTGACTCACTTCAGAAAGTTAGGAAGTGATCTATCTTAGAGGGCTGGCGTATGAGCAGCCATTTTGTGGTGCCCAGAGAAGGATAGCACCAGTGGAGAGCTATTTGCATGAGAGCGACCTGATTGGCCATATGCAAATGATTTAAAAGAGGGGCAGAGGCAAGGATGAGAGTTGGAGACGCCCAACTGAGTATTCTAAGGCAGTTAGGGAGTCAGCTGGAGGCAGGCTTTGAGAGTTGGTCAGCTAGTTAGGGTCTGGAAGGTAGTAGCTGAAAAGCAGCCGGAAGATTGATCAAAGGAATAAGATATAGTGTGACGTTTGTTTAATGTATTAGTAGAAAAGTCCTTTTGAGGAAAAAGGAATAGACAGAGTGAAACTCATATTGAAACCTTGTTCTGTAAGCAGCAAGCATTTGATCTTATGTAACTACTACACTTATACCACAAGAATGCTACAAATAAACTGAGTTACTGTTTCATCATGACCACAGCCCGGAATAGAGCCCTTCTGCCTTCCTCCCTTTGGGACATCAAGATGTCTGCGTTGGACCAACTCTATTTGACGGAGAAAGACGCTGTGACGGGGAAAACGAAGACTTTGCCCGCCTTGCACCCTGGGAGGAGGAGTGAGCGCGCCTTCCCGCGGTACTGCCCTCCACCCAAAGTGCCATGGCCTAGCGCTGAGTGGGAAGAGTTCCTGAGTAGGACCACTTCCCTGGCCGAGGGATTCGATTGGCTCCTCGCCCTGCCCCACCACCGCTTCTGGTGCCAGGTGATTTTTGAAGAGAGTCTGCAAAAGTGCCTGGATGCCTTCCTGAGCTCTGCCCCCCGAAAGTTCGACGCCAATGCAATGGATGAGGTGACCATGGATTTGACCCCAGAAGTGGACAAAGTGCAAAGGCGGCTCCACCGCGGAGTCTTCATGACCTTCCTCCAGATGTCCACCCACAAGGAGTCCAAAGAGCACTTCCTGTCTCCCTCTGCCTTCGGGGAGATCATCTACAATCACTTCCTGTTCGACATCCCCAAGCTCATGGACCTCTGCGTTCTTTTCGGGAAAGGAAATGGGCCCCTCCTGCACAAGATGATACAGAACGTCTTTGCGCAGCAGCCCAGTTACTTCGTTGACTTGGATGAATCCCTTACCACCATCTTCCAGGTCTTTGGCAGCATCTTGGAGACATGCGGCTTGGCAAGCGAAGGGCCCCAGAAGCTGGGAGAACGGCCCCGGACAACCCCACGTGACATGCCCCTTCTGGATCTGGCAGATATCATCCTGTACTTGTGCGACATCTGTGTGACACTCTGGGCTTTCCTGGAGGTTTTCCCATTGGCTGCCCAGACCTTCCACAAGCACGACTTCTGTGCCAGGTTGGTGTCTTTTTATGAGGTGCTGGTGCCTGAGCTGGAGTCTGCCATCAAGAGGAGGTGTCGGGAAGACCCCAGGTTGGTGTCGGATTTGTGGCGGAGGCTGTCTCACTCGAAGAAGAAAATGGCGGAGCTCTTCCACCTCTTGGTGCAGCATCTCTGCCTACAGCCCATCCTCGAAAGCAGCAGTGAGAATATCCAGCCTTTTGTTGAGGAGTTCCTCCAGATCTTTGCCTCCATCCTTCAAGAAAGAAGATTCCTCCACGAATATGATGCGCTTTTCCCAGTTGCAGATGACGTCAGTCTCCTCCAACAGGCTTCCCCCCATTTGGACGAAACACGGACCTCTTACCTGCTGCAGGCGGTCAAAGGCGCCTGGGAGGAAGAAGAGGAAGCAGGAAGAGGAAGTCGAGGCAGGAGGGGCCCCCAAAAAACACCCCTCCCAAAAGGGGGCGACATCAAAACCGCCATTGTGGGGCCCCCGAAGGCTGCCTTGGAGGCAATGCAGAAGGAAGATGAAGTCTTAGGGGCACGTCCTCACAGGGTCACAGGGGCAGAGCTGACCTCACTAATCTCGCAGGTCAAGGACCTCCTCCCAGATTTGGCGGATGATTATGTGGTTTCCTGTTTGCGGGAATATGACTACAATGTGGAAAAGGTCATCCATCACCTTTTAGAAAGGAAGCTGGACAGGGTCACAACCCCCGACCCGACCCCCCTGCTGAGGTCACGACACAACATCTTCCAGGATGACGCCTTCGACGTTTTCTCCACTGACCGGGTGGACCTCTCCCGCATCCAGAAGGGCAAACGGTCAGAGAGGACGAGCACCCGCCTGCTTCTAGGAGACAAGAGCTTCCTGGAGGCACAGAGGGACCGCTACGGCCTCTACTCGGTCGTGGCAGAGGAAGTCCCGCCCTGGCAGGAAGTTTCACCCTCCTATGAAGACGAGTACGATGACACCTACGATGGGAACCAGGTGGGCGCCAACGACACCGACGACCCTCACGATGAGCTCCTCAACCGCAGGCTGTTCACAGTCCCTCAGGTTCTGAGGTCCAAGCAGCATAAAGGACAGGAAATAGAACAGGAAGACGAAGAGGAAGTGGAGGAAGACGAGGAGGAGGAGGAACAGGAGGGGCCCAAGGACCACTTTGTGCAGGATCCGGCTATTTTAAGGGAGCGAGCCGAGGCCCGACGCATGGCCTTCCTGGCCAGGAAAGAGCCGCGTATGGACCCTTCGTCGGCCAGTGGGAAAGGCCCAAACAAGGAGGCAGCGCCAGAGCGACAGAGGAAGGAGGCAGCCAAAGCGAGCCGCGCCAATCACAACCGGCGTGTAATGGCCGACCGCAAGAGGAGCAAAGGCATGATCCACCAATAAAGAAGCCCTCCTTGCACTGCAATCAGCCTCTGCTTGGAATTATTTTGGACGCATAATAGGAGGTTATAATATACTATTGAAATAGAGCTGCGGATAGTGAGATCCAAGCCACAGATGCCAGAACCTGAGGCGCAGATACCGAGTCTAATAAGCAACAACCGGCACCAGCCATCAGCCGTTCTTGTGAGTCCGTGTGCCTGGCAAGCACACGGCAAGAAGCCTGATTTCCTGAAATAAAGCTCACCTCACCAAGTTGGAGAGGAAGCCACCAAAGTGAAGGAACCAAAGTTAGAAAAAGCAGGAATACCCCCTCCCATTCGGGATGGAGCAACACGTATTGTGTCTTTTTGTTTGTCTTTTGTAGTGCCTATTTTGGTAGAATGCAGAGGTGAGCTTAAGCCAATGAAAGTGGAAGATTTTATAACATTACCAAATATGGGAAACTTGACCTAGGCAGAGCTGTGACCTGAGATGTTTACAAGTAGATATAAAAGCCCCCTGGAACATGTTTTGTCTGCGTACGGTTTCATCATAAACAAAGCCTCTCTCTCTCAATCTCTCGGTTCGAGATCTCTCTGTGCTTTCTTTCGTTTCAAGCAGCGGGATGATGAAATAAAAGGCCCCCTTGCCTGAAGATTGTTATTTCGTTTCAAAAGTGTAACAAGAGAGTGAAGAGGGGAAGCCAGGAAGACAGTTTCACCTTGTCTCCATCAGTTAGGCGCCCTTCCCCCCCCAGCAACAATATGTCATTATATAATACTAATATTGTGCTATGGTAATAATACAATTTACTGTATGCACATATAATGTTTATAATAATATTATAATGTAATACAATGTAATTGTAATAATGCAATATTAATTATATATTATATATTACACAAAATACTAATAATATTACAGTATAGTGGCATAGTACAATACAGTAATATATAATGCCAATATTGTGCTATGCTAATAATATAATACATTGTATGTACATATAACTTGTAAGCCACTCTAAGTTCCCTTGGGTGTGAGAGAGGACGTGGTATAAATGTAGTAAATAAATAAACATATTTTGTCTTCTTTCTTAGACCCTTTCGACATAGCTGAATAAAATCTCACATTATCTGCTGTGAACTGGGATATATAGCAGCGTGGACTCAGGGCCCTTCCACACAGCCATATAATTTAGAATATCAAGGCGGATGATCCACAACATCTGCCTTGAACTGGATTATCTGAGTCCACACTGCCATATTATCCTGTTCAATGGGGATTTTACACAGCTGTGTGGAAGGGACCTCAGCTCTTCCAGTTTATTGGGATAGCTCTGGGCTCATAATCTATTAGGACACAAGGATGGTGATCTGTTAGGATCACAACCTATTGGGGATTATGGATGATGACCTGTTGGGTAGAAGGTGTTCCTTTAGTTTATTGAGCAATTATGATCACTGGGCCCGTAAATATCTTGTTTCTATTCAATGCTCTCAGCAGACAAAGATTTAAGTAGTCTTATTTTAAAGTAACAAGTTTTACTCATAACTCCATGCATTTAAGTATACTGGCACATTTCTTGTCAGGTTAAACTTTAAAATGTTTCTTTAACATTGTCTTTAACAGCCTCTTCAAAAACGATATTTCTCTGTACAGTTCTCTTTCATAAGAGTCTACTTTCAAAGAATTCAAACATCAACAGTTTTCTAACTTCCTACACTGACATCTGACTAAAAAACCGACTTCTCCACTCAAGGCTGACTCAAGCTGACTCAAGGCTTAACTGTTTTATAACTTCTAACACTGACTTCTGTTTTCAAACAGACTCAAGCCTTAACTGTCATCATGTTTTAAATGCATTCTAAACAGTCACATGACCTGCAACCCCTCCCACTGCTTCAAGTATATAGACTTAAGGAAACTGCAAACCAAATAAGACATACACTTCAGGAAAAAAAATTGTCGTGTCAGGAATGACTTCAGAAACTGCAAGTCGCTTCTGGTGTGAGAGAATTGGCTGTCTGCAAGGACGTTGCCCAGGGGACGGCCGGATGTTTTGATGTTTCATCATCCTTGTGGGAGGCTTCTCTCATGTCCCCGCATGAGGAGCTGGAGCTGATAGAGGGAGCTCATCCATGCTCTCCCCAGATTCGAACCTGTGACCTGTCACTCTTCAATCCTTCCGGCACAGGGGTTTCAGGGAATAAAAAAACACATTATAAACAGGAAATAACATGACATGTTATTAAATAGAGGAGGCTTGAAAAGGTTGCTATCTCCAACACAATTCAACACGGATAGTGTGGGTTATTCTGCCTTGATATTCTGAGTTATATGGCTGTGTGGAAGGGCCCTCAGATAACTGATTTTTCTAAAGTGGATGCCTAGGGTGGGTTGAAAAAGAAGCATTTGACTGCCAATTCTCGGTTTTATTGACATTTTTATTGTAAATGTTTCATAAAAGTCAAGACACTAAGAATTAGAATCGCATAATGGGTGGCTCTTTTGGCTAGGCGTTTACTTCCAGGTCGTGGTTCTTTTATTTCTTGAGTGATACTATATAGCAGTCTTCAAGCTGTAATATTAAACTGAACACACATGACACACATGTTCACTTATTTAATCTCCTGATTTTTCTTCAAAAGTCTTACTAAGAATATATATATATATATATGTTTTGTCCCTTAAATATTTTTGTTTTTCCTACATGTATCAAAAGATGCAGAACAACATAAAGCAAGGAAGGGATATTCAAGAAAAGACTTCAGTAAAACAAATTTACTTCTGCAGATAAGATCAACATCAAAACTGACAATTGGAGAAGAATTATAACAGTTTGGGGATTGCAATGTGTTTACTTTCAAAGTACAGAAACTCTGAAATCAGAGCTAAAATTTCTGCTGCTTGATGAAGGAGATCCATAAATAAGCATCAATATCCAGAGATTGGGGGCGGGGGTGCGGGGGTGGGTGGGAGCGGAGAGAGATTTGCCTTTGTATTTGGTGCTGCCAATCTCAGTAATACTTTGACATGGAAAGATGTGGACCAACTTTATATTATATTTAATATGTGAGACAGTATGATTTCTAATCATGAATGGAAATCTGACGTACCTGTCAGTGACCCATAGTGAATCCAGTGCTATATTTCTGTGATGTGAATATAACCCAAGCACTGAGATCTGTCAATATTAGAGTATCTGTAGGTTGATGGCTGAGAATAGCTCCACAACGGACTCATATGATCTGTATTGTATAGTCAGCCTATACAAATTGTCACAGCCAGTTCTCTCTGAATGTTTCATCTTATCCATAAAGGAAAAAATATGTGAGTAATCTTACTGTCCAACAGCATTCTTGATCAATCAAATGTCCTGCAACTCTTGCTCTTGATTTAAATTTCTAGTACACCAGCACATCTGAGTGATTTTAACGTTGAATTATGACCTGGGAAGCCAGGTTTTTAATCCCTGCTTGACCATTAAACCCACTGGGTGAACTTGGGCAAGTCACACACTCTCAGCCTCAGAGACACACAAACCTCTTCTAAACAAAAGCCTTATGATAGGTTTGCCTTAGGGTTCCCATAAATTGGAAATGGCTTGAAGACACACAACAACAAAGCCAAGGGCATTGAATCCTTAGACCTTGTTGCTTTAAAATGTAATAAAATTATTTAAGCAAACAGCAGACACAGGACACTCAAGATGTTATTGGAGTGCAGCTCCCTTTTTGCCCTATGCAGCAAATGAAACAGGTCCAGAAATATCTGTGGGACCACATAGTCACCATCAATGGATTAAGAGATAATTAAGATAGCACTAAGTTTGGAAAATATTTGATTTTCAGAGGTGCTCTCAATAGGATATTATTATTATTATTATTATTATTATTATTATTATTCCGCTTTATCTCCGCCAAAGAGGACTCAAAATGGCTTAACATAAAAGCATCAGCATTGTCATTTAAAATATACAAATGTACAAACATTAAAACAAGATTATATATAAACAGTGTTTTAAAAATTCCCAGTTATAAATAATTAAAAAATTGTCGAAGGCTTTCATGGCTGAAATCACTAAGTTCTTGTGGGTTTTTTCGGGCTATATGGCCATGTTCTAGAGGCATTTCTCCTGATGTTTCGCCTGCATCTATGGCAAGCATCCTCAGGGGTGAGGATCTTGCCATAGATCCTCTGAGGATGCTTGCCATAGATGCAGGCGAAACGTCAGGAGAAATGCCTCTAGAACATGGCCATATAGCCCGAAAAAACCCACAAGAAATTAATAATTAAAACAATTTCAAAGTTAAAAACCACAGCACCCTGTTGCACCCCAGGCCAGGAAACACTACTGTACTTAACCACCTCACACCACTCCAGGTTAAATCAGCAAAGCAGTGTATTGAAGATTATATAAAGAGCAAACAGCAAAAATAGTAAAAAAAATTCAAAGTCCAAATGTATCAATTATGCACTGTCTTTATGTTTAAATACACTTTAATTGTTTTTGCTTTTTGAATGTATGTATTGATGGCATCGAATTGTGCCGATATGTAGACCGCCCTGAGTTGCCTTTGGGCTGATATGGGCAGGATATAAATAATGTAAATAAATAAAGTAATGCAAATAAGGTTCCAGGAGCAAGAATAATCCAGAGTTCCAAGGCAGCACGGCATCCAAACTAGGAATACAACCCCCCCCCCCAAAAAAAAAACAAAAACCATAGACTCCAATACAGAAATACAAGAACAATCCCTGATACTTGAAAATAAGAACATGAACAAAGGCATGAAACTGGAAGTCTGTAAGCAAGCATGGCTTGACAAGAGCTGTTGTCTTCATTATCAATGTTGACCAGACTGCTGGGCAAAACTCCCGGCCTCCCTAATATACCCAAAATATTATGTATTTTCACATGAGATTCAGATATGGGCCTCTTTTCTAATAAGCGCCGTGACCCTTGTATTCCTTGTTGATCAGCCTGAACTCTACTAAAGCTAAGTCTCCTATCAACAAACTCATTACCATTTGCTTGAAGTTCCCACACAGAACCCCTATGATCAACAGAAAATACTGTGTTTTCTGGTGGTCTTTGGAGACCCTTCTGACAGCCCCTTGCGACCTCCCCCAGGGGTCCCAACCCCCAGATTGAGAAATGCTGCCTTGAGGCCATCCAGTCAAACTCCCATCACCAGGGCAAAGAAATCAAAGCCCTCCTGACAAAAAGCCATCCAGCTATAGATATAGATAGATATAGATGATACACACACACATACACACACACATGTAATGTATATGGCAGATATAGTACCATAGATTTGAAAGGGACCCCTAAAGAAGGACAATAATTATATGTTGCATGTTCCAGAGTAGGCAAACCAGACAATCTCTCCATCAACACTGACAAAGAAACAACAAGAAATACTGTTTACCCACAAGCATAAAGAAATTACATATGCAGTGTTCCCTCGCTACTTTGCAGTTTGCTTTTAACGGACTCGCTGTTTCGCAGGTTTATAATAATAATAATAATAATAATAATAATAATAATAATAATAATAATCCTTTTTTTGTACCTCGCTACCATCTCCCGCAGGACTCAGTGTGACTTACAAGAGGCCGAGCCCAAAGTACATCATCAACAAAAACACAACAGACAGCAATACAATGCAACAATAAATAAGCAAACAATAAACAGTAACAAAAGCACGACACTGTTAAAAACCTGTGGCAGGCCAAATGTACTAGTTAAAATTCTAAAAATGCTGGGCATGAACAGATGAGGTAGACTGGATATTTTGGGAATAGGGTGTGCAGACAATTCTAACTCTCTCATAAAGTGCATTAGTTGACCGTAAACCTGACTGGGTTATAGGGTGGCAACCTGTGCTGGACGGGGTTACACTCCCCCTGAAGCCACAGGTCCGCAGTTTGGGAGTCCTCTTGGATTCATCGCTTAGGCTTGAGGCTCAGGCGTCGGCGGTGTCTGGGAGGGCTTTCGCACAATTGAGACTCGTGTGCCAACTGCGACCGTACCTCGCGAAGGCTGATCTGGCTGGGGTGGTCCATGCCTTGGTCACCTCCAGATTGGACTACTGCAATGCGCTCTACGTGGGGCTGCCCTTGAAAATGGCTCGGAAGTTCCAACTGGTCCAACGATCAGCAGCCAGGATGTTAACTGGGGTCTCTTACAGAGGGAGGTCAACCCTCCTGTTCAAGGAGCTCCACTGGCTGCCGTTTATTTTCCGAGCCCAATTTAAGGTGCAGGTGCTTACCTACAAAGCCCTGAACGGTTTGGGACCATCCTACCTGCGTGACCGCATCTCCATCTACGAACCCACGCGTTCACTTCGGTCATCTGGAGAGGCCTTGCCGGTGATCCCGCCTGCGTCGTAAGTGCGCCTGGTGGGGACACGAGACTGGGCCTTTTCCGTGGTGGCCCCCCGACTCTGGAACACCCTCCCCAAAGATCTTAGACAGGCCCCTACATTGGCTGTCTTCAGAAAGAACTTGAAGACCTGGCTGTTCCGATGTGCCTTCCCAGATTAGGAAATCTCCAATACCAAGTCCCACAAGCACTTTACTAGTATTAAGATTGCTGCACGCCGCACACTGCACTTGCCCTGTAATGCCTTATATACCACCTGTCACATCAGCACTTTTAATCCTGTACCCCATTACTCTGGCCCGGCCCAGTTTTATTGTGTCTTTGTGTATTGTTTATTGCCTGTGTTTATATTGCTTTAATTGTTTTAATTTGCTTTAGGTTTTGTATTGTATATTGTGTGTTGAGGCCTTGGCCTTTGTAAGCCGCATCGAGTCCTTCGGGAGATGCTAGCGGGGTACAAATAAAGTTTAATAATTAATAATAAATAATAATTAGGGACAATTGCTTGGGATTGTCCCTAATTCCAACTTTCTCATTACTTTCTTTTCAAGATCACAGCAATGCGTGGCAGGGGACGGATAGTGGAGGGCCGAAGTTGGCCCATGCCCCATATATATATATGGGGCATGGGCCAACTTCGGCCCTCCATGTGTTTTGAACTTCAACTCCCACAATTCCCAACAACCAGTAGGATGGCCAAAATTTGTCCATGCCCATATATATATATATATATATATATATATATGCGCGTATATGATTGGTTGGGGGGGGGGGGAAATACTGTTTGCTTACCGTTGGAAATTACCTAGGGCCGCCTCTGATCCCACATTATCTGAGTGTGGGATTTTGGGCTTGATATTCTGGGATAGAGGGCTGTGTGGAAGGGAAACCAATCCGTGTGGCAGGATGGGATCCTCTGTGGCTTTGCAACCTTTGATGGGAAGCAAAGGCTGCAATGCCTTTCTTTCTGCAGATAGGGGGAGAAGCTCCTCTTCCTTTCCCCAACTTGCTTTCCTTGTGGAGTGTGCCTGCTTCCCTCCTCATTCCCTCCTCGCCCTTAGTTTCTTGTTGGAAGAGAGAAAGTGGCCACAGAGCCAGCCATGGAGGTCAGCATGGACACAGGTCAGTCCCAGGCTTGGGTGTGACAGAGAGAGGGGGGGGGGGGAAGAAGAGGCCAGCTCTCCCTTCTGCTTAGGTTTCGAGGCCTACACGAAAGGCCTATTCCTCCTCCTGGCCTCGGCCTTGCCTGGGCTGCGGGAGGGAGAAAGCGGGCTGGCGGGGCGATGGCTCAGCTTTTTCTAAATATAACATGAAAAGTCAAGCGGGAGGCGAGTGGAGGGTGCCGAGGTATATATAGATCTCTCTCTCTCTCTCTCAAAGGCCGAGGGAGGAGGGCATGGGAGCGCCGCCCGCAGTGGGGCTTCCTTCCTTCCTTCTTTCTCTTCCTTGCTTCCCTTTCTCCTTCTCTCTCCTCAGCTGACAACAACATGGCTGCGGCCGCCTCTGCTGCCCAGGATGAGCTGAGTAAGTGGGCGCTCTCAGGGGGGAGTTGGGGGGCCAATGCTTCATGCATGTTTATATCTATCTATACAGTATCTCTATGCTTGAAGATTTCCTTTCTTGGCTTCCCTAGATAGACAACCAGCCCGCCTTTCACATCCCTGCCTGCTCTTGATCACAGGGGAGTGGGCTTGGCCTCCTGAGCGGGGAAAGTGGGAGCAGGATCTGGGAGAAGAAGGAAGGGGGTTTGGATGCTTGTGTCAGCCGGGGGTGGGGGGTGGGGGTGTTTTGTTTCCCTCAAGGAGAGCTCCTTCTGGGTTTGCGTGGGAGAAGAGGGGCCAGGCCATTAGGCCTCTGTCCTGCCAAGTCATTTCCCAGGTTGTTCTGGATCCCTCATCTTGAGATCAGGTTTTTTTAAGAATAGCTGTGTAATAATACCAATCTAGCTACCTTGGAGAGGGGCCCCATGTCTCAACACATGGAGGTATGCTTCATTCATAAATTGTTATACATACACACACACATATATATAGAGAGAGTGTAAGAACAGGTACACCTTGTGTGTAACTCCTCTCTCTCTCTCTATATATATATAGTGTGTGTGAGAATAGGTACTATATATATATATATATATATATATATATACACATACATACATACATACATATATAGTGTAAGAACAGGTATATCTTATGTGTAACTCCTGCCATATGTGTGTGTGTGTGTGTGTGTGTAACTCCAGCCATAGATAGATAGATAGATAGAGTTGGATAAAGTAACAACGGGTACAATTTATGTGTAACTTGGCCACGGTGGTACACGCTCTGGTCGCATCCCGCCTTGACTACTGCAACGCTCTCTACGTGGGGCTGCCCTTGAAGACGGCCCGGAAGCTTCAGCTAGTCCAGCGCGCGGCAGCCATGTTACTAACGGGAGCGGGACGCAGGGAGCACACAACGCCCTTGTTGTCCCAGCTCCACTGGCTGCCGATCTGCTACCGGGCCCAATTCAAGGTGCTGGTGTTATCCTACAAAGCCCTAAACGGTTCCGGCCCAAAATACCTTTCGGACCGCATCTCGGCCTATGAGCCCACGAGGGCCTTGAGATCATCTGGGGAGGCCCTTCTCTCGATCCCGCCCGCCTCACAGGCACGTCTGGCGGGGACGAGAGAGAGGGCCTTCTCAGTGGTGGCCCCCCGGCTGTGGAACACCCTCTCTGTTGACATCAGACAGGCGCCCTCCCTGATGGCTTTCCGTAAGAGCCTAAAGACCTGGCTATTCGAGAAGGCATTCAATTGCGAGCTACACGAATCTGGTAATGACAACTGGAACGGATTATGGATTATGAAACTGGCTATGATTCTTTGTTGTGACGGTGCGGATTTGTTAGTGTGATTTAGATTAATGTGTAATATGGTTTGTTGATATATTGTGTGCTTTTTGTAAACTGTTTTTATATGTTGTACACCGCCGCGAGTCGCCCTAGGGCTGCGAGCGGCGGTCAACAAATGCAGTAAATAAATAAATAAATAAATAAATAACTCCAGCCATATATATGTGAGGACAGGTACATTTTATGTGCAACTCCAGCCATATATATATATGTGTGTGTGTGTGTGTAACTCCAGCCATATATAGATAGATAGAGTTGGATAGAGTAAGAACAGGTACAATTTATGTGTAACTCCAGCCATATATATGTGAGAACAGGCACATTTTACGTGCAGCTCCAGCCATATGTGTGTGTGTGTGTGTGTGTGTGTAACTCCAGCCATAGATGGATAGATAGAGTTGGATAGAATAAGAACAGGTACAATTTATGTGTAACTCCAGCCATATATATGTGAGAACAGGCACATTTTATTTGTGACTCCAGCTATATATATTGTAACAACAGATATATTTTATGTGTAACTCCATGCATAGATAGATAGATAGAAACAGATAAAGTAAGAATAGGTACAATTTATGTGTAACTCCAGCCCTATATATGTGAGAACAGGTACATTTTATGTGTGACTCCCGCTATAGATAGATAGATAGATAGATGGATAGATGGATAGATAGTAACATCGGGAACATTTTATGTGTAACTCCAGCCATACATAGATAAAGAGAGAGTTAAAACAGGTACAATTTATGTGTAACTCCAGCCATATATATATATATATATATATATATATATATAGAGAGAGAGAGAGAGAGAGAGAGAGAGAGAGTTAGAACAGGTACATTTTGTGTGTAACTCCAACCATATATCTATATCTACACACACACACACACATTGTGTTAGAACAGGTACATTTTATGTGTAACTCCAGCCATAGATGGATAGAGAGAGAGAGATGTGTGTGTGTGTGTATCAGGAGTTACACATAAAATGTACCTATTCTCTATATCTATCTATCTATCTATCTATCTATCTATCTATCTATCTATCTATCTATCTATCTTTGGATAGCATAGGGAAGGGTTAACACCCCAGTGGTGTTTGATTTGCTGCCTTTGTCCCTGTTCAGAAGATTTTACCTCACTTTCTGTCCCTGTGATCATTGGATTTTGAAAAAAAAGGCTTGTTGTGGAAACAAGGATTGGTGCAAAAGCTTCACACCACTTCCCCATGATAACTCTTTCGGAAATGAATTTCCCTTCCAAGGGGTAGAGGTCTCTCACTTCCTGTTGTCTCATCCTCATTCTTAACTATGAGTTATTTGTAAGTCGAATGTTTGCAACTTGGGGATCCCTGTGTGTGTATATGTAACTCTGGACCCCTGTGTGTGTGTGTGTGTGTGTGTGTGTGTGTGTGTATCCTGAAGATAATTTTGCAGGAAAGAATGGGTGCATTGGAACCTCAGGAAGCAAAGATGTCACTGTCTCAGCCACCCCTCTGGACAATTTTAGAACATTTGGAATTTTTGGGGAAGGGATGCTCAGACTGTGAGGAAATGGAAAATAAAACTTCAAGGGGGTGAGCTGTCTGTGCATTGTGAGGCAGCTTCCTTCTCCGTCCCATAGCACCCCTTTCAAAATGGACTCCCTCTAATTTGCTTTCTCTTTTGCTTGTCCTCTTGGATTTTTTTTTTAAAAAGATCTCATAAGGCTTGGTACAAGCATATGTGTCTATGGGTCTTATATGGATTGAAGGTGATATTTGCCAAAGGTTGGCATGGGTTGGCGGCCAGGCAGATTTAAAACCATTTCCCCCTTTTTCTCATTTTATTCTTACAGTCTTTGATTATGTAGGAATGACTGAGCTTTTCTGGATTAGTGTTCCATTTTAGCATCTTCCTAAACCTGGGGAGAGGAAATCGGAAGTGTGTAAGGTTCATTTCTCCCCCATCCACACACACACACCTCCCCCCCCCTTGCAGCAGAGTCAAGCTGGGACAGAGAGAGGATACTGCAAATGTAGGAGAAACGTGTCCTGCCCAGCTCCTTCCTGTCCCATTGCCCTTCCTAATTCAGCAGCCCCTGCCCCATTACAGGGAGCAAGGCCTCCCGCTGCTGAGGCGTGGCAGACTGGGGAAGTGATTCTCTGTGACAGGAAATGCCTGCAGTTTCCGACACTGAGGCAAGCTGGGAGATGTATTTCTCTGTAAAACGCTCCACAACAATCTTGCATGCTTCTGCCCATCATGGTGACACTGTAGGCCTATGCTTATTTGTTTGGGCAAAGCATTTACTCAAGCACACTGTAATATTTTATTGTATAAATATGCGTAGCTGTGGAGCGTAATTATAAAAGCTGCTGTCTTTGGATAGGGCAATCCTGAAATAAAGTCCTTTGCTTTCTGATTCATGCTTTAGAACAAATCATGTAGATTCTGCTTGCTCCCATGCATCAGGAAGTTGTGATATGTGTGTGTGTATTATTATTTTGAGGAAATATAACACTGCATCAATAGGCAGATATTCAGAATATTTTCATAGTATATATATGTTAGTCTATGTGTTTATAGAATAGAATAGCTTTGTTGGGTTGCTGTGAGTTTTTCGGGCTGTATGGCCATGTTCCAGAAGCATTCTCTCATGACGTTTCACTCACATCTATGGCAGGCATCCTCAGAGGTTGAAATTCTAAAAAAAAGGACAGTAAATAAATAACAACTCTCAAAAACGGGAATTCCAGACAAGAAACAATCAGGGCCAACTAATCACCTCCCAACAAAGGATTCCCCCAGACAGGAAGCAGCCAAGCTTTGAAGCTGCAAATCTATTCAATACTAATCCAGGTGGCCAATTCCAACTTTTACACTTACCTCCAATGGACAAGAGTTCTTTCTCCCACCCTGGACATTCCACAGATATGTAAACCCAACTTGCCTAGACTCCAACAAATCTCACAACCTCTGAGGATGCCTGCCATAGATGTGGGCAAAATGTCAGGAGAGAATGCTTCTGGAACATGGCCATACAGTCCAGAAAATTCATAGCAACCCAGTGATTCTGGCCATGACAGCCTTCGACAACACACTAGCTTTCTTGTCTTTGTACTAAACATTTCAACTGTTTTAAAGTAATATAGGTACATATAATTTGTTAATTTGTTCAAGCATGTAAGATAGTTCAGTATTATCACAATGTTTCTCAAAGTATTGCGGTAGTGAACATATTGCAGTAGTGAACCTGTAATTTAGATGAAAGCTTGTCATAAATATAGGATGCTTGCTTATACTGAAGCATTATCTTTAATTTCTTTAATTGTATGAGGGTGGGTCTAAAAGTTTTGCCTCCTGTGTCATAAAAATGTTATGCATGAACAACAGTTTGTATTACTGTTGCTATTGTTTTTATTGTTGTATTGTGGGCTCGGCCTCATGTAAGCCGCACTGAGTCCCTTGGGGAGATGGTAGCGGGGTATAAATAAAGTATTATTATTATTATTATTATTATTATTATAACGTGTAACAACAGAAATTGCTACAGATCATAGCCTGAACTATCCTCTACACAAAACTACCATTCAACGTAGTCATCATCAATTTGTACACATTTGTGCCATTGTTTAGCCCAGGCATTTCTATTCTCTTAAGACAGTGGTTCCCAACCTTTTTTTGACCATTCTCCATCATTAGTACCAAAAGGGTTACAAATCAGTTTTGACCAGGGACCGCTTGAACAGGGACCACTTTGACCAGGGAGCACTCCCCAACATTAGTACCAAAAGGGTTACAAATCGGTTTTTGGTCAACTTTAGATTCAGTTTGGTTATTGGGGTAAGCTATTACTTCTAAGTCGAGCCTGATAGTATTGTAGTTTTAACAATAGCATTCATTGCTAAAATGGACTGTGTTCTTGTTCCCTTTTACATCTCTGTGCTCTGAGATAAATTGTTTTGGAACAATTCCTTCTTTTATTTCTTGGCTGTCATAAGATGTAATGTGCCATATGGAATGGGGACATTATGTAGCTCCAGCCCATCCTAGTCTATCTTTTTCTGAACAACCTACACAACAGTTTTGTTGGAAAGAGCAGCATTACAGGCTCCTGATGCATATTCAGTAGCATCCCACATTCCCACAATAGTACAGGAAAGAGACATGCTGTAGCAAACCCAACATTTGAAGGTGACATCTGTAGGCACTCCCTATTCCAGGCAAATTAATTTGGTATTGATTCCCATTGTTAACCCTGCTCCAACCCATGGTTTTGTGTTGACTGCAGTGTTGCTTCTGCCATTGTCCTGCCCTTTTCACAATTTAGGAAAAGCTTTGAGCTTCCATGTTTAAGGAACATGTGCCTATGTGCCTTGTGGAAGAAGTGTCTATGGATGGATGGGTAGTAGATGATGGATGACTAAGGGAATATTTTGAATGAGTTGAGAGTTTCAGTATGCAAGAGTATCATAGATTTTGATAATGAATAAGTAGGGCAGTGATTTTTTAAAAAAAGAGATGCATCACTTGCCTGTCAATTATTGTAACAGTATTATGCACACAGTGTTTTCAGTCCTCAATATGTGCCATGTAAAATAAAGACTACTATTCTTTTATCTCTTGTAACCTATTGCAGTAACATGCTAGCAGCTCAGTACTTTAAAAAATAAAAATGTGTCCTGAACTTGTGGTCTCTTCATTTGATTAATCAAGTAATATTTCAGTTGTCAGCAATGAGTGCATTTTACACTATTGTATTCATGCAGTTTGTCACCACCTTTACTGCTGTGGAATTCTGTGGTCGTTCCCAAACATGATGCATCATTGGAGGTCCTTCTCACACAGTTCCAGAAAATAGTCTTGGATCTGTTCTCCTTCCTGTCTTTCCTTCTGGAGCATATTGAGGATCAATTTTGCCTTTGCGATTCTCCCCAAGCTTGATTGGTGAGATGCCTGCCCCAGCAATGTACTTGGGAGCCAGGCTGTTCCCTTCCCACTCTCCTCCATCTCTGCAGTATGTTTTGGGGCTGAGACTTGTTCCCTCCTACCCTCCTTCAGAACTTCATGGAAGGCAGACCTTTTCACCTTCCTCTATTGAAGTCTGTGTTTGTGTGTGTGCGTATTTTGCATTGTATTGAAGTCCCTCCTCATGCGTGAGCATTGTGCTGAAGTCTCTCCAACTTACAATGGAATATGTGCACTAGGGTCTCACACTGGGAGGAAAGTGGCATTTAAATGCAATAAATAAATTCTCTACCCCATTTCCTCCAGGAGCAAAGTTTTAGTTTACCTCTCCCCCACAACCTTATTCCTATTTGAATATATCACGTTCTTTACCAATGATAATGATTGTTGCTAAAACAAATAAATATGCTCAATGATTATGTATAGTATTTTATGGAGGGAACAAAACAGCTGGTTCCTGTACCTTGGATAATGATTGGCAAGTAAAGAGCACCTTTTGTAGAAGCACTGTATAGGAGTAATTTGTATAGAGTAATTGCTGGATCTGACCCATAAGTATCAGATCAGGACAATGCAAGGGTACAGGACCATAGCAGGGGCAGTCTTTTGGTCTATGGTTGTGTTGAGACAAGGTTAATGGGACTGAAAACTGTGATGCCTCCAAGGTAATGTGGCCAGAATGATTGTATGGAGTGCCGTTACCTTCCCGCCAAGGCGGTACCTATTGCTCTCCTCACATTTGCATGTTTTCAAACTGCTAGGTTGGCAGAAGCTGGGCCTAACAGTGGGAACTCACCTTGCTCCTCAGATACAAACCCCTGATCTTTCAGTCAGCAAGTTCAGCAGCTCAGCCGTTTAACCCGCTGCACCACCAAGGGTTCTAAATAAACTTTATTTAGATTTTTCAATTCTGCTTATTCTGGAAAACCCATGTCACTGTTTATAAATATGTCAGTTTCAAAGAATCATATTTACATATATACACATATGCTTATACATTTTCTGATACATTGGTAACTGTTATAATCTCACCAGAAGGATGCTATTTTTTCTAAGAAGGTTGCCCTGAAAGATTTATTAAAATAAGTAGAGCTGTAAGTAAGTATATTAAGAATTAAGGTGTTATAGAATTTATACTTTAAGATGAGATTGCGGTTTGACTGTTTTACTGTTTGATCTAGATTTTTAGTTCCAAATTGGACTTCTTGTTTCTTCTTTGATTGTAGATCAGCTCGAACGTGTGTTTTTGCGTCTTGGCCATGCAGAAACAGATGAGCAACTGCAAAATATTATATCCAAATTCCTACCCCCTGTTCTTCTGAAGCTTTCTAGTACACAGGAAGGGGTACGCAAGAAGGTATGGATGGCTGTTTGTGTACAGAAGCCTTGATAAACACTGACTGTTTCAAAACTCTCCCTCATGTTGGTTTTATACATTTAACAGGATGGATCTATTGGAGATGGAGCACAATTTTTAACAGCATGTATTCAGAGCTGGTAAACTCTTGGTGTCTGTTCTGGTTCATAAAAATGTAAAGGTTTTATCTAGTTTTTGTTCAGCTTTTTTAAAAAAAAATCAGGTTCACTTTATCTCCCTAATTTATGTTTGAGCGCAAACAACGTATGGGGACTGTTCTGAAAGTTCTGAAAGTCAGAAGAAAGATAATATGGCATTTTTTCGCCCTTGGTAGCCTAGAAATTATCTTTCATTATATTTCAGATTTGCAAAGTATACAATTATCCCTCCACATTTGCTGGGGTTTAAGGGCAGAGGATCCCCATTATTTTACTTCAGTAAATTCCAGTGTCGAAATTTTTAGGTTCTCCAGGGAAACTCTGTGGAAGCTGAGATTTATATAGAGACAACATATTAAGCAAACCAACAAAATGAAACCTGGAAATATTTAGGGCCACCTGTAATTATGGAACACACATTAGAGAAATCAAAGGACATTATTTTCTCCTTTTCAGGTGATGGAACTGCTGGTTCACCTGAATAAACGAATCAAGAGTCGTCCCAAAATCCAGCTTCCCGTGGAGACCCTACTTGTCCAGTATCAAGATCCTTCTGCAGTGTCCTTTGTTACAGTAAGTAAATTTTCTCTTAGAGATTTCTTCCAACAAAAGAAAGTTAGTGTGGTTTTTCTTTGCATACTTGTCCCACCTAGAAATTACATCCACTTTCCTCATAAATATAAATCTGTCGTTTTAAAAACTTAAGATAGTTTTTCTGTTGAAATGGAAGAAATAGGCATTAAATGTTTATTATTAAGGCTTTTTTTACATGCATCATCTTTAATATTTTTCTTACAGCTCACAAAAGTCCAGTCTAACTGAAGATTCCCTTAAATTCTTTTGTCAGTTGAAAACAGCAAATTGATGTTTAGCTCTATATTGCAGTGCAAGTGTAAAATGTACTCAATTAATCTCCCTCCTTTTAGGAGGAGGGCTTCTGCATTCAGCCCCATGTAGAAGTCATTTTGATCATCTTGCTCAAGATTTTAAAGGTGAATTCGATCACACACCTTCTCGATGAACTGGGTTAATTAATTAGAGAATTTCAGTGGCATTTGCCAAAAATTGATCTATCTTCGGACTGCTTAAAAGTGGTGATATATAGATGTGTACTGGACTTTTGCAGAACTTTACAATAATATATGTTAAGATGGGATACCCTCGTTTGCCTGTGGAAAAGCAATGTGAACTGGCTCCCACTCTCCTTACTGCAATGGAAGGAAAACCTCAGCCTCAGCAAGACAGGTATGTCATCCTGAGCTTGCATTTTCTCTCCTTTCTTTGTTTTTTCTCTTAGTTTTGTTTAGCCAGTTGGTTTTTAAAAAAATCTTTAGCTGTAAATATATGTTTATAAAAAGCATGTGCGACTGCTCTTTTAGAACTGTTCCACCTCAGAATACACATGGGGTCACATAGTTTAAATGCTTTTCAATGTGAACATCTCTTTAGTTGTAGTACAGCCTGAGGCTGATGGGTTCACTAATGGTTTAGAGACAGTTGTGGGATTTCCTGGGGCAGAAAGTGATAAAAATTCAAGTCAAAGAGATGATGACTCTCTCTGAGAAAATCCTGATTCAGAAAGTGCAAGCCTCTAAGGTCAGGAAAAGGAGACAGAAACTGCAACATTAGATAAGGAGTCAGGTGAAGAGCTAAGTGTTATGGAAGGATCACATGAAGCTATGGAGGTCAACAAAATTGTTTGTTTACAGATTAGAGCAGAAAATAGGCAGCGCCAGTCAGAGTGCTTATGTGGGAAAGCTGAGGAGCTGTGTTCTCTGGTCCTTGTTTTATTCTTGTGTGCAGACATGGCCTGTTCTTGATGGTGCAGAGGAGAAAATCACCTAGTTATTTCCTTGTGCCAGTCCTGGGCAAAAGTTGAAATTCTTTATTGTTAAACCATGGGATCTTCCACACAACCCTATATCCCAGAATATCAAGGCCAAAAATCCCACAATATCTGTTTTGTACTGGGTTGTCTGAATCCACTTCCATATATTCCAGTTCAAAGCAGATAATGTGGGATTTTATTCAGCTGTGTCGAAGGGGCGCATGATGAATTGGCACTCATTTTGAGATTTCTTTGATTCCAGTGAAATTTTAAAGATGCTATTATTTCTGGGATTAATGCTAAGTAGACAGAAAAGTGTAATTTTTTTGGATTTCTTTTAAACTATCATTCTAAATTCTAAGGGTTTTTTAATTAAAAAATCAAAATGTATATTTATAAAATGAGATGAATTTTATAAATATACAAAGTTTGTTTGCTGTAGTCATTAATTCGCTTTCATTTTAGTGTTAGCTGTGATATGTTCTTAATGGGAAAAACAACTGTGAAAACTAAGGCAGGAAGGCCAATTTCACTGTCATGTTTGACCCTGTGTTTTGTCTGATTCATGTAAAAATTTAATTGGCATCCTATATTGACGAAATATATGCAATAAATATAATTGTTTTTCAGCCTAATGCACCTTCTAATACCAACCCTTTTCCACATGAAATATCCTGTTGAAACTCTGAAAGCAACTTCTCCATTTAACCTTGCTGAAAAACCAAAGACTGTACAGCTGCTATTGGATTTTATGTTGGATGTCCTTCTAATGCCTTATGGGTAAGTAAATGTGCAATGCAGAAATTGCCATGTAGACTCCCAGATTAGCATACTGTAGAGATTACTTAAGGTGAGGGAAGGCTTTTATTTCCAAGTGGTGCTTTGTTATAGTTTCAGTTGTTGAACAGCCATAAGAAACATTCTCACATTTAATAACTTTTTTGAACTAGATCAAAAACCTTTAAACAGGCCTGATAACTTGTTTCATACCTCAGTGACTTTATAAATGGCTCTAAAAGCCAGTCCTTACTTATTTGAAAGAAGACAGTTACGATGAAAAAGATGGTGGAAATTCTTAGGCTGGATCTACATTACCATATAATACAGATTATCAAAGCAGATAATCCAGATTGTCTTCTTTAAATTGGATTATATGAGTGTACACTACCACATAATCCATTTCAATGCAGATAATCTGGATTTTATATAGCAGTCTAGATGTGGCCCTAGTGATTCTGCCTGGTTCAAATGGTCTTGGTTTATATTATATTCCCTGTTGAGATATTTTTGGTGAGGCATTGTGCAGAGTATACTCATTGTAAGAAATATGTAAGCACTTCTTTGTGCTTGCATAGCTAAGAGCTATGAATTTATGTGATTCACAAAGGAACATGAAATAACTTTCTTATAACTTGTTTGAGGGAAAGAGCAGCTGACTTTACGATCACTGCAGGTAGCCAGAGTGTAGTGTGGACATGTGACACATGGAGTTAAAATGCAGTTCTGTGTTGCTTTAGGAAACTATTGATTGTCTAGATTTCTCAGCTTGATCTACTTTTCACTTTGGCACATTCTGTTATTTTCTTGGATGGATCTATCCACTACCACTAATGTATAGGATTCTTAATCTGCCTGAAATATCTTCATTGATCCTTTTTAGATACGTACTGAATGAATCCCAGAGTCGCCAAAGCGTGCCGCCAGGGCAGGGCTCCTCTTCATCAAGTACTTCTGGGGGTGTTGGGATCCCTCAGCCTCCTCCAGGAATGAGCTTTTATGCGGCCAAGCGGGTCATTGGAGACAGCCCATGGACACCTGAACAGCTGGAACAGGTACCCCAAACTCACTGCACTTGAGTGCCATTGTTTCCTGAAATCAGCACATGGATAATCATCATTCATGATGCTTTATGTAATCTGTTTATGTGTTTTTGTTATTGTGCTATTTCACTTATGTATTTGCTGTACTATATGCCTGCACTGTTGAGTGCTCTTGTAGGCCACCCTAGTCCCCTTGGGGAGATGGTAGCAGGATACAAATAGAGTATTATTATTATTATTATTATTATTATTATTATTATTATTAGGCGTCAGATGTCAGTTACAATTCATGTACAGTGGAGCCTTGACTTAAGAGCACCTCAAATAAGAGCATTTTGAGTTAAGAATCATTGCTTGGTCCTAGTTTTGCTTTGACATATGAGCAGCATTTTGAGTTAATAGCTAGTGTCAGCAGGAGCAGTAGCATGAGATTATAGGACTTTAGAGCCTGTGTGCCTCGTACTCTTGTCTACTTTGGGAGATTGCTGTCTGCTTTGATCTTGTCCGCTTTGAGGAACTTTGGGTTAGTTGATTTTGTGTTGATTTTTATTACTGGTGTGTTTGGCTTCATGAAGAGAGAGAGAGAGGGAGAAAGAGCAAGAGAGGGAGGGAGGCTGGAATGAGTAGAGTATGAAGAAAATGACGCTCCTGGCTCTACACTTTGTTCCTTGTGCTTCCTTGTCAAAACTTTGCGCTTCTACCATTTGAAAGTTGATCTTTCCTTTTTATTGTTCCATGTGAATGTGCATTTATATGTTATTATTCATAAAGTGCATTTTCTTATTTTAAAACACCTAACCAAAATTGGGGTGGGGTGCAGTTTGGGCCCTCTGGAATGGTTTAATAGTATTTCAATGTAGCTCAGTGGGCAAATTTGCTTTGAGAGAAGTGTGTTTTGAGTTAAGAGCTCAGCCATGGAACAAATTAAACTCTTAAGTCAAGATATCACTATTGTTACTAACAAACGTTTTGTATATATTCGCATACTAGTCCATAGTCCAATGCCTTTAAGCATATAGATATAGTTCAAACTGTATAAGTGTACTCACTGAAATCTATAAGTCGCAACAGCAACATGCATCCACCTCCACTGAGGTCTGATGCAAACTAAATACAAAATAGAGTCCTGTGTCTGAAGCCCCTCTCACACCAAAGAGGTACAGTCAAACTGCAGACCAAAATGTACATACAATATAGGTTAACGATTATACACATTTATAAACATATACTTCTCAACACTTAATCAGTCACAATTCAACCTTTCTCCTTTTTTCTTTAGTGTAAATTGGGCATCGTTAAGTTCATTGAAGCTGAGCAAGTGCCTGAACTTGAAGCCGTCATACATTTGGTCATTGCCTCCAGTGACACACGGCACAGTGTGGCTACTGCTGCAGACCTTGAACTTAAAAGCAAGCAAAGGTAATGTTCACCCATTGAATAGTTTTTACTTTTGTTTTAAATAATACAAAGGGAGGCAAACTTTTTTGTTTATTACAGTTGAGTCTCACTTATATGGAATTATGAAATCCAAAACACTCCACAATTGTCCAGATGCGTGGCTGTGAGACCTTTGCTTTTTCATGGTTCAATGTATGCACACTTAGTTTCATGCACAAAATTATTAAAATTACTGTGGATAAAATTACTTTATGGCTATGTGTATATGAAACGTAAATGAATGTCATGTTTAGACTTAGAGCCCATCTCCAAGATACTTCATGGTTTACAATATGGATATATACAATATGCACTTTATCATTGTCCCTGCCTCTGTAGTTGTATTGCATTAATTGACTTGGCCCTTCTAGCCCAAACTTATCATCTGGCTCCTGCAGTTTTCTATCAGCCCTGTCCTCGCAGCTGTATTGCACAGGCCATGCTTCTCCCCTTAGTTTAATATATGGCCACTATGCTCGGCTACTGGTTGTTGATGTTTTATGATGTTTTGTATCTATATTTTTACTATGATTTTATTTTAATCTCTATTTGACAGGGCTTGGTTTCCATGTAAGCCACCCCAAGTTCCTTCAGGGAGATGGTGGGATACAAAAATAAAATAATAATAATAATAATAATAATTATTGGTATTTCAAAATTCAAAGAAACCCAAAATCCAAAAGATTTATGGTTAAAGCATTCAGTTGAAGGATGTGCAACCTGAATAGAATTATGTTTCTTCCTAATGTTGCAGTAATTGGCAATCACATTTTCTAAATTACTGGGAAGAGTAAACAGGTAGAAAATCCTGCTTACTACACAGTTGCAACAGCTCATTCTTTCTCAAGGAGGCAAATAAATAGCAAGTTGTATAAATTCCAAGAACTGATTTGCACTTAGTGTAGGAAACGTTTGGGCTATATGTGTATGTATGTACTAGTTACTCAGTTACTGAAAATGTCTTGTCCAGTGGTTCTCAACCTGTGGGTTCCCTGATGTTTTGGTCTTCAACTCCCAGAAGTCCTAACAACTGGAAAACTGGCTGGGATTTCTGGGAGTTGTAGGCCAAAACACCTAGGGACATACAGGTTGAGAACCACTGGTCTAGCCTGAAAGAGAGACACTCTGCAGGCAATGAATTAGTTTTATTTGTGTGAAACAAATCCCCATCCTTAACCATATATATTTTCTTCTAACATTTTTAGTTTAATTGACTGGAATAATCCACTGATCATCAATAAGCTATATAAAGTGTATCTTGGGGACATACCACTAAAAACCAAGGAGGTAAGATTTACTTTCTAAATTCTGTGCTCCTCCTTGTTTTTAAAAAAACATTAAAATGTTTTTATTCAACAAAAGTATTTTTTGCATATGGTTTTTGTTGCTTTGTGTAGCCAGTCAAGTACAGCTGTGTGACATTCAGAGTTATTAGCTACTCATGTGCTTTTTTCTCCCATTAACTTGGAAGTGAAGAAGAATAAATTTCCTTTTGTGGTTACTTTTCCTTATAGCAGTCATTCATATAACTGGGTGATATTTTTGCTCAGTTTCTATTTGCCAATAATTTTCCATGGGGATGGGGACACCATTTTCCCACCCAAGCATTCAAAAAGACCATAAGGGACACTATGGCAGAGCAAGAAGAAGGGATTGGTTCTGCTTTTAGGTTTTCCTTGTGCTTTGGAAATATAAACCTTCTCCCTCTTTTGACTAAATATTCATATCTTACATTTTTCTTCACTATTCTCTTTTATATCTCTAGTATATTTGCTTATGAGAGTAAGATTCCATATACAGTCACTCCTCCACTTTCATGGGATTCACACATGTGGCTTTTATCACTAGCCAACAAACATTGGTGCCTCAGTTGTCAGACCTGTTGCTTGGGTATATATGATCTGCTGATTCCAAGAATGGCACCAGTTTCCCCCTATCATCTCTAGGTTTTGAGATACAGAACATATGTCATATACTAGTTTTTATCTGCTTGTCCATAAGAAACTGTTATAGCCATATCTTAGAAACTAGAGATGATGCAGTCTCTCCAATGCAAATTTCTGAATCAGTGCCCCTAATTACCTTAGGAACACGCCTAAAAAGCAAGAGTCCAAGATTTGATTATATTTTTTGGTTGGGTTGTGTTATTTGTGTAGTTGCGCTGCCGAACCCGACCGAGTCTAAAAGTTGGGGCTCCTGTGTTTAATGGGTGTCATTTTGGAAGGAGGCTGTTTCTGTTTTGCTTGACATCTCTCTTAATTTGCACTTACAGCAGGTGCCCTTGTAACATTTTTTCTCTTATTTGGTGGACTACAGTCATGTCTTCATTTTTATAACTGAATCCCTCTTATAAAAACCACAACTATGCATATGCATTCTGTTTCTTTTTACATTGATATTGTTAGAAAAACCCAACTTATCTGGAAACTATTTATAATCTGGAAACTATTTTAAAGTTTCTTATTTTCACTTTATACCAGGGAGCAGTTCTGAAACCGGAATTGAAACGCGATCCTGTCAGCACACGGGTTAAATTAAAGATTGTCCCTCATCTTCTGCGTTCCAGACAGGCTGCAGAAACATTTCCTGCCAATATTCAGGTAATATTTTCTCTCACACAGTAATGCTGATTGTATCTTAATAGGTACTGGACTATTTTACAGTGGAAGTTGCAAGAAAAAACATATCTTTCTTAGGAATCATTTATTTAGATTCTGCTGTTCATAAATATGTACTGATTTTTTAAATAAAATGAAAAATATTTGACCTCAGTAGAAACTTGTGGTAGTAAAATTCACCTCAAAATTAGGCTAAGTATTATAAAGATTATTGTTCCTGTGGACAAAGAAATGGAAATAAAAATTGTTCTAATATTTTTTTATTATTATTTTACTTGTAGGTTGTCTATGATGGACTGTTTGGAGCAAATACCAATGCAAAACTGAGAACCTTGTGTCTTCAGTTTGTGCATCATATTTGTGTAATGTAAGTAATTTGGTGTTTATGACATGTACTAATACAGCTTTGGTTGTCAGTGCAGTTAAGTGATTTCATGATGAATGTTAAAGTTCAGCCTAGTCTCTAGTGTCACAGTGAGGTTATAGCACAGCTGGTAAATCACCAGCAATTATAAGATCTATCAAGTTCGAAGCCCCAGGTTGGCGTGAGCTGCCAACTGTCAGCCTAGTTCATTGTTTACCTAAGCAATTCGTAAACAGCTTTAGCTGTAATTAGAGAAATTAGGTACTGCTAAAAAGCGGGGGAGGTGTTTTACGATGCCATAAAAAAAATCAGAAAATGTTGGGCGACCAAAAGAAAGGAGGAAGTCATAGAGGATAGAGCAACAGCACCCCCTGAACTGGACTCGAGCCCAACCTTCCATGGCACCAAAAACAGCTGGACACTGAGTTGAAACAAACCACCTCCTTCTGTTCTGTCTGTCAGTGTATTGTCTATACAAAGCGGCATTGAATGTTTGCCATGTATGTGTGCTGTAATCCGCCTTCTGTCCCCTTCAGGGTGAGAAGGGTGGAATATAAAGAAAGTATTATCATCATCATCATCATCATCATCATCATCATCATCACCACCACCACCACCACCACCATCATAATCATCATGAAATGAAAGAAAATGCTTGCTTTATGAATGACTCGTAACAGTGCCTCCTTCTTTTCTTTATTGAATCTCAGTTGTCCAGACAGTAAGATCAAGCCACTAGGCCCAATGCTTTTGAATGGACTGACAAAGCTGATTAATGAATATAAAGAGGTGAGTTCAAAATCTCCTCCTGAAATGTGCCATTTATTGTAGAGCTCACCATATAAATGTTCATATCTAGGAAGTTGCTTTGATATTTGCTTCAAACGAAGAGCCTAACATGGAATAACTAGTGCTCATAAAGAAAAGAATTTGCCTCGTTTGAATGGTCAGATTCTTGTTTAATAACATTCAGCGCCTTTGCTGCTGTGCATTTCCTATTCTTGTTGCATATAGATTCTTTTGAGGATTTCTTTTTTCGTGTCAGGAGTGACTTGAGAAACTGCAAGCCAAGTATGGTGTGAGAGAATTGGCTGTCCGCAAGGATGTTGCCCAGGGGGTGCCCGGATGTGTTTACCATCCTGTGGAAGGCTTCTCTCATGTCCCTGTATGAGAAGCTGGAGCTGACAAATGGGAGCACACCCTGCTCCCTGATTCGAACTACCGACCCTCTGGTCAGCAGTCCTGCTGGCACAAGGGTTTGACCCATTGCACCGCTGAGGGGTCCTATTCTTTTGGAGATGCACAGGCATGATCTTTTTGGAACTCTCTGAACTCCCAAGTTTTTGCATGATGCAATGGATGTACTATCTGGGATTTGCTGGAAATCTGCAATCATTTAGGGAGAACTGCTCAATCTTCTGCTTGTGCGTAGTTAGAATTAAAAATATAGTTTCTTTTCCTTTTTTCTCTATGTACATGCCTTACCTCTGAAATAACTAGAAACTGCATTAGAATGTAATATTTGAGTAAGTCTTACTTAGATAAATTTGATTAAATTTGCAGGACAAAAATGCAAATATTTTATATCTGGAGTTATGCTTGAGCATTTTCAAATTCTTGTCTTAATTTGTTATACTGCTTCTGAATATTGCCTTATTTCACACTGTACAAGACCTGAAAAATAAAGTTATTATTATTATTTATTTTTATTCCGCTTTTTCCCATGGGTGGGATTCAAAGTTAAAAGGTGTGGGAATGATTTTGTTGCCATAGGCCAGGCATAGGCAAACTTCGGCTCTCCAGGTGTTTTGGACTTCAACTCCCACAATTTCTGGGAGGTTTAACAACCTACTGCTGTTAGGAATTGAAGTCCCAAAATACTGGAGGGCTGCAGTTTGCACATGCCTGTCAACAGCTATCATTTTGTTCATCTCTGCCTTTAGAATAGAGCCCCATTCTTCATTATTGAAGGAATTTGCTATAGATAATTATATTTATGGATTTTTTGTGCTTTTGAAACATGTTTTATCAGAAAATATATGGAAAGGGAAAGTCCAGCATGAAGTGTAATAAACGAGGACACTTGAATGTGTATTCTTTATTAGTTCTTTCTTTTGATTTTTTTTATATAATTGAAGGAGCCCAAGCTGCTCTCGATGGCTTATTCAGCTGTTGGAAAACTCTCCAGGTAACAGAAAATGTTTCCAATCATATTAACTAATTTTACTAATGCTATTTGTTACTCTAGCAGTAGGTAGGGTGGTTAACATCATGCACCATGTAGCACTTGTAATGTTATGTATACTATACAATAGACTGTGTCTTTTGACAACACTTGAGAGCTTACATTTGGGGAGTGGGGAGAAAGAGTAGATAGGCTATTGAAGTACTTGGGGAGGGAATCTATTTTGAAATGGAGCATTGATCTGAATGCCAAATTGTTCTTTGCATAATTTAAAACTGCTAATAAAGTAATTTAATTAGCCAAGTAGTGGCATGCTTCATGGACTGTGCATAAAAATTACCAGTCATCTTCAAAAAAATTGCCTCGGGTGTTGGTGATATTTGGTGATAATTTTTTAAAAAAACTTCCCATTGGAAAAGACAAACAATTTGCATTTAGGTAATGTTTTCAGGTGCATTTTATTAACCTCTGATTACACTATGTTTCAGCCGAATACCTCAGTTGTTCACCAAGGACCTGGCACTAGTTCAGCAGTTTTTTGAAGCCCTTTCTAAGGTTGGTGATATTTTTAATTTTAATATTTTTCATTTAGGAAATTATTTGTTTTATCTGTTGAGGGCATGATAGATACTAACCAAATGTATCTTATTTCAGGAAGACCCTGATACTAGACTTGCTATTCAGGAGGCCTTGTCTATGATGGTTGGAGCATACACTAGTTTAGAAGGAGCACCACGCACTCTAATGGAGGCACTTGTGGCCTCTAACCTGATTAAGGTAGGTTAACAGGTAATAGATACTAGATATTTTTCCATGTTTATCCTTTGAAGATGGCAGGACTTATGTACAAGTTTGTATAACTATAACAATAAATTCTGGCTCTTCTGACATTTCTGTCTGCTTGGACAGTGCCTCACGATTTTCTAAATCACTGTACTGTATTTATTCTTTCTTGCCAAATGGTTTGCAGGTAATTATATATTTGCAGACAAAATAGTATATGAATTGAACCACCACACAGAACAGCGAAAGCTTTTGTGATAGTGTCAACTGCTTCCATGTAGAGATTAGTCAGAATGCCACTACCTACCTTATGTATCTTATGTTGCCAAAATCTTAGAAGAGAAGAGATAGAAGTAGTGACTACAAACGTGGGAATTTTCTTGCTTACTTATTCATTTGAATTCCCTCGTTTGTAGCCACTACTTCTATCTCTTCATTTTAGAAGGGCAGAAGCATTATACTTTCAATGTAGATACTTCAGTAGGAACTGTGTGCCTTTGGAAGACAGCAGGAACAGTTAAGTTTAGACTTCAATGCAGGAACTGTATGCTTTGAGACTAGACAGAGACTCTCAGAATAGAGAGATGCTTTGGACTATGGACTATGGATTATCAGAAAGATGCCCTGTGTTACATACACAGAGAAACTACTTCAAATCTCTTTGTAACTGGATTGATAAGCAAAGTACCTGTATGCTGAATACATGAAGTTTGTGAGTAAACCACCTATACTACTTTTGAAAGAGTATGCTTATTTTTGTCTCTTGAGAGCATGATTTAAAGGCAAATATATTTTAAGGGAGAGTAGATCTTTTTGGGCAACTAAAAAGGAACGTTTCTGAAATTCTGAAATATATATGTACGTATGTTTGCGCATTGGCATATCTTTGTCCCTCACTGTTCAAAGAGATATTTAGGACATCTGTTTAACAGCTGAGAAACCTAGTTGTCTTGCATGAATGCTGGCGAATGCCATTTTCCAAAAAGATTATGACTCTAACAGGTCATACTTTTACCAAAAGGTTTTGGCATCATTTTTCAAAGATTGTGACTCCTAACAAGGTCATGCCTTTCCAAAGGTCATAAAATCTCCAAAAGGTTCTGGAGATTTCCATTTTCCAAAAAAAGAAAGGTGGACAGAAGGGCTGGGTGCCCAGGGCCAGGAACTGCACGAGCAAGGAAGGCTTCACGTTATATGGACATGTATTACTATCTTGAAAACTCTTTTCTTTTTGCCCTAGACTTAGGGTGCATCTACAGTTTTTTTACCACTCTCATTTCTGTGGAATCCTGAAATTTGTAATTTGGTGTGGCTCCAGAACTTTTTGATAGAGAAGGCCAAAGATCTTGTACGACTAGAGGTCTAACAAATTCATAGTATTGAGCTGTGGCAGTTAATGTATTGTCAAACTGCATTGATTTTACAGGTTATATGCATCCTTGTGTTATGCTATGCCATGCTATGTATTTTGGTCCACCAATTTTCGCAGCGCTTGAAATGATTTGGCTTTGTTTGCTTACCACTTGCAGTTGCATTGGGCAAAAGGGTGAAATATGTTGAAGGAATGGCATTACCTGCTGCCTCCTAGTGTCAGTCATTCTGATTCCTACCTAAGCATTTGAAGTGGCTTTGCTCCTTGAGCTGAACTATAAATGGAGGGGGGGGGGGCTGTCTCCGTAATTGCCTTTTAAACTTCCGGTGCTTTATTGCATTTGCCTCAAGGAAGCTCCTGTGTGTTTCAATAGTTTGTTGATTTCTACTTCTCTTTTATTTTTAAGCCTCAAGTCCAAGTGCGTCAGGTGGCAGTAAAGTTTGCCAGTACAGTGTTCCCTTCAGATCACATTCCTTCAAGATACTTGCTACTTTTAGCTGCAGGAGATCCGTAAGTTTAATAAGTAGGGAAGGTAGCAAATTCTGTGTGTCACTGCATGCTCTTGTGGCTGGAGATGCAAGGGGGTTGCTGTTTTTGATAAATTTGATTTTGATAAATTTGTCTTGTGTTATGCTGTTAGCGCATGGCTGTTCCAGTTTATGATTATACTTTCTATGGGGGAGGAAATACCCATTAAAGCTATCAGCAAAGCAAACCAGTATCTGGAGACTGACTTTATACAGGAAAGATACCAAGGCAACACTCCAGTTGGGGACTCCCACTGATGAAATCATTCCCACCTGAAGATTAAGGAGCACATGATTTCATTTATAATTATTAGGGATTCAGATAATTTTGGGAGTTTTAGCTTAATGGTTTAGTAGGTTGCCCTGTAGACCAATTGAAGGATACAGTAGTGGCCACCTTATATGGATTTTTTTTAAAAAAATGGAGAAAATTATAAAAATATATATTGATGATAAATCATGGCTGTTAACTAGACCTTCCATATTCATGATATATCCAGAATACTGAAAGTCATGAAAAAAGAATTGCTTTACAAGCACATCCAGTTCTCTGAAAAGTGTGCCGTTTGCCCAGTTGCTATATTATCCAAACGAATACATTTAGCACAAAATACACAGAAAAGAAAACCTGCAGAACCTCTGGCTGAGACACTCCTTCCTCTCTCCTCATCCTATATATCTGGGTGGAAAATCAACTCCAAATTTAGAAGATTTCTGGCATATTGTTATGTGGAAATTAGTTGGTTTGAAGAAAACCCTAGTCAATTTCCTCCTAACTGCAAACATTGGATCTGTTTAATCTAGTTTTATTCATTTATATCCTGCCTGCCTCCCAACATAGAACCCAAATTGAAGCCTTTAATTCACAGTTCTTCTTCGTAGTGTCTGTGAAAATCGCACATTGGTTATTTCTCTGAACTTTGCTCAGACTCATTCAGGCATATGTATCTAACACTGAGTTACAGTTTTGCATTACATGTGAACTAGCCATTGATTCAGAGTGAAGAAAGAGCTTGATTTGATTGGGGCAGGAGTGATCTCTATGTGTGCAAACTGTTTTTGTTTTGTTTTGGAAGGCGAGAGGAGGTACACGGGGAAGCACAGCGTGCACTGAGAACATTTCCCAGTAAAAATGAAAAGGAAAGTGCTGGTAAACAGATGCCTTCGTTCCCAGAAATGGTCCAGTATATCCAAGAGAAGGTACATAACTCTGGCTTAATACTGATTACCGGGGTCAACCCTGTGTAACATAGGTTGGATCTACACTGCCATATAATGCATGTAGGTCTAGCCATATTCTCCGGAGCAAGAGCATGATCTAAAGCAGGCTGAGGGGGAAAAGGAAGGGGCCTGAGGTTGTTAGGAATTGTGGGAGTTGATGTCCAAAACACCTGGAGGACCGAAGTTTGCCCATGCCTGATTTAAAGGCACCTGCCACGCTTCTAATGCTGTGGACAGGAACACCTGACTCTGAAAGTTGTAAAAGTGGAAGAACACTTGGGAAACAACACATATGCCTTTCTAAGCCTTTCAAGGAAGAGATGCATGTAATAGTGATATGGTGAAAGGTGTTCGACATAATGTTATATGGTACTTGGAAAAGTTAGCTGTTTTTTTATTTATTGATCAACAAAATGATATCACTTTGAGCATGTACTTCCATTTTGGTACAGTTCTCTTCCTTGTGGCTCCTTCATGCCTGTAGATTTTGGGCAGAAGTATACAATATTTCTCCTTCACTTTTTGAAAACTTCAGCCTGAGAGTTGTCATAGTAACCCCCCCCCCCCCAAAGAAAAAAAAAAAAGAGCAGAGCACTTTAAATTACTGTTGGGCAATACATTTTTAATTCCAACAGTATGACAATGGGGCTTTTGAGTAAATGCTGCGTGAACTTCTGACAGTTTTGTTTTATTTTATTTTAGGCTTCCCATAGAATGAAAACTCCTGCTAAATACATGACTGGGACTACTGTCATGCCTTTCAACCCAGCTACTTTTGGAGAGGTATGTGAATGGGAAGGTTATGTCTGACTAGAACTTGTGCTTGTTGTCATAATACCCATAGGTATATAGTCTTGAATCTAGTTACTAGTCCCATTGAGAGTTAGACCCATAGGATAACATCCAACATACTTTTTGCCTAGTGTGAATATAATCCTGGGTCATTTTTCTCTGAGATAGATAAATAGATATATCAATAAATCCAAAACATTTCTGATCTGAAGCAATTCTGATAAGGGATACTCAACCTGTATAGTGCTCTGGATAGATTCTGACCAGAAATACTGATTAGTGTGTGAGATAATTACATACCTTCTGATTGTTAGTAATGTTTGTTTGCTTTTATCAGGCATCCTGTTTTCTCACCTTTTCTTTTTTTTCCTTGCTCAGATAGTCCTATATCTCAGGATGTGTCTTGCTCATAGTGCTGGCGTAGTGCCCACCTCTCAGAGTTTAGCAGATATGCAAGAAGACCAGGCTCCTGCCATTGGCCGTTACATAAGGAACCTGCTGTCTGGGCATGTTATAACATCCTCTTCATCAAAGGGTGGCGAGAGCAACCCTGTGCAGATCTACATAAGTCTTCTTCAGCAGCTGCTCTCTGGTGTTGGAGGTGAGAAATCATGAGCTACAAAGAAGAAGCTCTTAGTGTATTACCGACTTCATAAAAGTATTGCTTGGCTGGATACTTTGGGTGAACAAATTCATTGACTGCCATCAGTCATTGTGTTAGACGTGGAGATGACCACTTCCTAAGAACATTAGAGCAAATGTGATGCCATTGACTAAGAGCTATCTTGTCTGGCACTGTTTCCCCTTTGCTTTGTGCTCCTTCTGGTCTCGGAGAAATAACGACTCCAGTTGTACATAGCTTCTGTATTGGGAAACTCCATTTTGCTTTGATGGTCCATAGCTATTGGTGAACTCATTCTCCATAGTTTTATGCCCCCCAGTCCTTTTGACTGAACATCACTCTTCTTTCAATCATCTTCTGTATGCTTGTTTGTGAAAATATTTCTAACTTGCCCTATATTCAGAGACACCATGACAGAAACAACATAAAAATTTCAAGCAATTCAGCATGATATAGGTGAATAAATTAACCAAAGAATGAGCAACGTTTTACTGAGCTCCAAAAGCTTAGTGGTTCCCAACCTTTTTTTGGCCAGAGACCACTTTGACCAGGGACCACTCCAACATTAGTACCAAAAGATTTACAAATCAGTTTTCAGTCAACTTTAGATTCAGTTTGGTTATTTGGGGTGCTGATTCAGAAAATTGTATTGAATAGACCACATCAGTTCTAGTTTTTGATACAGAACATATGCTATCCAGTAGTTGCCATCTGCTCGCCCACAGAAAACCATATTTAATAATCCTCGGCGCTATAAGAATGTTTCGCGAGACTAGTTGCTCTCTCTGCAACAGTGTAGTAATGGTGAGGCCGCAGACCATATTTCAGTTCTTGCGGACTACTGGTGATCCACGGATCACACGTTGGGAAGCACTGGCTTAGATGAACAGTGCCGGAATAATTCTAACAATGGACAGGGATTAATTTTGAAGTGTCATTTTAAATTTCCTCAGCCACAAGATGTCTCAAGGGGTGCTTAGTTGTATTAGTGGTATTTATTTGATGCTAGAGAAGTTACATTTCCAAGAAAAGCATTTAGAGGTGGTCGGATTCTCTTGCCAGGTGTCAACCTGCTAATACATTTTTTTTTAACATTTCTAATCTTCCATTCCCCAACTGCTTAAGTAGCGGGGCTTTGTACTTCCATTATTCATGCTTCCCATTGCCTTCAGCACACCAGCCTTTCCCATTCCCCTCTTACATCCCTTCTTCTCATCACAGCGACACCGGAAGTGGCAACACTTCCAGTATCGCGGGATTTCGGCAGCTCCGCTTCTCACTCTTCCATCTTCCCTGCTTTCGGGTTCTGTGTGGGTGAGTCAACAGTGTGGCTTGGCTTGGCTTTCCATCTTGTCATGCAGATGCTGCATTACATACAGATTTATGTCTTCTTTCAAGGGAGAAAAGGAGATCCAGTTTAGTTTTGTTGTTTCCTAACAATTTAAGTGTCAAAGTGTCAACCTCATATGGGCCCATTTCAGTCTACTTGAGGCCAAAAGCCTGCTTAAAAATCCATTATTTTAGGCTGGATCAGAAGGAGTCAAGGGTGAGGGCTAACTTAACCTTTTTTGGGAGGGTATTCCAGAGCCGGGGAGCCACTACAGAGAAGGCCTTCTCTCTTGTCCCCACCAACTGTGCTTGAGATGATGGTGAACCCGAGAGAAGGGCCTCCCCTGCTGATCTCAAAGCTTGCATCGGTTCATAGAAAGAGATGCGGTCTTGAAGATAGGTTGGACCTGAAGCATATAGGGCTTTGCAGGTAATAGCCTGCACCTTGAATTGAATTGAGGATACCAAGGGCCTGCTTTAGTTGCTGATTTCAGTAATATTTTTTTTGCCTGAATTACGTAATGGATGGCGGGATTGTGGTTTGCTTTTAGCATCTTTACTTCAGCTGTCTAGTGCCTTTAGGACCTTCAAAAGTCAGGGCATGTGATATGTTCCAAATATTGGCTGCCTTCACATACCACACTAAACCATAAAGTGTTTTAGTCATTGTCTATTAGAGCTATCCCTGTTTTACAAATGCTATGCATGTAAGATCTTCTCTACATGGAACAGTTGGGTAATTAGCGTCTCTCTGGGCGTTTATATGCCTAATCAACATATGTAGTGTTCTGTGATGTGAAACTATTTGTAAAGTAAATTTCCAAATATTCCAAAGAAGTGTTGTTTTCAAATATCACTATCACAAGGACTCCAGTGTCAAACAGGAGTCTTGCATAGAAAGATTTCAGGGAAACTATATTGCTGACTAGATGATGTCACTGATGGAGATGGAATAACAGCATAAAGTTGTTCTGGAATCCAGCAAGTATGGCATCTTAGCGGCCAATCAAATGAACTAGCAGAACCATGAGGATGCATAAAGCATAATGCAAAAATGCACAACATATACCATATTTTGACCTGAGTAAATGGATACTTAATGGTCGCATTGCAAAACAAAAATATATCAGTCACAAGCATATTCAAGTAGACTCTTTTTTAATAATTGGCTTTGAACTTTGGTAGATTTTACCATTTGTGCTGACAGTGCCAAATTTGAAAAGATCCAGCTATATATGCTGGATAGTTGCAAATCTGGCAGTACTATGTCCAGCACAAGCATAATGCTTGGTCAAAATTTCAAGTCCATATCTTCATTTGCATGGAACTCATTGCAGTCTGAATATGAATCGCGACACATTTTAATGCACAGTTTGAGTCAACTTGTTTGACTGGATTTTGCATCCATAATGTTAAAATTAATTTCATTGGAATCAGCAGAAAAAACTACAGGATTTCAATTTACTAGCCGTTTTTATACATTTAGTTTCAATTTTATTAGAGCCCAAAAATTGTGTTTTGTTAAATGTTGTGTGCACGCGGATTACCCTTCAGATAAGAAGGTATAGATTAGCAGCAATTGCAGTTAGAGACCTCAAATTTTGGGGAACTTAGTTTAATTCCTGACTGGTGCTACAGCTAAAATGTGAACAAAATTGGAGAACATGATGGTGGGAGCTTTTTAAAATTTTAGACCATTTGGCATGGAATGGACCCATATGTGTGTGTTTGGAATGTTACTGGCATTTGGGGATTTTACATGTGAATGCAAGGTGAATTTTTTATCAGTAAATACAATTGTATGAAAGAACATATAAAAGCATGAGTTATTTTTTCCAGACATTGCAATGTTAATATCTTGGCACTGTTGACCCTCCTCTCTTGTTTTTAATTTTTTTAAACAAATGCCATGTAGGTTTGGCAGTCATGTACTGTCTACTGGAAGTTGTTTCAGTCTATCCTGAAAAATTGGCTGTGAGATTTGTTGACAAGATGGATTGGATCAAGGTATGTTCAAGGAAAGAGATATTGTTTAACTTAAATAAATGTTTTTTTTCCTGATTAGGGGAAGAACCATATCCCTCCCAAGAGATAGAGAGTTGGCATTTGACTGGGTTAAAAATGGGCGCTGTCACATGTTTGTTAATCAAATATCTCTTAATGGCCAGATTTTTCAATAAATATCACAGAATTGCCTTTCAAGACTGAGTTTCCTAAGGCCATTTCCAATATTAGAAATAAAATAAAAGGGTTTCATGTTTTGGAGCTGTATTGATTACTATTAGTGCTGGTGCTGGGTCTATCTTAAGATTTCCTGGTCTGGTCGTTCATCTGCTTGCATTGTATGCAGCCATAGTGTTAAAAAAGCGTTGTTAAAAGTGTTGAGAGATGACTTTTCACAACTGTAAACCTTAAAACCTTCATTCAGCAAGGCATAAGCCATGTTTTCTGAGGATTCTGGAAATTGTAGTTCGTAAAGATGATTCTTCCATATTCTGCATGTAAATTCATTTATGTAGTCAGCAGAAGTAGTGCTGACATTGGGATTTCCTTTACTACATCTTTCCTAAAACGATCTTAACAGATTAGAGACATGAGTCAAAACTAACAAAATGAAGTTCAACAGGGACAAATGAAAGATACTCCACTTAGGCAGAAAAAACTGAAATGCAAAGATGCAGAATGGGGGATGCCTGGCTCAACAGCAGTATGTGTGAAAAATATCTTATAGTCGTCGTGGACAACAAGTTAAACATGAGCCAACAATGTGATGAAGTGGCTAAAAAAGCCAATGGGATTTTGGCCTGCATAAACAGGAGCGTAGTGTCTAGATCCAGGGAAGTCATGCTAGACCTCTTTCTGCCTTGGCCAGACCACACCTGGAATACTGTGTCCAATTCTGGCCACCACAATTTAAGGGAGATGTTGACAAGCTGGAGTGTGTCAAGAGAAGAGTGACTAAAATGATCAAGGGTTTGGAAAACAAGCCCTATGAGGGGCAGCTGAAAGAGCTAGGCATGTTTAGCCTTCAGAAGAGAAGGCTGAGAGGAGACATGATGAGGGCCATGTATAAATATGTGAGGGGAAGTCATAGGGAGGAGGGAGCAGCCTTGTTTTCTGCTGCCCTGGAGACTAGGATGTGGAACAGTGGCTTCAAACTACAGGAAAGGAGATTCCACCTGAACATTAGAAAGTACTTCCTGACTGTGAGAGCTGTTCAGCAGTGGATCTCTCTGCCCCAGAGCGTGGTGGAGGCTTCTTCTTTGGAGGCTTTTAAACAGAGGCTGGATGACCATCTGTTGAGGGTGCTTTGAATGTGATTTTCCTGCTTCTTGGCTGGGGGTTGGACTGTTCAAATGCTAAAAAAAAAACCATTTTAACTTTGAGGTTCATGCTATTCAGCTGTTGCTTGTCCAGTCTAACTTCTTTTTCAGACAGGTCTTTTAAAACAGAATATTGTTAAAGACTAGGACCAGAAGGTGCTGATTTGTTTTAGATTGTTTTTAACAGCATTTTACTTTTGAAATTGTGTTTCAACATAATTATTTTCATACATATTTTGAGTTTAAGGCAGGGTACACATGAATAATGCTACTAAGAAGAAGTTTGACTATAAGATCAGCCTTATGGTATTGAAATTGTTAGTAAAATACATTGCATATTTCACATTTTATTCTGTTTTAACCTTTTCAGAGCCTTATGAATACTAATAAAGAAGAAATGCGGGAGCTGGCTGCTCTATTTTATTCGGTAGTGTTGTCAACAGTTTCAGCAAATGAATTTAAAACATCCGTTCAGCAACTGATAAAAACAGCAAAGGACAATCATGTAAGAGAGTTGGCAAACTTTCTTTATTTTCCTTGATGTTTATGAAAATGTAGAAATACTCAGGTGTCAGCCTTTCATGTCTTTTTCTGATCTAAAGTAAATTAAACTAATTAGGAAGAGTTTACCATTAAATAGCATAAGAAAATGGAAAAATTATAATTTTGCACAGAAGCAAAGTTACGACCAGAAAAGTGAGATCGAAGAAACACAGATATCTATAACCAATAACAAAATGAAATTTGCAAACTGTTATCCACGCCATGCTGTGTTATCATTAACTATGTTAATTGGTTTAAACTGCAAATAAAACACAAAGAAAATACATAAAGTATAAGCCTAAATGCTACTTGATCATTTCCTTCCGGAGTTTACTCGTGGCTTGAGAGTTATAGATTCACTCTTCCAAATGATATATATTCTTCCTCTTAACAGAGGTAACTTATTGTAGCCAGAGTTTGTATCTTCACTCTTTCATTTGAGCTTTCAAAACAGAGGATAAGTATTGAGAAAATATTTACACAGTCTTAGAAGTAATGAATTAAACACTGGAATAGTCCTTGAGAATGTAAACTATAGTCCAAAATAATGTCCGGCAAGAGTCCCCGGGTTGAGATGCCTTGTTTCGGGAAAACTCCCCTTCTTCAGGATTTCTATAACTTCTTCAAAAGAGGGTGTGATTCACAATAAATCCTTTATCTACGGTACAAAGCTGGCCTTACAGTTAAGTTTTCAGAACCATGGAAAGCCTGTCATACAAAAGGGTTAGAGGCTAGGCTTTTTTATGTTCAAGACTAGGCTTTTCTTTCAAAAGGAAGTGAGCTGGAAGTGAAACGAATGTGTCCCCTTGTGGGCTTTAGAGAATATGTGGACTGCAATAAAAATTTCCTCATGCAGTTGTGGTTCTCCAAGGTCCTGCGGGGTGGAGTGCAGTGTGGCCCCCTAAAATCAAACAGTTGTCTATATAAGGTTGCAGCCTTGATTTCATGTATCATAATACAGGCAGTCCCTGAGTTACAAACATCTGACTTACAAATGACTCATAGTTAAGAACAGGAAGTGAGAGAAAGCTACCTCTCAGATGGGAAATTCACTCCTGAAAGTGTTATCATGGGGGAAGGTGTCTGTATTAAAGCTTTATCACCAATCCTTGTTTCCACAACAAGCCATTTTTTTCAAAATCCAATGATCACAGGACAGAAAGTGAGGTGAAATCTTCTGGACGGGCACAGACAGCAAAGCAAACGCCACAGTGGTGTTAACCCTTCCCTATGTGATCCAAGCTAAAACAGTTGAGTCTCGCTTATCCAATGGGCTGGCAGAATGTTGGATAAGCAAAAGTGTTGGCTAATAAGGAGGGATTAAGGAAAAACCTATTAAACGTCAAATTATATTACATCATGTTTTACCTCAAATAGTCAGTAAAAGCAGTTCAATACACAGTAACGCTATGTAGTAATTACTGTATTCACGAGTTTAGCACCAAAACATTACAATGTATTTAAACAGCTGTGGATCCAGGCGGGAGGCAGACTGCTTTGGATAATACAGAACGTTGGATGAGCGAAGGTTGGATAAGCGAGACTATACTATATACATACATATCTTTAGTTGGAGTTACACTTAAAAAATGTGCCTGTTCTGACTTACAAACAAATTCATCTTAAGAATAAACCTACAGAACCTATCTTATTCGTAACTTGTGGATTGTTGTTCTTTATCTTCAGAATTTGGAACTGCAGCATGGATCCTTGTTGGCTCTAGGATTCACTGTTGGACGGTATTTGTCAAAGAGAAAAACTGGGATGGTAGAATTGCACGACCTTGAAGATCCAAATACTATTATTGCTCCAGAACAAGACCAGCTGATCAAGTCAACAACAGAAACTATAGGTCAGTGAACGCATTGACTCTCTTGGTTCTTTGCAGGGATCAGAAAAGCACAAGCTTTTTAAAACCAATTATGGAATCTTTTGACTATTTTTTTAGAAAAAAAATCCTGTTCAGGATACTTTGCCAAAGAGCCCTCATTAAATAGTAATCTCAAACCTATAATATTGCATTTTGTTGTTGTTTTGGTACTTAAGTTGAGTAAGACATTGTGAGCAGGATCATACAGTGGATTGAATAGTAGAGATCTTCCAACTTCAGCTTTTCATGCATCCCAAAAACTGCTTTGAAAAACTCAAAAAGAGCTGCAGCAGAAAGAGGCTTTTTGCTTTATATGACCCCATCTTTATTGTATAGCCTACTAACTTTTGAATCCATTAGTTGGTTCAGATATGCTCTCCTTGATCCTGCTTGGACTACTGTCTGAAGAATGGACCAGCCCTTAATTATAGAGACGTTGCCCATCCCTAAAGTGGTTGTAGAATGAGCATTAAAGTAATGTTCTTGCTGTGTTTATGATATTATACTATATAATGTTGTCAGTCCCATTTTTGATAATATCTAATGTAAAATAATACAGTTTGAAAATCTTTAGTGCTCCTTAAATTTTGGATCAGTGGTTTGGATCCAGCCTAAGCTTTCTGTGAATAAAAGCTCCCATTCTGACTATGAGAGACTTCTGATCCAAGGTGGTGGGGGGGGGGGGGGGGGGGGGGGGGGAATCAACTGTGGGATGGAGGCAGTCTTTGAAGATTCTCCTACAAATATAAAATAAGCCACTCTGTAAATGACAGATGGGAGGAGGTGGAGTTGAAGTCAATGTGGGATCTGTTCTGAGCGGCAGAATGAAAGCTCCAACCAGCTGGCTTTTAAAAAGAGGAATCCCTTTCTTTTTACCAGGGTCTTTTTTGGATAGCACTTCACCACTTTTGGCAGTAGCTGCATGTACAGCATTGGGAGAAATTGGAAGGAATGCCCCTTTGCCCATTCCTGATGAAGGCTCTGGATTTACAAAACTCCATCTTGTTGAAAGCTTATTAGCCAGGATTCCATCTGGCAAGGAAACAAATAAGGTAAAGTTCTTCAATGCTTTATCACTTGTTTGTTTATTTCTTTAGGTCCATCTAGGAAAACCATGTAAACACTTTCTCTTGATGGCTAGAATGGAAAGTGAATTGTCAAGAAGAAGAAAAAGAAAGGAAGTGGTCTTATATTATTTTTTTATTGTGGCAAATCAGTTGAGGACTTGCTAGGGACATTCTTATCGTATAGGCACTTGGATCTCCTGTTTCTGCTTGTTCATGCATTTGACTGTTTGCATGGGGCCTGCACTTGCTGAATTTAATGTATTTAGGCACAATCCTTGCAGTTTGTTCCTTTTCATGAGGTAAGTCTTAATGCTTTGGGCATTAGTTCTGTAAACGACTACAGACAGCAAAAGAGATTTGCTTGAGACAGTTCACAAGTGAGATTTAAATCATCATCATCCCATCACATATATGTGATGCCCTTCTCCCTACATTGAAACTGTGTTATTCCACGCAGCCACAGCTACAGGTGGGGGTTTTATATCAGTTGTTTTATATGACATTCAAAAGCCCAAACTCTTAACATTAAGTAAAACAAGTGACAGCCTTAGTCTACCAGCTCTTATTTATTCTTAGAGGACTATATTCTAAAGTAGATAAATTATAATACTTAGGTAATACAATGTAATATGGTACAGTTCTTGCATTGTGTCTCCCTTAGTTCGAATGTGTGTTTGTGTTGGGCCTTGTGCTGAAGCAGCATTCCTAATCTCCTAAAATATAGATGGCATATAAATGCTTTCTTTCCCCCCGGATTAACCATACTATACTGTGTTCACACTGACATTTTGGCATTAACTGTGGTAGCTTTATATAGCTATGAATATCTTATACCTAAAAGGAGGATTCAAAATTGGGAAAGGAGTATGGCAGGGCTGTATACTCTCACCCTCCCTATTCAACTTGTATACAGAACACATCATGCGACATGCAGGGCTTGATGAATCCAAGGCTGGAGTAAAAATTGCTAGAAGAAACATGAACAACCTTAGATATTCAGATGATACTGCTTTGATGTCAGAAAGCAAGCAGGAGTTGAGCCTTCTAACCATGGTGAAAGAACAAAGTGCAAAAGCTGGGTTGCAGTTGAACATCAAGATTACGGCAACCAGACTGATTGATAACTGGCAAATAGAGGGAGAAAACATGGAGGCAGGGACAGACTTTGTATTTCTAAGAGCGAAGATTATCACAGACGCGGACTGCAGCCAGGAAATCAGAAGACATTTACTTCTTGAGAGGAGAGCAATGACCAGTCACAATAAAATAGTGAAGAATAGAGACATCACTCTGGCAACGGAGATCCGCATAGTTAAAGCAATGGTATTCCCTGTCGTAACCTATGGATGTGAGAGCTGGACCATAAGGAAGGCTGAGAGAAGGAAGGTAGACGCTTTTGAACTGTGGTGCTGGAGGAAAATTCTGAGAGTGCCTTGGACAGCGAGAAGATCCAACCAGTCCATACTTCTACAAATAAAGCCTGACTGCCCATTGGAGGGAAGGATATTAGAAGCAAAGATGAAGTACTTTGGCCACATAATGAGAAGACAAGAAAGCTTGGAGAAAACAATGATGCTGTGGAAAATGGAAGGAAAAAGGAAGAGGCCAACCAAGGGCAAGATGAATGGATGGATGCTATCCTTGAAGTGACTGGCTTGACTTTGAAGGAGCTGGGGTTGGCAACAGCTGACAGGGAGCTCTGGCGTGGGCCAGTCCAGAAGGTCACGAACAAATGCAAAACAAAAAAAAGGAGTATTGTATTTTGGAGTTATCACAATTAGGACTCACATTATGTGCTGCACCAGGACTGTTTTAGAAAAGAAGGGGGAGGGAACATTCTTATCCATCAGGGAGAGAAGAGGAGCACAAGGTGTGCAGAACACCTAAGGCGGAATTTATTATTTTTTCTGAACTAGTACTATAAAAAATAACACTATTTTTCTCCATTTAAACATGGTGGATGTTTAAAAGAAATCCTTTTTTCTTTTAGATGAAAGAGCGGGCTATACAAACACTAGGCTACTTTCCAGTGGGTGATGGAGATTTTCCTCACCAGAAACTCCTCCTACAAGGATTAATGGATTCTGTGGAGGTAATGCTCTAATATCACTCCTTAAAATTGAAAGAACTTGCTTAAAACCAGTTTTTGTTTAACTCATGTCTACTTAGCAAGTTGTACTGTATTGTTCTAATTGTGTTTTTATCAGTTTCCTGATGATGAAAACATTATAACGTTGCATTAAACAAAACTGTTTTTTCACTTTCATTTTCACAGAACACTTGTCTTGGTTTTTAAAAATAAATAATTAGCAGCTTTTCTGTGGGCAGCTTTGTTTTGAATTATGGTGCATTCCTGGAGTTGCATTAAGAGGTGAGCAGATTGTCAGGATAGGATGAGCATATCAGCCGCGGTGGCACAATGGGTTAAACTCTTGTGCTGGCTGAATTGCTGATCTGACGGTCGGCAATTCAGATCTGTGAGACATGGTGAGCCCCCCTCTGTCAGCTCCAGCTTCCCTTGCGGGGATGTAAGAGAAGCCTCCCATAGGATGGTAAAACATCCAGGCGTACCCTAGGGCAACGGCCAGTTCTCTCACACTAGAGGCAACTTGCAGTTTCTCAAGTCGCTTCTGACATGTAAAAAACACAACAACAGACAACTTGCTGTGTTTCTAAGCTGGGAATAGACCACAATGGGCAAACCTTATGTTTTTCATCTGGAGTTCCCAGGATTCCCTAGTAGACATGGATTGTGGCCATGCTGACCAGAGAAGTTAAAAAACCAGAATCCACAAAAATAGGTTTTCAAAGCCATTTCTTGCACTTCGTATAGAAATCAAGCAAGTTGATGGGTGTGGCATGAATTGGAAGGATCCACCATGGTTGCCTTAATCTCTTCATGCCAACACAACCAGGCAGGACCCCTTCTTTTGGCACACCCTTGAGGCTCATTTCCTTGAATCTTGACTGGGGTAGCAAATCACATCCAGGCCTTCCTTGTCCTTCTAGAAGTCAGCTGATCTAGAAGAGATAGCATTAAATCTTTTTCCTGAATTAGTTAATGACTGATCAATATCTTTTTTGCAGCTGATTTTTTCAACTGCAAACCTTTTCTCTCTTCTCTGAATACAAGTAAATTGATCTTTTCTCCTTGTTGGAAAAGATTCAAGCCTCACTTTATAGCAGAATTCTTGGCAAAACTAGCTCTGTGAAAACCGCTGTGGTGCAGGATTTTTTTTTTTTTACAATAAATATGTGGTCACATTAATGTGTAATTGTGGTGTGGGCAATTAGCATCCAAGCACCAATTATTTAAATGCAGGAAGGTATCCTTCAAAGCTGCTTTGAAAAACTGCTCCAAGAAAGTTTAGGGAGAAGAGCCATTCCTTTTGTTGTTCTCTTTAATAACAAGAATGGGTTTCTTGCCTGTAGAGAAGGGTTTGGTGTGTAAGTGCTTTCCATTTGTGTGCCCTACAGGCAAAGCAAATTGAGCTACAGTTCACTGTGGGAGAAGCAATTACTAGTGCTGCAATAGGAACCAGCTCTGTAGCTGCACGTGATGCGTGGGTGGTAGCGGAAGAAGAGTACACCCCTCCTGTTGGTAGGTTTGCATATGGGGAACGTAAAAAAATATTGAAAAGACTGATGTGGATGTACACTATACCTTTACCTGAGTTGAGTGCAGATGACTATTATTTTAGACTTGCCACTCTTCATTCCTCTCCTGTATCATCTGGTACTTGATCCACATTGCAGTTGAATATATTCAGATTTCCAGATACAACTCTGCATGTTTAACTAGAACATGTCAGAAATCTATGCCCATCTTTCAGGCACTGGGACTGTGGCAGCTGTCTGAGTGTCAGCTGCATTAAGATCACTTCTGACCACAAGGTCATGAGTTCGAAGCCAGCCCGGGTCGGAGTGAGCTTCCAACCAATTGTGTAGCTTGTTGTCGACCTTTGCAACCCGAAAGACAATTACGTCTGTCAAGTAGGGTACTACCTATGTGTGGGGTGGCTAATTTAACACAATTTATGAGGCCATAAAAAAGATCCCAGCAAAGCACTCCAGCAAAAGCATGCGGGGAATGCGGAAGTACTTCATCAGTGTCGCAGATGGACGATGAAAGTGACAGCTCCCCTGGTGGCCAGAAAAAGTTAAATAGCCTGTGTCTGTTTGTCTATATCTGTTGCGTGTCTTTGGCATTGAATGTTTGCCATATATGTGTACATTTTAATCCGCCCTAAGTCCCCTGCGGGGTGAGAAGGGCGGAATATAAATACTATAAATAAATAAATAAATAAATAAATAAATGACCTATACTCAGCTTTAAATGTTGAGGCATTAAGTGGATCTACTTTGCCTAATATAATCCTTGTTCAAATGAACTATATATTTTGGATGCATCAAGCAATCCAGTTGGGTTACACTTATTGGGGATGATGGATCATGTCCTGTTAGGATCACAACCTAATCAGGGTAGCAGTGTTTATTTGGTAATTGATGATTGCTGGGTATGTCGATATTTTGTTTCTGTTTGATGCTTTCAACAGGCAATGATGCAAGCAGACTTCTTTTAAAGATAACCAATTTGTTTACTTGTAACTTCATGTATTTAAAGATACAGCTCATTTAAAAACTTCAGTAACGTTTCAGAGTTTTGTATCTTGAACTTATAGTCTTTAACAGTTTCTTCATATACTCTGTTGCTTCATACAGCTCTCTTTAAAAAGAGTTTACTTTCAAGTAAAACACAAACCTCAACAGTTTCTAACTTCCTAACTCTGACAGACTTCTATACTCAAGCTCATTCAAGGTTCAACACACTTCTCTAACAAACATTCCTCAACTGACATTTCCTAACTGTCATCCTGTTTAAAGTTTCTGAATATTCTAAACTGTCACTGAGTCAGTCACATGACCTGCAGCCCCTCCCACTGCTTTAGGTATATAGAGATAAGGAACCTGAAGATCAAATAAGACATGTACTTCAGGTTGTAAAATGACACATTACAAAAGAGACAAACATCATATAGAGGAGACTTGAAAGGGTTGCTTCCCCTAACAGCACTTGAGTCTGGAAAGGCGGGATATATGCATCCCAAAAGATCCAATAAATATGCACTCCCTATTGCAAGTCTGGTTGTTATTATTCAGATGTCAAACGTTAGCGGGTAACAGTCTTGATTTCAATCATGCTATAATCCTTTAAAAGTGTTACATCTTTTTGTAAGTCTGGGCACACACAGATACCTGATCTCGTAGCAATTCCAATAAGGGATAGGATGCTGAACATTTAACATGAACCCAATAAATTCTAGCCAAACTCTCAGTTCATTTTCCAAATTCTTGTTTATAATGCTTTGTTTTTCTTTTGTCCTCTTTTTTAAAATTGACATAGATGTGAAAGTGAATGATGTGGTTCCCTGGGTTTTGGATGTCATTTTGAATAAGCACATTGTTAGTCCAAACCCTCACGTGAGGCAAGCGTCCTGTATCTGGCTTTTATCACTGGTGAAGAAATTGAGCACCCACAAAGAGATTAAGGTAAGAAATACAATGACTTCCTTATTAATCATTGACTTTCTGAATTGTCTTTTGTCTCAGTTTCTGTGTTCTGGTTTCTCACTGTTCTGGTTTCTCTGTTCTGGTTTCTTCCCAGCCGGCAACTGTAGTATAGTTTCTTATTGAGCAAAGGGGGATAGTTTAGTACTTATTTTTTATGTAAAGCATTACTTATTGCCTCTTCAGATTACCAACGGGTATAGAATAGATAAGAATATTAATGTATTTCTTCAATTCTAAGACTTGCTTTTTTCCTGTATAAACATCTTTAAAAATGAGGTGTGCCTTAGAATCTTTTGCTGATTTGAGTATTCCCTAATTTAATTAATATGGTATTTCTTGGAATCTTCAGCACAATCCTATGGTCAACATCTAGCACAAGTTGTCCATAACGTTGTAGTGAAAGACCTAGAGATTTTTTAGAGAGGTGTACTCTCAGGTTAAAAAAAGCATTTTTAAGTTGTAGGTTTTTCACTTTTGTGTGTGTTTTGTGCAGCAAACTCCAGCAAATGTGGAGGGATGGCTGTACAGTTTTATCTGTTTACCAAAATCAGAGGAGAGATGGAACCATCCTGATTTTTTTAGCAGTGAGTTCCATAGTAAGGATGCGGCTATTGAGGCCTGTGAAGCCTTCGCTGCTGAGGATGAGGGCGAGGATTTTTTGTGTGAGCCTGTTATTTCTGGGGGGGGGGGGGGGGGAGAGTGAAAGTGTTTTTCAGATGTTTTGGATAGATTCATTGTCAGGAAAACACCATGCTTCTCATAAGAATCTCCCAGGGACTGACTGTGAAAGGAATGTGGGGGAGACCGAAAAGTTACCAATAACCCATTGTGTATTGCTCAGACAGCAGGGTGTGAAACAAAGACAGATTCGTTGTTCTCAGAGACTGAAAGATAAACAAAGGGAGCCCAGTGTGGGAAAGAATGATGTTTAGGTAAGAGGGAGACCTTTTAAGGAATCTGAGGCTTTGTTTGGTGTGGAGATCAGTGTTGGAATTTCATGTGTCAAGTCACCTCTCTATGAAGGTCTGAGTCAGAAGTTGTGGTCCTTATTTTTGGATCTTGTTTTCCTTCTTAAGTTGCATATCTCCTGTTTGGATTACAGATCTTGTTTCATGTTTTCAAGTTTTTGGAATTATAGTCATGTTTTGAGTTCCACCTTGGGATTACAGTTTCTTGTTTTACCTTCTGTGATTTTTGGATTCATGTTCAGAGTTGCTCTTTGCCTTTTGTCAAGCTCTTGATATCTTAGCTCATCGATGTCCTTGGATATTGTTTTTACAATCTGGCCTTTGATTTTACTTTCTTGCATGCTTAGTTTGCTTATTTTAAATGACTTCTAGAGAAATGCTTGTACTGTTTTGAAGCTGTTACTTTTTACATATCCCTTTCTTAATAAACTCATTATTATTGTGGAACTGTGTGATGTCTGGGTGAAAAGGGATCAAACAGGCAGCTGGGCTACAACTGCTGCTATGGATAAAAGCCTTGCATGCTTTCTAGGCTGGCTTTTTGTCATGGTAGCCTAGGCAATAAAAGGTAAAAGTCAGGAGATCCTTTTAGTCTTTATGGGTAATAATTTTATTGGGGTTGAATAGGTATTACTGTCTCAAAAAGCTACAGAGAAAAATAGTGAGCTAATCATATTATGTACAATTTCTCCCTTCCTGCTACTTTTACAAAGGAGGTATCTCAAAAACAGACTGTGGGGCATTCGTAGATGTCTTTATCTCCCTGCCTTGGTCTCTGCTTCTCTCTGTGAATCTGGAGATGAGATCTTAGTTTCATATTTGGGTTTTCTTGGTGGGGAAAATATTATTTTCAGATGTATAGTAAAATGAATTTCAAAATAAAAGTTATGTCCTCTTCTCTTTCTTCTTTTATAGACTCATCTCAAAGATATTCAAACTGCCTTTGTGTCTATTCTGTCAGAAAGTGATGGTAAGCGGGAGTTGTTTATAAAAAAAGGTTGCCTTTTGATTAAAAACATGTAGCTCTTTATCTGAAGAAATGGCTATTAACTAAAAGTGTGTTAATATTCTCTCTTAATATTAAGTTGTCTTGTGTTTCATATAGAACTCAGTCAAGATGTTGCTTCTAAAGGCCTTGGTTTGGTATATGAGCTTGGGAATGAACAAGATCAGCAGGAACTTGTTACAACTCTCGTTGAAACGCTTATGACTGGAAAAAGGTATTCAATATATATATTAGCCAACATGGCCCATTATTTCATTATTATTTAATCTTTTGTATCCCATCTTTCCCACAATAATGGGACTTAAGGTGTTCAACCATTTAAAACAGTATAAACCATTAGTAAAAATAGAACTATAAGATGAAAAAAATGATTTAGGAGCTTAAAAACATTAAAATATTAAATGCATTAAAAAGTATATACAAATCTTAAAAGTATTAAAAGCCCAACCTTGGTTAGTTTAAAAGCCTGGTAGCTGATAAAAGTTTAAAGTGGAAGAAATGAAAGACTGTGGTGTGATACATTTCACCTAAACCCTCTCTATCTATTAGGTGTTGTCTCCCTGCCTTATGCTTGAAGCAGACCATGTAGTTTCAATTCAGTCTGTCAATAAGGGCACCTTTGCTTTATGATGGTTTAACAAAATCAAACTTTGTTTCATGCACAAAATTATTTTTAAAATATTGATATAATATATTGATCTGGGTGACCTAGTCTTAATTTATGTATTCATTTACGTCACTTTTATCACGCCCATTTCAGGCCGAAGGCGACTCAGGTCGGCATACAAGTTGGCAAAAATTAGATGCCGCATATAAATACATACATTGGTTAAAAGCAAAAATTACATCACAATGCATTTAAAAACCATAAAAACAATAAAAACAATAACAATTATAAAACTATGTCTTCCTGTTCAATTCCTCAATTCTTCCTGTTAAATTAAAACCTATTTGGGAGTGAAAATCGGACAAGTGTAGCTAGTCTAGTGCTCTTTAGGTACTAATGTTTACCATCTGTCTTGTTGAGTTGCCTGCAAAGGTTGTATTAGACAAATGTTTTTAAATATGTTTATTTCTTACTGTAAATTCATTTTTATAGGTTTTTGTTTTACATATGCATCTAGTTTTGTATGGTGTTTTATATAATGTAAGCCGCTTTGCATCTTGTTAAGGGAGAAAAGCGGGATATAAATATTTATTATTTATTATATTTATTATATTATTTAGATGATGTGAGTTCTGTTAAGCCCCTGGCAGCATGGCCAATATGTGAGCTGTACAATCTGGATAGTATTTGGTTGCCTAAACGTGGTATAAGAAATAAGGAGAGATTCATTTGTTGACAGCTCCTTCAGGTTTTGTATAGTAAGTTTATGAATGGACCCATTTATTTGTACAGTTTGATCTTTCATGCTTGCATGGATCCAGCACAAGCCAGGCTTTCTAAAGAACTGCAGTATTGTTAGTTATCCAGAACATGCAAGCCTTCAAAACAGATTCCTTATGTCTTAATAATTTTTATTCCTGACATTTAATATGAAGCAAGATGCAACTTGCAGGGACTGTTAAAAGGGATCTATTGTTCATTATATATCATCAGATTCATGGAATGTTTATAATGATAAGGCTGATGGATACCTGCTTTCTGAAATCAAGATTTGGATAATATAGCCATTGTCTTTCAGGTTTTGCCTATAAAAGCATACTTTCTTTCCAGAGTTAAGCATGAAGTGATGGGAGAAACAGTAATGTTCCAGGGATCAGGCCTTGGCAAGACTCCAGATGGGTAAGTCACTAGTCATAATGTTTAAACTTATTAGCAACATCACTTTTCTTACGATGTTTTTCAGCTTGGTGATGTCCATCTCCTGCCCCAAAGTCCTTGGGAACAAAGCTATTAACTGCTTCATATGGCTTTTACATTGTTCTCCAAAGCCAATGACATAAGCGTTTGATACAAGGTTGAGCTTATTTAATTACCCTATATACTTGAATATAAGCTTACCCGAATATAAGCCGAGGCACCTAATTTTACCACACAAAATTGGGAAAACATATTGCCTCGAGTATAAGCCGAGGGTGGGAAATGCAGCAGCTACAAGTAAATTTCAAAATAAAAATTGATACCAATAAAATTACATAAACTGAGGCATCAGTAGGTTAAATGTTTTTAAATATTTACATAAAACTGAAATTTAAGATAAGCCTGTCCAACTCTGATTAAACCATTATCCTAATCTTTTTCAATGTAAATGTGCTTGCGTATCCTTCCAATAATAATAAAAAGAGTAAAATAATAAATGTAACAAAAATATTAACAATAGAGTAAAATAGTGGAAATGTAAGAATAACAACAATAATAGAGTAAAATAATAAATGTAATAATAAAAATAGAATAAAATAATAAATGTAATAAAAACAATAATAATAGAGCAAAATAATAAATGTAAAAAAATAATAACAGAGTAAAATAATAAATAACTTTGACTCGAGTACAAACCGAAGGAGGCTTTTTCAGCCTAAAAAAGGGCTGAAAACTTCAGTTTATACTCAAGTATATATGGTAAATAGCTGGTTTCATTTACTTTAACTCTCTTTCATTTTAAGGTTCACATTTAATACAACACTTGGGTAAAATTATATTTTGATTCAGCAGTTCAAACACCCATAAAAAGCAAGCAAGCAAGCAAGCAATTTCTCCTCAATACTTGAATAGTTGCGTTTTCTAAACCCCCAACATATAATTTTCTTTCCCTTTTGGTACTACCAAGCAGACAGCTAAGAAGCTGAAAAGAAAAAGAGAATGAACAATAGAGAATACGCATGTAGCAATTTTGTTGAATTTTAAACCTGGTCCAGCAATGGCAATATTTTCGGAAGGAGATATGGGCCCTCCATTTTTATTCCTGATAGAGTCCACCTATGTGGTGCAGCAGGTTAAACCACTGAGCTGCTAAACTCCTGAAAGAAACGGTGGTTCGAATATAGGGAGCAGGGTGAGCTCCCGCTGTTAGCCCCAGCTTCTCCAACCTAGCCGTTCAAAAACATGCAAATGTGAATAGATCAATTGGTACTGCTTCTGTGGGAAGGTAATGGTGCTCTATGCAGTTATGCTGGCCACGTGACCTTGGGAGGTATCTATGGACAATGCTGGCTCTTCAGCTTAGAAATGGAGATGGGCACCACCCCCCAGAGTCAGACACGACTAGACTTAATGTCAGGGGAAACATTTGCCTTTATCTTAAGAGTCCACCTGCTGTAGAGCTGAATGCAGTAATCTGGAAATGTACAATCATTCATTTGATTTTACCTATTTGAACTATTTATAAAGTCAGCTGTTGCAGAACTATCCTTACTAAGCACCATGCTCCAAGATATTCTCTAGAACTATCTGTGATTAATGTCAATTTGAAATGTCTGTAAGTGTTTTTAATTTTTATTTTTAATGGCACTAATTGTTTATTTCTGTTTCCCCAAGCCAGGGTCTTTCTACTTACCAGGAGCTTTGTTCACTTGCTAGTGACCTCAACCAGCCAGATTTGGTGTACAAATTCATGAATTTGGCCAATCATCATGCAATGTGGAACTCCCGGAAGGTAATGCACAGCATGAATTGCACAATAACAATAACAACAAGACATAGTAGAGTGAATGCTCAGAGTCTCATTGAAGGAATTTGATTTTCTGATCGGAACACTATAGGTTGAGCATCCTTTGTCCAGACATCCCAAATATTCCAAAATCCAAAGTTGGCCACAGGAATGGATGGGATAGCAACAACTTTGCTTTCTGATGTTTCAATGAAAACTTGGTTTAATGCACAAAATTATTTCTAAAATATTGTATAAAATTACATCCAGGCTGTGTATATAGGATGTCTTTATGTGATACAAATGAATTTCATGTTTAGGCTTGGGTCCCATTATCAAGTTATCACATTATGTACATATATGCAAATGTGGGCATTTCAAGCTTTGAAAAATCCAAAATTCAGAACACTCTGGTCCCAAGCATTTCAGATAAGGGACTCTTAATCTATATTTGTCTTTTTAAAGGCAGTTAAAATTGGAAACAAAATACCAGTAATATTGTTACCCTAAACATAATGTGGCTACTTGTAACATGTTTCTTCCAAGTTCTGGATTTGAAGCCCAACATTGTAAAATTCAGAAACTTGGAATGGAAGAAAAGGCCTTCTTTCCAGCCTTATTTCAAAATAGCTTTTCTGTCCCACTGGGGCAGCCTTTGCAGTGCAAACTCAAGAACTACTCACACTAGGCACTTATTTCCAGGGGCTCCTGAAGTATGTAGGCCTCCTTTGTACCCAGCTCACATGTTCTAGGACACCCTTGGAAAGATTATTTGTTTGTATGAACACATTTTCTAATTGTATTCAGATAACTAAATTAATGAAATAAATAATAAACTTTATATTATTTAGGGACTTGGGAGGGCTTAAAGTAGCATAAATGAGACTTTGACCATTTGTCTGTGTTTGTATTTTCTTTTGCTTAGGGAGCAGCATTTGGTTTTAATGTGATTGCTACCAAAGCTGGGGAGCAACTGGCTCCTTTTCTACCCCAGCTCCTTCCTCGTCTCTATCGCTACCAATTTGACCCCAATATTGGGATTCGGCAGGCTATGACCAGCATTTGGAATGCACTAGTCACAGACAAATCTGCAGTAAGTGAACACAGTCCTAGTCTTTCTTTTGCACTTTGACAAAGGTGGGAGAATCTCTTAAAGAACAGGGAAATTTCTAAGTAAGAAATTGTCAAAGATGGATGGTATATGTTTTGCAACAGTACTCTTGATCATGAAACTGATATATTTCGGGGGAAATCATGATATCTGCAGCCTTGTAATCTGAACTTTAATTATTACAGAGAATGAACGAGACCCATAATAAATGTGCTGATATTTAAGATACAGAAATCCTCTGCTTTTTGTTTTGGATTTTTGCTATAACAGATTAATATGGCTTCCTGATTGGAAATGCCTTCAAAACCAGAGTGTTGTCGTACACCAGAGCAGGAACACCTCTGACCTTAAACACCACACCAGCTTGGTAAAATCAGCAAGCAGTTTATTGAAGAATATATGTAGGCAAAGCAGTAAAAAATAGCAAAACAATAAAGATCCAATATGTGAAATAGTCTAGAGGCTTCAAAGGAAAACAAGATCCATAAGTACATTAAAAATCCATGAAACTGGGCACTTGAATCCATGAAATAAGACAGCAGGAAAATCCCATAGACAGATCTTAAGTTTGGCAAAAACTTGATACATAAAACTCAGATCATTTGAAAGCAAGACTGTGATAAAATTACAATGTTGACCCAACTGAGGCAACTCTTTCCCATGAATCACTATAAAGTTTTTTTCAGATCCTAAAACTGAAAGGAAAGCATTTTCTTGACCTTTCTTTGTTACCTTTCTTTTGCTGTAGCCGAACGGATTGTCTTAGTCTCCTAAAAGCTTTGCCTCTATTTATTAAAACTTCGCTTTCTGTCCAAGCTTTCATTATCTTCTCCCTCATTAACTCCTGCACCTGACAAATCATGGTCATACAGTGTTCTGAGAAAAGCGGCAAAGGGCCTCTCCCAAGAATGTGGCCTTGTGAATCTTCCTGAGACAGCTTAGGCCTCTCTTCTGAATTTAACTGAGGACTTAACTCAGTCCCAAGCAAACCCTCATTCTCAGACCCGTCATCAGGAACATCATCCCCATCATGAACATCAGCATGAACATCATTCCCATCATGAACATCACACACAATCACAGGCTGAACAGGCTGACAAACAACAGGTGTTGTGTGGTTTCCGGGCTTTGCTATCGCCCCGTCCACCTTCCCAGGGAGGCACATAGCCACTGCGTCTACACATTTTTGTTGAAGATCATGGTTTTTTTTGTGGATATGTGAAGATTGTGTAGTGTTTACTCTTGGTTTCCATTTCATCAGGTGGACAAGTATATGAAAGAAATTCTTGATGATTTAATAAACAATCTGACTAGCAATATGTGGCGGATTCGAGAGTCCAGGTGAGTATTCCTGAAACCATTTGATTCCAAGGTCTGGGGACTTAGGAAAAAAAAAAACAGAACTGCACATACTTTTATCCAATGCTAGTTTTTGAAAAAAATGTGGGTTGAAACTTTGTGTGATAAGAAATGCTCATATGTTGGGGGCTATATTGTTTCCCAATACAGTGAGGAAGGATACTCCACATATACTACCAATAAAGACTTGCTGCCCTTTCACCCTCAGTGGAAAATTAGTTGTGGATATGGGTAAGGCAGGTAGGATTTCTGCTGTGACCTCTGATCTGTTGTAAGAACAGGATTCTTACAGCTGCGTTCCTTCTCAAGTCATAGATGTGTGATACTTGTCACAGTTTCCTGCACTTTTACTGGTGGAACTTATGGAACGTGTGGGGTATTATGTGGATGCTCTGTTCATAGATTGGGACCCATCATAGCAGATGAGGCTTGCAATCCTGTGCCTCCACTCTTCCACCTTTCTCTATAGCAGGCATGGGCAAACTTCGACCCCCCAGGTATTTTGGACTTCAACTCCCACAATTCCTGCAGATGTGCTCTGGTATTTCCCTTGCCTTCCAGGTGGAATTCAAAAGGTTATCATATAATCCAAAATGAGCCCCCAGTGACTCAATGGATTAAACCCTTGTGCCAACAGGACTGCTGACTGAAACGTCAGCGGTTCGAACCTGGGGAGCAGGGTGAACTCCCATCTGCCAGCTCCAGCTTCTCATGCGGGGATATGAGAGAACCCTCCCATAGGATGGTAAAACATCTGAGTGTCCCCTGAGTAACGTCCTTGCAGATGGCTAATTCTCCTATACCAGAAGCAACTTGCAGTTTCTCAGTATGCTCCTGGCATGGAAAAAAAAATCCAAAATGACACCATGGTTAATTTTAATATGTTTTGTTTTTAATAAGTTTTAATAATAAATCATGATATCAGCCTTAGGTAAAAATAAAATTCTGTAATATCTTTCCTTTGAGCTGAAGAATAGTCATAACCATGGACTACTGTGAGACTACTTTGTGTAGAGAAAGAAGAGCTTTAAAATATTCTATTTGAATAAATGGAGTGGAAATTGAAGATTTTAAAATTCACTGAGCGATTATTCATTGTATATTTCTGTCTGATATTCTCTTCTTTGAGTTTTGAGAAAGAATTTCTTTCTTTCATGGTACAGCACTTCGTATTATTGAAACATAATAATTAAACTCTTGCTTCAGTTGTCTAGCACTGAATGACTTGCTGAGAGGAAGACCCTTGGATGACATTATTCATCAGCTTCCGGAAATATGGGAAACTCTCTTTAGAGTGCAAGATGATATAAAGGTACTGAACATTTTACCTGTCTAATAGAGGAGAAGTACCTTATGATTACTACAGAAAATGAACAAAGATGTAACTCCTCATGGAAGGTTTTGGTGTTACCTTCTTCCATTGGAATTGTAGGGAGTAAATGGAATCCAGGGCCAGTTCAGCCCTTTGTCACTGCTTTGTGTAGCAGCCTACATTTACTTTCAGGTACTCTTAGTTTTTGACTCCCAAAACAAGCAACGGACATAAAGCAGAAATTCTGAAACGTAGATTGTAATGGATTAGCCTACCTTACAAGATTGGTGTAAAGGCAGTAATAGGCCTGGCTTGGAAAAGCTAAGGAGAGCAGAAGGGAGGAGCGAGCAGCCAGCTCCATACCTGGTGCAATCTGATTGGCTGATGAAATTGAGGGAGTTGCTTAGCAACCGGAGATGGGTGGAGCCAGAGGGAAAGAAAGGAGCTAATGCAGCTCAGAGCTTAGTTCAGTTTGGAGCTGGGAGTTTGAAGGGTTAGTTAGGAGATTTGAAGAAGAAGGAAGGAAGGGTTTTGGGAACTGTTTGTTAGAAAGATACCTCTTTGAGGAAAATAGTTAAAGCCTTCAGGGAGAAGGAGTAAGAAATATGGTAAGCCTCTATAGTGTTAAGAGTGCTGGTGTGGAAAGCGGATTCAAAAGGTTCAGAACATCCTGTTTGTATTCCTGTGTGTGGAACATTGCTTTTAAGAAACTCAAGCTATAAGACCATTCTCTGTAAAAGTAAAGCCTGACAGTTTATTGAAACCACTACACATCTTTACTGTTCCAAGACCAAAATAAACAACATATTCTTGTTTTATTTTACCTGAAGAGTTTGTTTGTCTTCTTGAATCAATAGATCAATAAATGGTGGCAGCAAAAGAAACCTTCATAATTAATTGGTGGCATCAAAGAAAAATATAATATACAGTGGCATCCTCCCACTGTCCTGTCTTGTGTGTGTGTGTGTATGTGTGTGTGTGTGCCTTCTGTCCTCTCGGCCCTCACTGACTTACCTGTCATCCATCTTTATTACATAGATCATTAGAATAAAAAAAAATAATGTTAGTTATGATAATCAGTTAATTACATGCATAAATGTATTCTCCTACCTATTTTTCTGTTTCAGGAATCTGTGCGAAAAGCTGCAGAATTAGCCCTGAAAACATTAAGCAAGGTACTTTTTCATAATTGTTTCCATTGATTGCTGAATTTTACCTCTGACAAAACTCTGTTTGCTTCAGTACAGTTTCTTTTGTTCTATACACTGGGAGATATTTTATTTTCTCCCCACAAAGGGTGGCATTTTAGTTTCTTCTCTTTATTTTAAGGTCTGTGTGAAGATGTGTGATCCTTCTAAAGGAGCTGCCGGCCAGAGAACTATTGCTGTCCTGCTGCCATGTCTCCTTGATAAAGGAATGATGAACACAGTGACTGAAGTTCGGACTCTTAGGTATGGTCCCTGTTGTTGTATTTCCTGCTCTTTCCATTTTTAGAATTACATTTTTGGCCTTCTGCCTGCCTCTCCCTTCACTTGGTGTGAAGACGAGGCTCCATCCAGATGCCTGGAGAAGCCTGGCCTGAGCAAAAAGGCAAGCGGTGGCTGAAGTGGCGCCAAAAGTGCCTCACTTGCCTCTTGCCTCTCTCTTCTCCCGGCGTCAGCACGAGGCAAGGCCCTGTCCAAATGCCAGGAGGAACCTGGCCCAGGCAATAAAGCAAGCGTCAGGCGAAGCAGCTTCAAAGTTGCCTCACCCGCCGCCTGCCTCTCCCTTCACCCGGCATCAGCTCAAGGCAAGGCCCCGTCCAGATGCCAGGAGAAGCCTGGCCCAGGCGAAGAGGAAAGCGGCAGGCAAAGTGGCTCCAAAGCCGCCTCTCCTGTCACCTGCCTCTTACAGCGTCAGAATGAGGCATGTCCCCGTCCAGATGCTAGGAGAAGAGGAAAGCTGTGGGCAAAGCAGCTTCAAAGCTGTCTCGCCTGCCTCTCCTTTCTCCCAGCCTCAGGACAAGGTGAGGCCCCGTCCTGATACTGGCAGAAGGGAGAGGAAGTTGGGGCCAAGGGACCTCCAAATCCTCATCTTCCTCCCAGCATAAGGATGGGATGAGTGGCCCCATCCTTATGCTGGGAGGGTGATCCATCCCTGATCCGCCACCTCCTGGACTTGCCCTGGCCCAGTCCCAGCCCCACCTCCTCCTGGGCCCACCCCACATTCAGATTCGCCTCCTCCTGGGCCCATCCGCCCTCCCTCCTGGACTGAATTTCCCTCCCAGCTCTGCCCTCCTGGCCGGGACTGTAACACGGCCCCAGGGCAAAACACTTTGCCCACGCCTGATGTAGAGCATTGCTTGAGATGGATTACTACTACTTTAGTGGATAGATTAAAATAACTGTCTTTGTTTCCTGGGTTCATAAAAAAAGAAATTCAAATGTATGAATGTAAGAATGAAAATTTCTCTTCCTCTTCTTTCTTTTCTTTTCCTTTCTTTCGCATCTCTTTGCCTTTTTCCTACAGCATTAACACCCTGGTAAAGATCAGCAAAAGTGCTGGGGCAATGCTCAAGCCACATGCCCCTAAGCTCATCCCAGCTTTGTTGGAGTCACTAAGTGTGTTGGAGCCCCAGGTACTCAATTACTTGAGTCTGCGGGCTACAGAGCAGGAAAAGGTAAGTGCAGCCGTAGACACACAGATTGAAGATTTGTTATGAATAACTTTTCAATAACTTTAAAGCATAAGTTCTTTTTATTTAGACATAGATTCTATGTAACTACATTGGATTCACAACAACTCGCATTGGCTGACAAACAAACAAACAAACAAAGGGGAATTACATTTTCACTCAGCATTCACACACATACTCATTCAGTCAGCATCATGCATGCATCACTATTTCCCCATTCTTTCTCAATGAAGAGCATCTCTTAGGCCAGACTCAACCTCCTCTGCAGTCTGCCAACACATAGTTCCAAAACTTCTAAATGCAAAAATGCATCCTTTCCCTAAGCACAATGCCAAGGATTAGCGGTGTTTTACTTACAGCAGAAACTGACTCCCTGCACAAAATCCAAGACTCCAAAATCACACTCCTTCCTCTTCCCTTGAGAAAAGGAGGTAAACACCATTTGTGTCCTGCCCATGGACCAGAGAGGCGGGTGAACAGCTCTGCTGTCTGTCACAATCTTTGGAATGTTAGAAGGTCTCTTATATAGCAATATTTCTTCTGATGTTGTCCCAAAATTGTAAATCTATATAAATAAAAATGTAATGTTTGTTTGTGGGATTAACATAACTCTAAAACCACTGGACAAATTGACACCAAATTTGGAAACAATACACCTATCAGGCCAACGAGTGACCATCACTCATAACATCACTGAAAAAACACAGCAGAAGAGAAGAGCAGAAGCCAAAAAATAAAAATTACATTGCAACGCATGTGCAAAACCACACACACATATATGCAAACACATATATAAACATACGTAAAGGTAAAGGTTTTCCCCTGACATTCAGTCCAGTCATGTCCGACTCTGGGGGTTGGTGCTCATCTCCATATGTGTAAATACACATATACACAAATATACACACACACCTATACACACACAAAACACATATACACAGACTGGGCCACAGCAACGCGGGCAGGGGATGGCTAGTTAATGATAAGATGTTTTCCATCCTGAGACATCCTGGCTTCATCTCAGTTTCCGAACAGATGTTGACTCTTCATAATTGGGGTTGGCCTTGTGTTGACTTCCTTCTTAACATCTTTAACTTTAAAGGGCCATTGTCTTTGACTAATGTAAAGACGTTTTTCCCCAGAAGTTCAACAATTAATCATTGTCACAGTTCTTATCAATGTCAGCAGTTTATTATGGCAGGTCAAACATTTCAGTTCTCATTAGCAACTTTTAATTACAGTTCAGCAAGCAGGCAGTTAGTGATTTAGAATGGTGTCTTCAAAATTATTAGCTCTCATTCATTCATCTTTCATACAATTCATTCAAACTATATATCATAGTTTATATATCATATCATATTCACATTTATCATGACTGCACTTCATATTTTAATGTGACATATTCACAACTAATTATTTACCAAGTTTGAGATTATACAGCTGCCCACTTGTTGTTGATCTGCAGCCCTCATGTTCTTTACCCCTGGCTATGGTGGATATTTCTGCAGGAAGGTGCAATCCTACATCTACTAAATGTATAATAAAATTGATGAACAACAGTTGCGTGTTGTATGTTTTCTGGGAATGTGAAACAATAGGATAAGAAATATATCAAACCTGTTATTCTCAAGAAAATGGAATATCATGTTATTTTCACTTAAAGGGAATTTTCAACTGCACAGTCAAGATTGCTTAAGTATTATATCTATATCTATAGATATAGATATATTTATATATGTATTTTTTCTTTTCTTTTTGCTTAATAATAATAATAATAATAATAATAATAATAATAATATTTCTTGAGTATAATGAAGTACTTAGTGCAGAATCCTTATTGATTACTCCACCCCAATGCGGCATCTGTTTCCTTTATTCTTCAAGTTTTCTTAAAGTAATTATATTTATTATAATGTGATGGGGTTGCATTGAACACTTCTAATCCTCTTGGAAATCACACCTTGCTGTTACTTATTGCCAAATTTCAGTGACCCAGTCCAGGAAGCAAAACTTGATCATCATTTTTGAGAAAAGGGAACCAAAACTGGCTTATTTTGCTATTGCTGCTGCATAGATAAAATTTGACAAGGAAGATGCAGGGCCCCCACAGGGTGCATTCCGTCTGTTCTCTACACATAACTTCTGTTTTCTCTTAGGGCCTTTTAAACTCATTCTGACTCCATCTTTTCTCCTTTTTTTCTTTTCGTCCTTTAGGCTGCGATGGACAGCGCAAGATTAAGTGCTGCTAAATCCTCCCCCATGATGGAGACCATCAATATGGTGAGAATTATTTTTAATCCTGATTATGTCTATTTTGCTAATTTCATGCTAAAGAATGAGACACCCTTCTATGGGAATTAATGAATGCAGATTTAGAAAATACTGTGTGAGCCATTTTTCCTTTCCTACAATGATACAAGGAGGTCACTGAAATTCTTTTCCAAGCTGGCAACAGCTGCAATTTCAAAATAGACAGATCATTTGCTCTATATAGCTCATAAAGAGATTTGACAGCTAAATCAGCTGTCGGGATTTAAGACATAACTGAAAACCCATTTCTTCTGACAGGCTAACCGAATCAATTCTTAGTTTTTAATCTATATTTCATCAGTAGATTTTAACTCGTATTTTAACTTGTATTTTGTTGTATGTGTTTTAATACTGTTTTATCTCTTGTTTTAATGATGTATCCTGCCTCAAGTCACAGGGAGAGGCGGGCAATACAGTTATTGTTGTTGTTGTTATAGAATTTCTACTCTGAAAGCACTGGATTAAAGTGGATATATTTAAAAAACTATTTCCAGTTGCCACCACTGCTGCCTTTTTCCAAGTGAACTGTGGGGGTTTTTTGGTATGTCTTTTTTTGTAACCTAGCAGATCCTTCCTCCCTCAGTAGCATAGGCTGGGATCTCAGGTTGAGGTTATATCTATTCTGGAAGCATTTTTATTGAATTTGGATCTTCTGGCTGCAATGCATGCATTTTCTCACTGAAACCTTCCCTCACAATCTTTCTTTCGCTTTTTGATCATAGATGACAGACCAAGGATTGATTGATACAGTGCTTGAAAGATTAACAAATTATTCCTTCTCCTTTTAAAATTGAGATAGGCAAAATGTGGCCTGCTGGTTGTATATATCCCTCAGGCCCCTTCTACACTGCCATATGAAACCCAGATAATTTTCTTTGAACTGGATTATTGTAGACTGATATAATCCAGTTCAAAGAAGATCATGTGGATTATCTGATTTGATAATCTGTATTATATGGTGATGGCTGACAGGGAGCTCTGGCGTGTCCTGGTCCATAATAATAATAATAATAAAACTTTATTTGTACCCTGCTACCATCTTCCCAAGGGACTCGGTGCGGCTTACATAAGGCCAAGCCCACAGCACACCAATAAACAAAAGCAATAACAATAATCAATACAAAACAGTTAAAATAAACTCAAAACCAGAAAATACACAATAAGCAATAAACAATAACACTATCAAAACAGACAGTATTTAAAAACCCATGGCCGGGCCAAATGTAATAATTTAAATTTAAAATTAAAAAATTAAAAAGTGCAGGGCATGAACAAGGTAAAGCAAATTAGGATAGGATTTTCAGAGAAAGATGAGGGCGCACAGGCAACCTAAGTCAATATTAAAGTGCATTTGAGGACATATTGCTAAGAGTTTTCCTTATTCTGGGAAGGCACACTGTAACAACCACGTTTTCAGGCTCCTCCTAAAGACTGCCAGCGTTGGGGCATGTCTGATGTCCTTAGGGAGTGAATTCCAGAGTCGAGGGGCCACCACTGAGAATGCCCTCTCCCTCGTCCTCACCAATTGCGCCTGTGAAGGAGGTGGGAACTTGAGCAGGGCCTCTCCAGAGGTCACGAAGAGTCAGAAGTGACTGAAAGAGTCACTTTCAGTCACAACAAGCTATGTGGCAAAGCTATAAACAACAAGCATATGGCAAAGTAGAAGAGGCCTCTGACTTTTCTTTTGTGGTTCTTTGGCACTTTTTCGTTTTGAAATGTGGTTGCCAATCCTTGCTTTGAGGGAACTTTAATGTGTCCCCTCTTCATAATTTATGGTGGTTCTCGCAGGTCACCTTCTCATTTGACTACTGCAATGCACTCTTATGTGAAAGGGTCCTTTAATTTTCTTTCTATTTTGTCTTTCTATGGGCATAGGAACTAAGGCATTTGATGACATAGATTATAATGAAATACAGTTCAAAAACTATTAGCACAGCTTTTAAAAATTAAATAAGCAGTATTGTCCAAATTATAGATCTATGGCAGTCTAAAATCCATTTAAAACATAGTGCAGAAGATAAAAAATCCAGATTGAGCATCTCTTTCTTATCTCAAATGTTTGGAATCCGATTTTAGAATGTATGTTATCTGCATATGCATAGATTATGAGATATCTTGGAGATAGGCTCCAAGTCTAAACATGAAATTCATTTATGTTTCATATACATCTTGTGCACATAGACTAATGTTAATTTCATACAATGTTTATATAATATTTTTGAACAAAGTTTTTATACATTGAACCACAAGAAAGCCAAAGGTGTCACTATATATTAGTCACCCATGTGGACAATTTTTGGATTTTGGAGGATTTTGGATACTTTAATTTTAGATGAGGGGTGCTAAATCTGCACAGCACCTGCCATTATGCCGTTCTGCCTCAACAGTTTACAGCCAAAAGTCTGTTGTCTAAATAAAAAGGTGTTTGCCTGTTTGTGGAAACTGAGCTTTCTCTGAGAACAGCCAGTGAGAAAACTCTCCAAATTTACCTGTGACGATGATGGAGCAAAGAGAAAGAACTGCCCTGAAGATCAATCTTTAAGATAGTCTGGGCCCAAGTGTTATAGATCATAACAAACACTGTGAAAATTTACTGGTATCCAACATAGAATAATAGAGTTGGAAGAGACCACATGGGCCATATAATCCTCCTGCCATGCAGGAAAAACACAATCAAAGCATCCCTGACAGTTGGCCATCCAGCCTCTGTTTAAAAGTTTCCAAAGAAGGAGCTTCCACCAGACTCCAAGGCAGAGAGTTGCACTGTTGAACAGTTCATACAGTTGAACTCTGTCTTGGAAAAAGGCTGAGATTTACACATTTCTTGTAACCAGCACTGGTTAATCATTGTCATTGTTAGTGTAGCACTGGAAGGTTTAAACCAAACAGCTTGTGAACATCTTTTATATAAAGTACTCATTGATTTTGTCAACTTGGATTTTCTTGTTTTCTAGTGTTTGCAGTATCTGGATGTGTCTGTTCTGGGCGAGCTGATTCCTAGGTTATGTGAGCTGACTAGGAGTGGAATAGGCATTGGCACTAAGGTATGTTTGTGTTTTGTAGGAACAATGGGAAAAGACATGCTAACAAAACAGCTTCAGTATCTGTAGATAAGCCTGGTCATCAGAACTGAAGGGGGAATGTGTTTTATGAAATTGATGTAGAAATGGGACAGTGGTTGTGGGTATGAATGATGAGGCTCATGATAGTGATCGATTGGCCAACACACAGTTCGGTGGCCCACATGTTAGACCTGTTCCTGGGTATATTTGGCCTGTTGATTCAAAAAATGGCACCAGTTTTCCCCTATCGATTGTAATTTTTGAGATTCAGAACGTATGCCATATACCAGTCACCATCTGCTCACCCATAGAAAGTCATCAGAGCCATATCTAAGAAACTAGAACTGATGTTGTCTATCCAATGCAAGTTTCTGAATCAATGACCCAAATAACCTCAGGAGCAGTCCTAAAAACCAAGACACCAATATTTTTTTTGGTTGAGCTCTGTTATCATACTATTGATTATTATAGTGTAATATTATTCTGCCTTTCCCCCAGTTAAGTCTAAAAAGTAGGCTCAGAGATAGAAGAAGGATATCAAGGATGCTGACAGTTTCATGTGCAGATTCTCCACACTTTGAGGCATTGTATTCCACATTGCTAGGGAATGTACTAATCTGATCAGTAATGACATTGTGGATTTGAATTGCAGACCTCAAATTGTCTTGAATTCTCACTTATAGAGGAAATTCAATGGAAATTTAAAGTAGAAAGGATGATGTGCAGTAATTATTTTTCATGTCTGCACCTTTTGGGGAGCCTGAAAAATGAAACTCCTTTTTTGGTTTGCTCCTTTGTTTATCAACTTAGTACAACCTTGGAATTTGGGAAGATTTCACATATATCTAAAGTGGTCATCAGCCAGGACTTATCTCTGGGTGGCACAAGAATTCATAATCATGAATCACAACAAGTGATCAGTTAGGCTGTTGGTAAATAACTGCACATGACATCTAGAGTTCTGAGCTATGTAAGCTTCCAAGTTTGCCCATGATGCACTCCAGTGCAGACTTGGGCTGTACAGGTGCTGCGTTGACCTTCAGCTTAGATTTTTCCATTATTCTTTACATTGAATTCTGGACAACTGAATGGGGAAGTAAACTTAGATCCAGTTGGGGAGCTTTTGTTCTGTTTCTTTCTTTCTGCTTTTCCTGTCACTTCATGAAATTCTTGACTTCTACTAACCTATATGTTTATTGTTTCTGAATCTCATTCATCGGAATACATTAATGATTGTCCTCTATCCATTTTTTTCAGGGTGGCTGTGCCAGTGTAATTGTATCACTAACTACACAGTGCCCGCAAGACTTGACTCCATATTCAGGTAGCATTTTCCTCCTAGGTTTTTCCTTTTCAGTTCTGGTTGATGTTGTATTCTTTGCACAGTATTTTTCTGGGAAACACATTTCATCATTTACTTTGGCTTCCTATGCGCACCTTAATAATGGAATTCCTTTTCAGTCAAAGGCAAATTAAGAAGGTTGCGGGGGCACATAAACCCATCCAGAAGACTTTGGAGTGGGATAGAGCTTCCTGTTCTCACCCTTTGAGTTCTCTCATTGCAAGCTGGGTGGATGTTTTGATCATTACAATCTGTTCCCCAGCTCTTCTGGCATGAATGAGCTGAAATCACTTTCTGTTTCAGAAAAGGCTTCTGAGCCTAAATTACCCAGGGGTGGGCGGGTTGGCTTTGGGGGAAATATGATGAAAATGGCGCCCAGAACTGGCAGGAATCATTTTGAGGTAAACAACATTAGGAAAACTGCACTTTAAGCAACCTCTATGAGACCCAGTAATCCTCCAAACATTGGCCTGAGGATCACACTTTGTACACCTCTGCTCTAAATAGTAATGGGTCAAAGTTTGGGTAGAGGCAGTGGGCATTTTTGGGATTGCTTAAAACATGGAATAAAGATTAATTATATATTTGTGCTCAAGATCCATTGTTGTGTGAGTAGACATCTGTTCATGTAGTGCAGTGTTTCTCAACCTTCCTAATGCTGCAACCCTTTAATACAGTTCCTCATGTTGTGGTGATCCTCAACCATAAAATTATTTTCGTTGCTACTTCATAACTGTAGTTTTGCTACTGTTATGAATCACAATGTAAATATCTGATATGCAGGATGTATTTTCATTCACAGATATGGCACAGATACCAGATACGCCCAAATTTGAATACTAGTGGGATTGGCGGGGGGGGGGGGGGGGGTTGGTTTGATTTTGTCATTTGGGAGTTGTAGTTGCTGGGATTTATAGTTTACCTACAATCAAAGGGCATTCTGAACTCCACCAAAAATGGAATTGAACCAAACTTGGCACACAGAATTCTCGTGACCAACAGAAAATACTGGAAGGGTTTGGTGGGCGTTGAGGTTTCTTTTAGTTGCCTTTCCTCCTCATTGGCTTGTACTGAAACCAAGTGGACTGTTTGAAGGTGGGTGGAATGATCCAGTCTCCCCCCATCAGCTTTCTCACTCAGCTGTATGTAGTCCCTGCTTTTCTACGGCTGTCAGTTGACTTGTCAACACAAGCCTTCCTTAATGTTTATGTGGGCCTTAGTCTTGAAGTCAAAATTCCTGGTTCTTCAATGTTTTCACAGTAGCTAAAAAATTTCCTATTAAAAATACTGTATTTGTTCAATTTTAAGACACCATCGATTATAAGATACACCCTAATTTCAGTACCACCACCACCACCATTCTGGAAAATATTTCTTCTGTAATATTTAACAGTTCTGCTTTTTTTTGTTTTTGTTTTTCAATGAAGCCTTTTGAATTGAAACTAGTGAGCAGATATGGATTGTCTGAAATAAATATAATATATATGAGAATATATGTAATGTTAGCCAAATAAGGAACCAGCACACTGAGAGCATGATTATAATGCAGAGTTTTGATATGTGGTTTGCCTCATCTCCAAAAAAGAGATCTAAAATTGTTTGATAAAAGATATATTTTGTCTCATGTCCTTTTTTTACTACAGGCAAATTGATGAGCGCTTTGCTTAGTGGTTTAACAGATCGCAACACGGTGGTGCAGAAATCTTATGCCTTTGCCTTGGGGCACCTAGTTCGGGTGAGTGAAACCTTGGTACTTCTGCACTTTCATCTCTGTCACATCTGATTTTGTGTATCCAGCTGTTATGGACATGAATGTTTTTCCTTTGCTTCTCACAGACCTCGCGGGACAGCAGCACTGACAAACTGCTGCAGAAGCTGAATAATTGGTACATGGAGAAGGAAGGTTTGTTTTTGTGTGTGTGTGTGTGAAATGTTGACATTTTGTGAAAAAAAGTTGACAACATAAGGCAGGAAGATTCCACGTCTTATCTTATCTGCCAGTGATTTCTGAATCTTGATAAGTGTCATATGTCAAGTATCAAAATGAATAGTGCCTGCTTCCCTGAGTATTATATTGGTAGTTGGTTCCAAACCATGCCTGAATCCAAATGTGTCATGGAAAGATTGCCATGGAAAGCCTGATAGAGTCATAAGCTTACTGAGTGACTTGTTGATGCTGGCGCTTCATCTCAGCGTGCTTTTATTTTTCCCATGATACAATCAGTTTCTCTCTCTTTTTGCTATATAAGTACCATGCATACATATTCAGAAGTGGCCCTGTTCTTCTATGCTACCCATAATGTGATGAGTGTGCAGGATGCAAGCGTGAATGAAGCAGAAGAATGTCAACATTTGGGTGGTGGGTGCAGAAAGTGCACTCCAAATAGAATCATAGAGTTGGAAGAGACCTCATGGGCCATCCAGTCCAACCCCCTGCCAAGAAGCAGGAAAATTGCATTCAAAGCACTCCTGACATGGCCATCCAGCCTCCGTTTAAAACCCTCCAAAGAAGGAGCCTCCACCACACTCCGGGGTAGCGAGTTCCACTGCTGAACAGCTCTCACAGTCAGGAAGTTCTTCCTAATGTTCAGAAACCCCATCCCACCAGTGGCTATACCCACCACGTGGCTATACCCTCAATTATTACGAGTTGAAAGAAACCCATCAAATGTGACTTCTTGCACTGTGTAATAGTTGCTATTGCATAACAGTCAACCCTCCCTCCAAATGGGGTGGGGGTTGCGACTTATATGATGAAATGCAGTAGTTCAAACCCCTCATTATAAAACATTATGAAATTCTTCCTCAGAGCACCTAAGTGTTCTATTAAGGGGTCATGGATTCTGCGGGAGAAGATGATTCTGTAGGTAACCTGGACCTGTAAACATTAATTGGTAACCAGTGGAGTGCTCCTGGATGCTCCTGTCACTAGTCTGGCTGCCGAATTTTGAACTAATTGGAAGTTCCCAAAGCCACTACAGAGCTAGCCCAATTTAAAGCACATTGCAGAAGTGCAAACGTGAGGTTAATGGGGAAAATGTTACAGCTATGTGTGGTTTAACACATAGGGAAAATGCATCACCTTACTTATTTAGGCAATCCCTCGTAGCTCAAGGATGATGGTCTTCAAGATATAGTGTCTTGGCAGTGGGTACGTAGGTGACTGTGGAGCTCTATTCTTGATCCGCATGTTCTCCTGCAGTGAGGACATCAGTTTCCAGACAGAAGGCGGTTCTGGTCAGGGTCGGCTTGACGTGTCTTCCTCTTGGCACGTTTCTCCCTTTCGCCCTCCTTTTGAATTTGTGCCTCTTTGAATTCTGCAGCACTGCTGGTCACAGCTGACCTCTAGTTAGAACGCTCAAGGGCCAGGGCTTCCCAGTTCTCAGTGTCTATGCCACAGGTTTTGAGGTTGGCTTTAAGCTCATCTTCAAACCTCTTTTCCTGTCCACCAACATTCTGTTTTTTGTTCTTGAGTTCGGAGTAGAGTAATTGTTCTTCCTTAAATGGCAGATGTAATTACAAGGTGTGTGTCTTGCGGGTATGTGAGTTCCATTAAATTGAACCTGATTTATATTAGTAAAAGAAAAAAAATCCTGTAACCTCTCTTCCTTTACTTCAGAACAAGTCTACAAACTGGGCTGCGCGTTGACTATTCATGCTATTGGGCGATATAGCCCAGATGTACTGAAGAATCAAGCCAAGTATGTCCTTCCCTTGGCCTTCCTGGGGATGCATGAGGTTCCTGACGAAGAAAAAGGAGAGAAAGAAGATAGCAACCTATGGACAGAAGTGTGGCAGGAAAATGTGCCTGGTATGCTGGGTTACGTTATTTGTAGATTCAATTAATATGTTCTCTGTAGGAATCTTTAGATCCTCCAGCGCAACTTTACAGTCAACTTTTACTGGTTATTAATCATACAGTTATATTGAGGATCTAGGTTGATGAATATGATTATTTGATTATCTGGCTTTGGATCTATGCACAATATATATTTTTTCCCAATCTTAAAACTTCAAAAACAGGCCACTCCTTACATTCCAAGACTGCCTCAGATTTGGTGAAATATGGTAATATTGAAGTACTTTTGCTGTGCATCATTCAAGTTTTTGAAGTTTCAAGTTCGGGGAGTGGGGACCAATTTTCTTAGAATATTTGTTAGAATATCTTCTTTTTGTTTTAACGTGGCTTTGTAGTGCAATCTTTCCTATGGGATGAGGAAGAAGTGTGAAAAAACCAGGAAGTCATCTTGTCTGTATTAATCTATTTTACTGAGTCTATGGCATCTTTTTCCTGGCATCTCCAGGAAATAAAGCCCGACTGCTCACTGGAGGGAAAGATACTAGAGACAAAGTTGAAGTACTTTGGCCACATCATGAGGAGACAGGAAAGCCTAGAGAAGACAATTATGCTGGGGAAAGTGGAAGGCAAAAGGAAGAGGGGCCGACCAAGGGCAAGATGGATGGATGGCATCCTTGAAGTGACTGGACTGACCTTGAGGGAGCTGGGGGTGGTAACGGCCGACAGGGAGCTCTGGCGTGGGCTGGTCCATGAGGTCACGAAGAGTCGGAGACGACTGAACGAATGAACAACAACAACAATGGCATCTTTAGGAAAGCAGAAAGTGGAACTTTTGTACTGTACAAGATTATCGCTGCCAATGAAGATTAGACTAGTTTTCATGACCTTTGTTAACATTGAGTTTGTCTTGTTCTTCTGCTCACTCTATGAAACACTGTGTGTTTGAAACGTAGGCACCCATGGTGGCATAAGGCTTTATATGGAGGAACTGATAGCTATCACCCAGAAAGCATTGCAGTCCCCATCTTGGAAGATGAAAGCGCAGGGAGCAGCTGCCATGGCCTCTATTGCAAAGCAAACCGGTTCCCTGGTCCCCCCACACTTGGGCCTGGTTCTCACCGCTCTGTTGCAAGGCCTGTCTGGAAGAACATGGACCGGAAAGGTAAAAGCTCCAGTAATGAGTAACAGATTACAGCGTAGTTAATCCTGTAACACAGAACTGGGATTAAAAGTGTGAGCAACGTTGCTGTTTTATTCTTTTTAAATGCATATCTCCGATTTGGATACTGTGATCAAATAAAGGAAACATTATTTTGTGTTAACTAGTGCCAGCCTTTGTGCAATGAATCTGTTTTGCAGCTTTCTTCCTCTACCTGTTCTCTGTTTGGCTATTTGGGAACTACGAAGTTGTGAATTGCAGATTAATTTGGCCATATTACAATTATTCAGTCTTCTCTACTTTTAGTAGTAGCAGAAACAATGGTATCTTGGACTGTTGGTGTGCATATATACTTGAATATAAGCTGAGTTTTCCAGCCCCTTTTTTAGGCTGAAAAAGCCCCCCTCTACTTATACTCGAGAGAAAGTTATTTATTATTTCCCTCTGTTATTGTTGTTATTATTTTACTCTATTTATTGTTGTTGTTGTTGTTGTTGTTGTTGTTGTTATTATTATTATTATTATTACATTTATTATTTTACTCTATTATTATTTTATTACATTTATTATTTTACTCTATTTATTGCATTTATTATTTTACTCTATTATTATTATTATTATTACATTTATTATTTTACTCTCTTTATTATTATTGGAAGGATACATAAACACATTTACATTGAAGAAGGTTGGAATAATGGTTTAATCAGAGTTGGACAGTCTCATCTTAAATTACAGTTTTATGTAAATATTCAGAAATATTTAACCTACTGATGCTTAGATTAATGTATTTTACTGGTATCTAATTTTATTTTTATATTTACCAGTAGCTGCTGCGTTTCCCACCTTTGGCTTATACTCAAATCAATAAGTTTTCCCAGTTTTTTGTGGTAAAATTAAGTGCCTTGGCTTATATTCAGGTTACCTTATCCTGAGTATATACGGTAATTGACAGCAGAATCTTAAACCTGGGGGCAATCGCTTTGGTATTATATTGCTTAATTACTCAGCAAGTTTCCACCAAATCCAGAGTAGTTAAAATTTCCCACACATAAGAACATTGTTGCTATAATTCTTCTCATATCTTTTACGTCCCACTTTTAGGAGGAGTTACTGAAAGCTATTGCCAGTGTCATTACTTCATGCAGGTAAAAAAGTTGTTATCTTTTGATTCTGAATTACTTGTGTGTGCTAACAGTGCTATTCCTATGTGAGAATGAATGAACTTATTTTCCTATTCAACAATTGGAGCAATGTTTCTTAAAGTGTGGCCAAGTTTTTACTCAAACTTGCCTCACTGTAAACACTTTTTTCTTTGGAGATAATAGAAAAAGGTTTTATTCCTGATGGCAGGAACAATACCATACCAGTGGTGAAGATAGAGCAACATTTGCTACTTAGAAAGTACGAATAGGTTACTGGACTGCTGTGAATTTTCCAGGCTGTATGGCCATGTTTCAGTAGCATTCTCTCCTGAAGTTTCGCCCACATCTATGGCATCCTTAGAGGTTGTGAGGTCTGTGAAAGGTTTATGTATCAGTGGAATGTCCAGGGCGGGAGAAAGAACTGCTGTCTGCTTGAGGTGTGAATGTTGCAATTGACCACTTTGATTAGCATTAAATGGTCTCACAGCTTCAAAGCCTGGTTGATTATTGCCTGGGGGAGTTCTTTGTTGGGAGGTGTTAGCTGGCCCTGATTGTTTCCTGTCTGGTGTTCCCCTGTTTTTTTAGTGTTGCTCTTTATTTACTGTCCTGATTTTAGAGTTTTTTAAATACTAGTAGCCAGATTTTGTTCATTTTCAGGGTTTCTTTCTTTCTGTTAATATTGTCCACCTACTTGTGGATTTCAGTGGATTCTGTGTGTGGTCTGACGTGGTGGTTGTTAGAGTGGTCCACCATTTCTGTGTTCTCAAATAAGATGCTGTGTCCAGGTTGGTTCATCAGGTGCTCTGCTATGGCTGACTTCTCAGGTTTAATTAGTCTGCAGTGCTTTTCATGTTCCTTGATTCATATTTGTATTGTATGGATAGGTTAGCTATAGAATATGGAGAAAGAAACTTAGAGAAGATGCTATGGGCATGGATTCTCAACCAAAAATGGATAGTTCAGATTTTGAGGCCCTGGAGGTAAAAAAATTGGGGGAATGGAAGACGTCAGGGATCTGCCCCAGCGCTTTAGAATGTTTAATGGAATGCTTTGTGAATCTTTTGCTAAGAGTAGCAAGATTATAGTTGTCAACTTACTTATTCTAGTGTTAGAATGTTAATGAAATGGAATACATTTGCAGAGGGAACTGTTATTACTGGAAACGATACTAAATATATCACCCAAATTCAAAACTATAGTGTTTGTCAAATAATAGCAAGTTAGGACTCAGAAATAAAAATAACCAAAAATACAACTTGACAGAATTTTACTCTTGAACCAACAGCTAATGAGAAAAAAACAAAACAGCATATGAAAAAACGTTTATGAACAGAGCACTAGATCTGATTGCAGTTCTCATCTCCTTTGGGGCATTATGAGAGGTGCTATCAGGGGAAATTTTATTATGCAAAGTTCAAGGTTAAAAAAGCTAGACTGTTCTTAAGGGAGAAGGAATGGAAGAATGATCAAAAGGTCCAGATGGTTTAAGACAATTTTTAATAAAATATTTGTGACTAATTTGGACTAATTCGTAAATTATTTAACGAGCTACTCTTAAGAGGAAAAATACCACACTCCTGGAATAGAACCAAAATAGTATCTTTGCTGAAATGACAGGGTGATCCTCAGTCAATATCAGCTTATATAGACGAATCATATTTCTCAATCAGAATAAAAATAATGTATGTCAGCTATTGGCTTAAAAAGCAAATAAATTCATAATGATATATATTCAATCAGACCAAACTGGCTGGCCAGGTGAACACTAACTGACTCTATAAAAAGAGTTTTAAATATAATCTGTGTAGCTCCTTCCCTTAATAAACCAGTAGCTATAATATAATTGGCTATGTCTTGCCTGGAGCCCTTGGTGGCGCAGCGGGTTAAACTGCTGAGCTGCTGAACTTGCTGACCAAAATGTCGGTGGTTCACACCCGGGGAGCGGGATGAGCTCCTTCTGTTAGCCCCAGCTTCTGCCAACCTAGCAGTTTGAAAACATGCAAATGTGAGTAGATCAATAGGTACCGCTTTGACGGTAAGGTAACAGCGCTCTTGCAGTCATGCCAGCCACATTACCTTGGAGGCGTCTGCAGGCAACACTGGCTCTTCGGTTTAGAAATTGCGATGAGCACCACCCCCCAGAGTTAGACACGACTAGACTTAATGTCAGGGGGAAACCTTGAACTTTACTAAGGTTGATTTATTAAGGGACGGAGCTGTGTCCCTTCCGCACAGCTGACTAAAATCCCACATTATCTTCTCTGAACTGGGATATATGGCAGTGTGGACTCAGGGCTCTTCCGCACAGCCATATAAATTAACCCAGAATATCATATTAGTATGTTGTACCTAAATTTATCAATACGTCAATACATCAAACAAACCAATACCTTGCAAAATGGCAAAAAAATCTTAGGGAAATGTATTTGTTGTTGTGTGCTCTCAGGTCATTTAGAGAGAACAACTGCATATGTCTGGATTGTAATTGTTAAATAAGTGACGCATATAATAATATGTAAAAATTATTATTGCTTTTTCTAGTAAATGCAGTGTTGTATGTACAATGTAGAAATTAATAGGAAATGGGGGTGGCAAAAAAAAGCTGAAGATACAGAAAGTGTGGTATGTGGTATATGTTTGTGTGGATGCATGTGCATGAATGAAAGGGAGTGCAGAAGCACTGAGAAATTAGATTTGTATGAAAGGAAGAGAAGACAAAAGAATACAATTCTAGATGCTTTTCAGATGAAAAGGATAACATGTAATTGTGTTAAGCGTTATTAAGTATCTATGTCAGGCATAGGCAAACTTCGGTCCTCTAGGTGTTTTGGACTTGAACTCCCACAATTCCTAACAGCCAAACAGCCTACCTGGAGGACCAAAGTTTGCCCATGCCTGATCTATATGCTGCTTTCCCTCTAAAATCCATAATATTTAAAAATAATTTAATCAACAATTGAAAAAAATCTTGTGTTACCTACGCAATAACAAAGAGGCATATACAACTTTTAGATCAATAGACAAATGGTATGCTTTTCTTGTTAGCATGATAAGAGGAAACAGTGGACAAATTTCTCTCCCTCTCTGTTTTTCAACCGTTTGCTGTCGGTGTCCAGCACTGAACTCCACAAGTCCGTACCTGGCCAGCCCAGTGTCGACGACATCCTTCAGGCCATGCTTAAGGAGTGTCGCAAAGACAACCTCAGGTACAAGATCGTGGCCCTCCGGTGCACGGCTGATGTGCTGAAGACGATGCAGGAAAATCGCTTTCAGGAACTGACAGACATCGTTTTCCCAATAATACAGAAGGTGAATTTTGAATCCCTATTGCTTTTGAATGAATCATAGAATCATAGAGCTGGAAGAGACCCCAAGGGCCATCCAGTCCAGCCCCCTGCCTTGCATGAAGGCACAATCAAAACACTCCCACCAGATGGCTACCCAGCCTCTTCTTACAAACCTCCAGAGAAGGAGACTCCACCACTTTCGGAGGCAGCATATTCCACGACTGAAATGTGTCAATAATAAGTAATGATATTAATGAGTTTTTCTGTACCTCTGTTCAAAATGTTTCCTGAATATTTTGAATAATCCTTTTATCAGCTCTGTACAATACAATAATTATATTAATTGCATATTACAGATGAAGGATAGTATATAAAAGTCAGTTATTTGCCTAATGAAGTTGTCTAATATGTTTAGGCAGACATTGGGTTTTTATTGGTGATTCTCCAGTATGCTTCTTAGTCCCTTCACTACAGTATTCCCTTTGTCCTGTAAGAGAGCATTCTGTTTTTTCCTTTCTCCTTGATGGCTGTTCTTCAGAAATGGGTTAGAAACCAGATAAAGACTGACATATCAAACAGGGTTCTTAGATCAGGCTTGGTTGTAATTCTGCACCTCTCCTCTGGACACTTCCCTCAGATGGGACATAGTTTACCTGATGATCTAAGAGACCTGAAACCTTTTTTAAAAAATCTAGAAACTTTTGTGTTCTGTTGAAATGCTTCAGAGAAAGTGGGAGGTATCTGATAGTGTTCTTCAGCACTGGAGTTCTTTGCCCTTTATATCTCTGAAAAAAAGTTGTAAATGTGCACATTTTCTTTGCAGAGCTTTCTGATTCTTGAATGTGTTTGATGATGTATGATCTCATCTTTCACTTCCCCACTTCCCCAAAAGATTTAAAAGAATTATATAGAATGCAGTGATCAACCTTTTGACTTGATGTCCACAACTAACTAACTAGCTAGCTAGCTAGCTAACTAACTGACTAACTAACTAACTATATTTTCCCAGGGTGTTAGCAACATGGCAGTACTTCTTCGTACGGTTCATGCTGCTTGGATGATGATGATGATGATGATGATGAGGATGATGATGATAATTATATACATAACAAGATTAGTACACAGCAAACAAGATTACTATGCTGATTTTTGTATTTGATCACACGTCGGACACTTCCCAAGTGTCTAAGACTGTGTGATGTATCGGTGAATAATGCGTGCAGATCTGAGTAGGGTGGCCTTTTGCAACTGACAGATGGTAATTTTGTCAGCACCAGTCGTTTTTAAGTGCAGGCCAAGGTTTTTAGGCACTTCACCCAGTCACCACTGGGACCACCTTTACTGGCTTGTGCACAATACAAACTTTAAATCCTCATATAATGTTCAATCTTTAAATCCTCATATCATGTAAGCTTTTCCAGTTGCTCCTCATCAATTGTGCTGTCACCTGGGATTGCAACATCGATGATCCATACTTGTTTTGAGGTCAGGAGTATTGTGTTCCAAAACGCTGTCTATTATTATTATTATTATTATTATTATTATTATTATTATTATTATTATTCAGTGTGCTTACAATAATGGATTTTCATTTTATTGTTTAATGTATCTTATATTTTATTTTGCCCTCGATGTTTTGACCCGGTTACTATAAACAACAGCAATAGCAATAACTGAACTGGGAGACTTGGACTCCCACCTAGCACCTAGCCCATTTGCCTTCCTGTTGTCTTGTTTCTTTACCAAACTTCATATTTTATGTCTTATTGCAGAATTGCCCAGAGAAAAAAGGAGTCAGTTCACCACAGAATGACGATGAAGATGAGGATGAAAATGAGAAGGAACTCCAGATGGAATCCCTTCTCTGTGCCTTTGAGAGTTTGGGGAAAGCATGGCCTAGAAACCCAGAAACACAGTGTAGGTTGACTTCAGCAAATCCAGTGATGTTTTATCCTTCAAGCAAAGCTTCTCCAGGAAATCAGTGATTTGAAAAATTACTGAGAACAATAGTCTTACAAATGTCTATGTTTTGTAAGGGAGGTGATGAAAATTTTATTTAAATAAATAAATAAATAGAGAAATTGAAAGAAATAGTAGAATTGTATGGTTGGAAGGGGCTCCTCTGCCATTGAATCTGATTCTCTGCTCAATGCAGGAAATTTTGTTAGATCATCCCCAGCATGTAACTGTTTAGATCCAACAGCCAAATGAGCTGTCATAATTTAAGACACAATAAAAGACCTGTCTCTTCTGGCAGGCTATTCAGTCAATTTTAAACTATGAATTTTATATCTTCATTCTATTAGTATTGTATTTAATCTTTGTACTATGTATTTTAAAAATGTGTTTTAAGGTCATGTGTTTTACTTGGGTATTTTAACTGTGTTTACCCTGCCTCAAGCTGTAAGGAGAAACAGGTAACAAATTCTTGTTGTTGTTGTTGAGTAATGAGAACTTGAATGCTTCAGGTGAGACATGAGCTCAAGTACTTGGTTGATGTCTCTAGTTCCTCTTTTATTGTCCTCGGTTTTTCTTCAAATAGTGGTGAATGGAGAGGCTGCCAGTTTGAAGTCTACATGGAAATAGACTTTCATTTATCCATTGAATGCCTTCTTGACAGAAATAAAGGGATATGAAGTCAGGGGAGGGAGGTGTTTGAACCTCTTGTAGGGAGAGGTGATGTCTGCATTTAACATAGAGTTGAATATTTGTTTTTCAGGCTGCTATCGACAAGAATTGTGTACACTAATGTGTGAGCGGCTGAAACTCAGTACATGGAAAGTTCAGCTAGGAGTCCTCCAAGCAATGAAGGCTTATTTTCAAGGGTAATGTCTGTATAAGTGCTGGAGCTGCTGTTTTTGTGCTCTTCCCTGTGATATTTTGCTGTTTTGTGTGAGAAGTCCCACAGCTGCATGCCATTCCTCTTTGTGAGGGCGTGCCTGCTGATGTGCTCAGAAAACCAAATGGCAGATTTCCAGTGTGTGTGAAGATTCGGCAGACAGTCGTGTTTACTGAGGCCTCCTGGTGAACTTGCTGACTGAAATTCCTACCGCCCTCCCCAGCATAACCATGTTGCATATAGTCCACTGAAAACCCATTTGGCAGGATCTCATAAATTAAACATGGAGGACACCGTGCACAGTTAGGGGGCATGTGGGGAGACTATTCAATGATAGCACCTTAAAGCAATTCTGCAATTCACATGTAAGTCCTCTGTACTGCTGATCATTTACATAAATGTAGAGTATGTCTACTTTATGGCAAGAGTGTGATCTTTCTGTTCTTCCATTGGCTAGGTTACTCTTGCTTGAAGCAGAACATGCAGACCCAGTGGCTTTGTCAAGAATATTGTCGGAAACCTGTTCGTCTATTACCCATTCTCTTGGTAAATATCTTTCCTTTCTTTTTTTCTTTTTCAGTTATATTCTTTGCTCACCTCATTCTAAAGTCACTAAAGGAGGACAACGGTACTTTGATGAGCTTGGTACTTTAAAGATTCACATGTTGTCCATGTTTATCAAACCTATCTGAGAGGCAGATGGGTGGGAATAATTAAATATTCGCTTTCCGCAGGGCTAATATATGTTATTCTCTTGCCAGCTGAGATGGTTAATGTTTGCTTGGTGCAGCAACCCATTGGATTGTTTGAAAATACCACTTACTATTGAAAATGTCACATTGGTTTATGTTTGTTTATTTATGGCTTATAGAAACCACTATTTATGAGAAGCATTTCATGCAGCCACACAAAAGAATGTACTAACACCATGTAACACGCTTTTTGTTCCTGGGCGGTAAATGTCATTTCCTAATTGGTTCTATCATAAAAACATAGAAAAGGTTTATTAAACTTCCAAAACTTTGTTGTTGTGGGACATCCTGCAGCACATTTTGCTATAGTTTTTCAATGACTGTCTCATAGAAACATTGTGTGGCAGTTTCTGGACAGTATAACAACTACTTTTAAAGTAAGTACCGCACAATTAAGCAGGAAATAACACTTTCAAACCAGGAACAGAACATTTTTCAAATTTTGTTACATAGAGCAATAGAGTCTACAGTGGCAGGATAAGTAGCTTAGATTATTTAGAATCTTTAAGAGGAAGGATTGTAGATATGTTGCCTGTGTGAAGAGTGCCACAAAGCCTTAGGGCAGCTGCAGTACGTTTCACAGCAAGGTGGTTGGATGATGTGATTACGATCTGTCCTATATAACTTCAGAGTACATATGTGTTAAGAGGGAAGACGTTTTTAGAAACTCATTTAAACTTGTGGGAAAAGAGCCCATATATTTTCCTCTCCATTGTGGCATGATCCCACTGTTAGATCCATTGTGGCATGATTCATTTCATCTGGGTAAATATATGATGCAGATCATTGTAATGGCATAAATGAATGTGTACCTCCCTGGGTACTGGGTATTTCAAATGAGAAAGATTGCTCAGATTCTTGGAGTTGTTGAAAAGGTACACACCGCCTTTATATTAGCATCTCTAGTGTAAAGCAGCATATGTTTTTTGCAATATTTATTTATCCTTACATTTAATGTTGGTTCCTTTAGAGAACAGAAGTTACATGTCCATAAGAACTGAAGCCTTGTCAGTAATAGAAGTGCTACTAACAAAACTTGAAGGTAAGCTTCTTAGTTTTGGAGAGTGATTAAAATTAACCCTTCAAGTTGGAAGGGCAGAAACATGCTGCAGGGTTTAATGGTATCTCATTCTTGGAAATCAGTTGGCCCTTTGGTATCCACTGCAATTTGAACCCCCTGTGGATACCAAAGTCCATGAATGTTCAAGTTCTACTATATACAATGTAAAAATTGCATCTCTTATATTAAGTGGCAAAATCATAGTTTACTTTTTTAGATTTTTTGGAACATTTTCAAGCTATGGATGGTTCATTTCTTTGGATATTGAATCCGTTAACATAGAGGGTCAGCTGTAATAATTGCAGATGCAGTGCAAATGTAGAACAAAACCCAAGCTTGTGACCTGAATCCTCTTGAATAGTGGTTCTGATGTTGTGGGTCCCCAAGATGTTTTGGCCTTCAACTCCCAGAAATCCTAACAGCTGGTAAACTGGCTGGGATTTCTGGGAGTTGTAGGACAAAACACCTGGGGACCCACAGGTTGAGAACCACTGCATTAGACACTTGGACATGTTGGCAGACATGTTTGTAGGTAGATGCCCCCTGGTAGCGCAGTGGGTTAAACCACTGAGCTGCTGAACTTGCTGACTGAAAGGTTGGTGGTTTGAATCCAGGGAACAGGGTGAGATCCCACTGTTAGATCCAGCGTCTGCCAACCTAGCAGTTTGAAAATATGCAAATGTGAGTAGATCAATAGGTACTGCTTCTGTGGGAAGGTAACAGTGCTCCATGCAGTCATACCACATGACCTAGGAGGTGTCTACGGACAACGCTGGCTCTTCAGCTTAGAAATGGAGATGAGCACCACCCCCCAGAGTTGCACACGACTAGACTTAATGTCAGGGGAAACCTTTTTACAGAAATAGAGGATAGCTTGTGTACTCCATTGGACACTAAGCACCTACCTTTGCTAAAGCTCTTCGGTTTATCTTTCTATGTGAGTCAAAAGCTCACTGAACTTAACTCTTTCATGACTGTATTTGAGACTGTCTTTTACTGATATTCAGACTTTTGCTGACAGTCCAGAATGCCATATAACCCTCTTTATGAAGCCACCTTGGTATTAAGTAATTTCCAGACTTTATTGAGTGGGTTGGTCTCCTGGCTGTTTGACTTATGCTATGGATAACCGAATTAATGCTTGTTTGGTGTGCATTTAAGTTATTTCAGACTTATGAGGACCCTAAGGCAAGCCTATCAAGGGGTTTTCTTGTCTTCATTTATTCAGAGGGAGTTTGCTTTTGCCTTCCTCTAGGGCAAAGAGTATATGACTTGGCCAAGGTCACCTGGTGAGCTTCCATGATTCAATGGAGATTTAAATCCTGGCCTCCAGACTTGTAGACCAGTTTTTTTTCCCCCATGTCAGGAGTGACTTGAGAAACTACAAGTCGCTTCTGGTGTGAGGAAGTTGCCCAAGGGACGCCTGGATGTTTTTTGTTCTACCAGCCTTATGGGAGGCTTCTCTCATATCCCTGCATGGGAAGCTGGAGCTGACAGAGGGTGTTGATTGAAAAAGAAAGCCACAATTGTGGAATAACAAGAATAATGGTTTCCTATTCCTTCTCCCTGTTTAGAATCCAAACAGTGGGGAAGCCTGAGCACCGAAAGCAGAGAACTCCTCCTAAGCTCCTTAACGGCCCTGACTCTGGACAGCAGGCCTGAGCTACAAGAGAAAGCATCTGTGTTAAAGAAAATCTTAGCAAATCTTGATTGATTTCAAAATCCAACCAAGTGCCGTGCAAAACAAAGCTAGCAAAACGTGTGCTCAGCGAGTTCTTGACTACACAGAGGGGGGAAACTAAAGATGATTTTGTAGCATGCATCATTCCTTGGCTAAAATAAAGAATATGTTGAATTCTGTCCCCCATTAATTTATGTTTGTTTTTTTAACCACTTAAAGCAGTTTGGTTAGTGTGCAAACCCAGCACGTGTTAAATGAAAAAACCAAACTCTGTAATGGATTTTTGGGAAATGTTCTGATCTGAATAAAGGGGAAGAAGCACCTTATTAATCAGTTAGACAGGTAAAAATAGTATCTACATGGTAACTACTCTTATAAAGTGATTGTGTGGGAACTGGAGAACAAAGGCCTTTCGAAAGCCCTGCTTGTACCTTTTTGTGTGCTGTAATTATTGTTATATTGGTAGCGTTCTGGGTGCCAATGGAAAGATGGAATGAACTAATAATAATATAAAGAGGCCATGTTTTCTGCTGGTCGAGTCTGACCTCTCTGTTGGAAATTTCTGGTTGTTATGGGTGTCCATATCCTGTCATTTCATCCAGTGTGAAAATGGAGTAAATATGAATATTTGGGCTAGTCCATGCCTTCCTGAGTAAAAAAAAATGTGGATCATTCCACATAAACATGCACACTCAAAGCACTTTAATTCGTTGCCTGGAAATAAGGTTATATGTGGGGACTGCTTTAAAAAAAGTAAAAAATGAGCTCTGCTCTCGCCAAGGTTTATTTTTATGGTGATCAGTCAGTACTAGCAAACCCCTTGTCTAAAAATGGCCTCTATTTCCTCAGAAGGATCTCACAATAGACTTCCCCTCATGAGTTCGTAACTTATCTTCTGCTTTGGGAAATGATAACTAATTAATGTTTATTAAGCTTACATGATTAGTAACATTATCAGCCATAGGATCTCCTGGGTTTTGAAGAAATACATTTGATTTTCATAGTAAGACATAATACTGTGCCATTGATGCCAAGTAAAAAAAATGTGATTGTGTTTAATAAACTTGTTACCCTGTTTTTTTCTGTAGTAGCAAAAGAAGAAAGAAAGAAAAAGACATTCGCTCCAATTTTAATAAAGAATTTTAAGGTGATGCGGTTATATTTTTAATTTGTGAAACTTCAAAACCATTGCTTTCAACAATAAATACCATTGCTTATACAATTTCTTGTCATATACACACAGAAGGAAGTACTGTGGTGGAATCTGCGTGGTACTTGCTAACAGATTGCCATGTATGATATTTCTGTATGTAAGATGTGGGCTAGAACGTGGTGTGTCTTACATGAAGAACTTTATTCAGGTAGCCTGCTGATTCATACATAGAATTTTCCAATGTGCGAACTCATTCTTCAAGACAGATAATTTGCTGGGAGGTGATTTAGCTGGCCCTGATTGTTTCTTGTCTGGGATTATCCTGAAACAACCAAGGCCAGCTAATCACCTCCCAACAAAGGATTCCCCAAGCAGTAAGAAGCCAGACCTTGAAACTGCTAGGCCATTAAATGCTAATCAGGGTGGCCAATTGAAACATCCACACCTACCTCAAGCAGACAGAGTTCTTTTTCCCACGCTGGACATTCCACAGATATATATATAAAACCCACTTGCCTAGTTTCCAAAAGACCTCACCACCTCTGCCATAGATGCAGGCGAAACGTCAGGAGAGAATGCTTCTGGAACATAGCCATAAAGCCTAAAAAACTCACAACAACCCAAAACAAAGTGTGACTTGCCTGGCATTGTTGGATTGTGTTGTCTGTGCATAGTTGACTGGTTTTCCTAGGCCTGATGGTTTGACAGTATTTGAAAGGCTACATGTTCACCACCCCTGGTTTATCATATTTGATGAGAAAGGATTTTATGGTCTCTCCACACTTGCAGTTGCCTAGAAGTGTTAAAAGATGTGATGGAGCAGTATGTCGACCTTTTTATTCTTAGTCACACCTAATGGTTCACTTCTGACATAACACCAGAGCTTTGGAAATGCCAGCATGTGTTATGAGCTGGCCTTGAGGACGTGATAAGGAAATTTTGACTGCTACGTGTTTGTCTGATTCTGCCCATTAAACCTGGCTTCTGTGGCTAAGGAATTGTGATGTACCATCAGTTAATGCAATGTATTTACAGAGAGTTGCTTTGAGTTTGCTGATGGCTTTCATGGCTGGAATCACTGGGTTGCCATGAGTTTTCCGGGCTGTATGGCCATGTTCCAGAAGCATTCCCTCCTGACGTTTCACCCACATCTGTGGCAGCCATCCTCAGAAATTGTGAGGTATACCTCACAACCTCTGAGGAGGCCTGCCATAGATGTGGGTGGAACGTCAGGAGGGAGTGCTTCTGGAACATGGCCATACAGCCTCAAAAAGCTCACATCAAGTCACACATTATAAACTTCTGACAAATTTTCCACTTTGGCCTGCAGGAGCTTTACAAAAAAGACGTAGGCAGAAAAGTTAAGGGTAGCTTTTTTTGTCGAAGGCTTTCATGTCTGGAATCATTGGGTTGTTGTAAGTTTTTCCAACAGACCTCACAACCTCTGAGGATGTTTGCCATAGATGCAGGCGAAACATCAGGAGGGAATGCTTCTAGAACATGGCCATATAGCCTGAAAAACCTACAACAACCCGGTTGCTTTTTTGTTTTTGCAAGTTGTTTTGTGTATTTAAGATGGCCTATTAAAATATGCTAGATTTCCAGTATGATTCTTCAGCAAGAGTTTCAATAATTTAAAATCGACTCCAGAGTATGAATTTGAAGTAGCTGTTCTAGTAGGTATTTCCAAATGGAGAATTTATATCAACTGTGCTGAAAACTTTGCAATTCCAGAGTGAGAACAATAACAAGCACTACCTGGAATGTGCAGGTTTGATAAACAGCTTCTCTGAATATCTCTTCATTCTTCTAAATTGAGATTCTGAACTTGTCAAACAAACATGTGCTTCTCAGAGGAACCTACTTGCAAAAAGTTACACAGATGTCAAGATACCTTGTCCCTCTTTCAAATTTGTTGACTTAATAGAAGAAAGTGGCCTTTATAGAGTTATGTTTTCCTCTGAAAACGATTGCACTATAAAACACTGCCGCTCAAATCTGGGCCTTTGTGCTGCTCTTTCATGCTGCTTTGTATACCTGGATTAAAGTGTAAATTCCACACTGTAGCACCCCACGGACTACAGTCTGTTTTATGTTGAAAGATTTCTAATGTTGCAAGAAAGAAAAGTCTCCATTAAATTCACTGCATTGAATTTCTGTACCTGGATATCAAATATGTATATTACTGAAACCTTCCTCTATAAAACATTACATTGAATAAAGAAGCATTACCTCTTCTTGGAAGTTACTGGTCATTCTTTTCCTGACCAAACAGATACAGTGATCATATTGCTCTTTAGATATTGATCTGAAAGGCCCAGCACCAATTCTCCTCCGCACCAACCCTTGCCCATTCCTCCAGGCCCAGCATGTGGCCCCCTTTCTAAGTTTGCCCATGCCTGGTATATACATCTGATCATTTCTCTTTTTAAGAGCTGAACGAACGACTTGAGAATTTCTTAAAATGAGACAAAAGCGTATTATATGAATGTTGTCAGTACACTAGAGTCCAACCTTTGCTTATCCAACATTCCATATTATCCAACGTACCTTGGCTGCTTCTGGCTTGAAATAATAAAAAATTAAGGCTGTTCCTCAGAGAATTGCAACGGGGCTCCCCTTCCTCTCTTCTTTCTCTGGCCCCTGCTCCAGACTCCGTTGCCCTCCTTGCTGTCTCTCTTCTCCCAGGGATGTCGCATTCAGCCCAGGCAAGGCATTGTAGTAGTGGCCTCTGTGCGGATAAAGGGGGAGCCCTGCCAACGCTGCCCTGGATGCTCCACTGGGCTCCCTCTTTAGCGCTCTTAACCTCAGCACCCATCCTCGCCTCGCTCCCCTCCCTGCAACCCGGTCTGGCACTCTGTCTCTCGCCAGCAGTGGAAATGTTTGCTTTATGGAAGAATGAGAGAAAGAAAGAGCGGGCACTGAAGGCAGGAGGCAAACCCTGCCTTTGCTTGGGTTTAATAGACTTTTCCTTAATCCCTCATTATTATCTGAGATTTATGCTTATCCAACGTTCTGGCGACCTGTTTATGTCGGATAAGCGAGACTCTACTGTATTAAAATGGACAGCAGATCTTACCCAGAATTCAAGTTGTCTCACTTCAAGTAGCCCCATCAAGTATTACTATTTATAACATTTATTATTTAAAACATTTATATTCGGTCCTTCTCACCCCAAAGGGGACTCGGAGCAGAGCACAACATACAAATGGCAAACATTCAATGTCGGTACATAAATAGATTCTACACATACATAAGCATTATAAACCTTTCATCTTGACATTAAAACCCACTGTTTTAAAGTAAAAGTGAACTTGCTAAGTCAACGTTCATGTTAAGTTCCATTTTTCCAGATGAATTCTGTAGGTGGAACTACAAATTAGATGTAGGCATTTATGTCTTTTCACTCAGTTATTAGATTGGATGGAATACAAACATGCTGATTTAACTAGGACTGGGTAGGTTGCTTTAAATGAAGGCAATTTCAATTGAGTTGATTTGGATGGCCTTCTAAATATATTTGAACTGCACCTCCCAGGAGCTCTAAATAGCATGGCCATTGGTGAGGAATTATTGGAAGTTGGGAGTTCTGCAACATCTGAGGGATACACAATTCACATCCTTGCTTTAAATCAGTGGTTCTTAACTTGTGAGCGTGAGGACAAAAACCTGGTATGCGAGCCTCCTTCCTCTTTCATTCATTCTTTATATTTTATTTCCGATCCTTTCATGCCACCTGCCACTCCTTCCCTGTCACTGACAATGGCATATGTTCTGCATCAGAAACTAGAGTTGGCAATGAAGGTCCGCATAGTTAAAGCAGTCACCTATGGATATGAGAGCTGGACCATAAGGAAGGCTGAGCAAAGGAAGATAGACACTTTTGAACTGTGGTGTTGGAGGAAAATTCTGAGAGTGCCTTGGACTGCAAGAAGATCCAACCAGTCAATACTCTAGGAAGTAATGCCCAACTGTTCACTGGAGGGAAGGACATTAGAGGCAAAGATGAAGTACTTTGTCCACATCATGAGAAGACAGGAAAGCTCAGAGAAGACAATGATGCTGGGGAAAATGGAAGGAAAAAGCAAGAGGCCAGCCAAGGGCAAGATGGATGGGTGGTATCCTTGAAGTGACTGGCTTGACCTTGAAGGAGCTGGGGGTGGCCACGGCCAACAGGGAGCTCTGGTGTGGGCTGGTCCATGAGGTCACAAAGAGTTGGAAACGACTAAACAAATAAACAACAAGTACAAATAATAGTTAAGGAACATGTGCAATGACAATCGGAATAGCTATGGTGTACGTTTTTTTGGATTATGTGATTTTAATATTTATACATACTAGGATGATTTTAATGCTTTGTCTGAACGTTTAAATTTTGTTTATGTCTTATGTTTAATGGTTTTAATGATTTTAAGTCGAAGTTCTATGTAGTAATTAGTAATTATGGTTTCTTTGTGTTACTGTATGTCGCCATTGAATTTTTGCCATTAATATGTTGTAAACTGCCTTGAGTCCCCCCCCCCAAGGGTGAGAAAAGCGATATATAAACACAATAAATAAATAAATAAATAACTTTTTAAAAAATCATTTAATTAAAGATGAATTTTCATAATTTTGAAAAAGTATAAAAGTACAAAAGCAAGAGAAGTCATGGTCGTTGTGTCACACTTTTGTGAACTTTTATTTTTATATCAACTTGCTCTCGCTGTCTTTGTCCCCCACTCCTTTGGTAGGAAGTTTGGGATGTGTACAGTCTGTTATATCACATATTTCCATTTTATTGCTGGAATAAATCCTGCTATGCATGTTTGTAAGTCTAAAGATGTGCCATATTCATAACTGAAAACCACGACGTAAGAAAATCACAACAGTTAAATATGTCTCACTCTCGCCTTCAAAGAAAAGCAGGCTAAGCATCAGAGGTTACGTACTAATTCCTCTCTCATAGTTGAAAAGACAAGAAAAGAGCAAGAAGAAATATTTACAAGTTTCTTAACAGACATGAGGGACAAAATTCCTAAACATTTTATAAATACATTGAACAAGATCCATCTAGCACAGGCATGGGTAAACTTCGGCCCTCCAGGTGTTTTGGACGTACACTCCCACAATTCCTAACAGCCAGTAGGCTGTTAGCAATTATGGGAGTTGAAGTCCAAAACATCTGGAGGGGCGAAGTTTGCCCATGCCTGATGTAGCAGATTGGCAGCTCCAAAGATTACAATTAGCCCATTTTAGAAGAGATACTGTTAATGCATGAAGTGCAACAGCACTAAATATGCAGCTGGTTCTATGTCATACAACACTATTTTTGGAGAGAAACATGTCATGTATTGGGATGCCAGAGAGGTTGACTCTTCACACATCCATCTCCATTCTTTTTCTTTTTTCTTTCGTTTTGCTCTTATCGGGTCTGTGCTGAGCAGCTCCGTTGTTTCCTGTTTGAACCTGAGTGTATCTTGCCACAGTAGAAACACCATCCACAAACTTGGTCTTGTAGAGTACATTGGCATTGTTGAACATGCCATCCTTCAAGGACACAACAATGAACTAGGAAAAGAAAAAAAGTCACATTCAACATACACCCAATGAAACACTGTCAACTTTTCTTGCATGCTTTCCGATAAAACTATTTAGAAATAACAGAGAACCCTACTGAAATGGAGAACCTCTGGCTCAAGAAGTTTTGTCAGACGTGAATAAGTGAAACTGCAGATACCAGTCTCACAAATACAGGTTGTGGATGCTGCTGGTTTCCTCCCCAGTTTTGTGGATTTTCAGTATCCGGAACTCTTGGAACCCTGGAACCTTGAATCTCTGGACTGGCCATTGACTACGGTATAAACTCTTCATCCTTGGACTTGAACTCTTGGCATTTGACTATTGGAGTGAACTTTTTGACTACAGTGTTCTTCCGAACCTGCATTGGCATTTGCTACCAGTCTTTGGTTTTATATTCTGTGGCTGAGTGCTAACTTAATGTTTTATATTTGGACTATGAAAACAGTCAGATAGTAAGTGCTGCTTTAATTAAACTGTTTGACACAAGGTGGGTGTTTGTTTTGGTTCACCTCTGCCTGCGTACTGGCAGAGCCCTGGCATTGTGACAGAAATATTTTTTTGAAACATTTTTAGTTCATTTTTTAATTTGTTTTAGCCAAACCAACAACTCTTTTTCTGTCTGCAGCAAAGGAGCCTTTCATAGCTTTTTAGTTTAGATCAGGCATGGGCAAACTTTGGCCCTCTAGGCCAAACTTTGGCCCTCTAGGTGATTTGAACTTCACGTCCCACAATTGCTAACAGCCGATGGGAGTTGAACTCCAAAACACATTTAGGGTTGACGTTTGCCTATGCTTGGTTTAGATTCTCTCCTGAAAGTCTGATCTCTTGCCTTAACTCAGGACAAGACCATTTTATTCCTTCTCAAATACTGTACTCTCTAATCTCGTATTTGGTTTGCCTATAAATTCTCTTTCTGTTGGAACAAAGTCTCTATAGCCACTTGCTTGGCACTTCAAAAGTGAATGCTTGAATTGAAGAATCATATCACACCGAGTTCTCTTAAATCTGAAACCTCAAGGGTTTTGTATTATTAGAGGATGCGAAGTCCTCAATGAATGGGAAGTATGCCATTTCTGTCCCACCAGTGCCACCAAACCTGGGAACCTTTTCTTATCCCACTGCAATGACATCAAATTTGGGAATATTCTAGATGTCCACACGGTTAGGTGAGGCTCTTTCTTCCTATAGTTCTACAAAATTGACACCACCACTTGTGAGTATTGGTGCCAGCAGACACCATGCATCCGAATTAGCTACTCATAGAATCATAGAGTTGGAAGAGACTTCATGGGCCATACAGTCCAACCCCCTGCCAAGAAGCAGGAAAATTGTATTCAAACCATCCCTGACAGGTGGCCATCCAGCCTGTTTTAAAGCTTCCAAATAAGGAGCCTCCACCACACTCCAATAGTATTACTGCAGTGTTCACAGAAGACAGTAAAAGAATAATCTGTAAACGGAAGTTCAACATACAAATAAAGGTTACTTGGTGAACATAAAACTTTTGGTCACCGAATTTCCACTCCAACAATTACCATGTCAGACTACAAGGAGAAGGCATTGAAATCCACAAGCATGTGGAGAATTTTAACAAAGGAGGAAACCATGAAAATGAACAAAATCTGCCTATCAGTATTAAAAAAACTCAAACAGGGAATTCCAGACAAAAATCAATCAGGGCC